AATAAATGAGAAAACAAGAGACAAAATATATAACAAAACTGARAGAATATTCTCTTATTTGAGCACAAAATAGAGGAATTGGCCTTTAAATCGATACTATTTTATCGATCACTATTTCAATAGTAAATATATGTAATATATTGKRGTATAAAACTAGAGTATATAAAAAATCAAACAACAAAAGATAATATGCATCGAAAAACGACATTTGTTAATATACTACATATTATATATATATATATAATAATATCGACTAGTTTTAAAAAMTATTAATACTAAATTGTATCAGTGATTCAAATAAAACTGTTTTATAAATTATAATATCTATACGACCATATCATAAAAGATATATAATTATAGTACAACTGTTAACCAAAAAAGTCAAAAAATAAAATATYAATTTTGCTAAAAACCATACACTCTTACTCTAACTCACATTAAATCTATAAATGTATTACATTTTATACAAATTACAACAAATCTAATTCAATATGACAGCCAAAGTATAGTAACATATACTGTAAAACAAAAGTGTAATGAACTTAAACTTACATTCATTGTACAGTATAAACACATTACAYARTATACCAAATATTACATTAATCTWATAWWTTTTTGGTTTAATGATATAAGTAATATATTTGATAATGTTTTATTTATTTATTCATAATTAGCTAAATTCTTATTAAAATTAAATGTTTTTATTTCAAAATTATATTTGTTATATAACATTATGAAATAAGWTACTATATTAGCCCATAATATAAATAGTTAATAGTTAGTTAAATAATAAAAATATAATAATTAGTCAAACAAATTTTTAATTAAATTTCTTAATTAATATATTTGTATTAATTCATAAATTATCTTGGTAGTAAGTCAATTGTATTTATTTATATAGACTTTAATTTTAGTCTATTAAATTAATTTTTACCAATAACTTATAATTTTACTATTTTTATTTACTCTAATAGTTTTTTCTAATAAAATATTTATTACTTTAATAATTTATATTTTTCCTATAGGTAAATATACAAAATGAATATTTCAATATTAATTATACAGAATAAAAATTATTTTATAAAACATTAAAATTTATTTAATATTTTAATAAGCAATAAAATGCTAAAATAAGTTGTTATATAAAGAGATCGGTTAAAAATATCTTTTATATTTTATATAGAAATACTGTATGTAAAAACATATTGTAATCACGCTATATTTTAAAATATTTTTCATTAATAATATAAGTTTTTTGTATTATATACTATCAATTTTGATAATAATCATTGTATACCTAAATAACAAATACAATACTTTATAATGTATAGTATACACGCCTTTATATAAATGAAATTATGTTATACTGTTAGTACTGTATATCTTATTTATATCAAGTATAAATTTTAAATTAAGTTAATRTTATTATTATWATATCGTGATATTTGCAATAAAAGTCACAATAATGTATAAAAATAAAACATAGATAATAAATACAGTTAATAAAAATTATATTATATAATATATATTTATAATACTGTACTATTGGATATGTAAGCAGTGAATGTATTATATATCAATATACTGTATATCATATAATTAGAGTTSGAGCAACTTTTCAGGAAGGAAATTTCCCTAATAAAATCCCACCAATTTTCCCTCCCTTTATCGTTAGAAAGAATATACCTGTATATATATATACTATTATTACAATAAATAGTACCAAAACTTAAATATTTAACAATAAAAATTAATGAAATATTTAAAAATAATTTTCAATTTAATAAACTTAGTGTATTATKTSTAATATAAAATATAGTTTAATATAATATYTGTTTTTAAACATCATAATAAAATGTTTTGTTAGGATTCAATAAGTGRTAGCACAATAAAAAATTCCMTAAGAATTCCCAGGGAGCAGAAAATATAAGCAACTTTTGGAAAAATAAAATTAGGGGGAATTTAATACRTATAATATATATTTTTACAACATATCTATTTATGCCATTTTTCAATTTTGACAAAATTTCATTTAATATTAAATTTAGACTAAACTTTAATCAGAATTAAAATTGMKATATAAAGAGTTATCAAAATATGAAATTAATTTAATTAAACTAAAAGTAATGATAAAAAAATGCATTATAAAAGTTATAAAATCTATGTAATAAATATAAATATTTTATCAAAATATTTTATATATAATGATAAAAATTATATAAAAGTTATAAAAGTTATAAAATCTATGTAATAAATAATATTTTACATAATTTTTATATATGTATTATAACAATTTATGTAAAACCATATAAATACAAACCAATAAATTTTATGAAAGCATTTCTTTCCAAATCACTTAACATTTATTGATTAGTCTATATTTTCTTTGTGTGTGTTTTACTTTGATTTACTTTATGTCTTTTTCGCTAAACTTTTTCATTGGTATCTCAATCAATATACAGTACAGCAAAAAATAAATGTATAAATTGGATGCGATTTTTACTCATCTATTTTTTTGTTATGCTTTAGTACATCAAACTGTATGCTCAATGAATCAATTATTAAAGTGCTGATGATTAGCCTAATAGAAAAAACGATCCCAATTTTATTGTTGCTTTTCTAACTTAATATTTCAATAACTAATTTCCAATCAATAATATAATATAAGCTTAAGAAAATAATTTATAATACAGTMGTAAAATAAATGTTTTATTATAAACTAATAGATTATATAAAAATAAATTACAATTAATTGATTAATATAGAAAACTGATAAATTAATTTATTGAAATAATAATAAAAATCATCAAAAATAATGGCAAATACTACAAAAACATGTCAAATATAATTGTTGACTTATAGGCGGTGAACACCGGAATTAAATATATATTGCATTTGTCGAGAGCTAATGTATTTATATAACTTTATATATAACTTATATAACATCAATACTACAGGTAATACTACAACAAAGTTATAATTAGTCAAACAAATCAATATTAACTATACACCACTTATTTATAGATATATATATAAATATACATATTATATCACATCTCTAATAATAAATTAATGTCAAATCGTAGATTGTTAGTTATAYTTATGTGTAAATAAAAATTTTCTTTTAATATTATAAAGATATTTACATATATAAAATTTATACCTATATATCAATAATTTAGCATATATAACAGTATATATGCATTTTTAATAAGCATTTTTAATATTCATTTTTAATAYACWTTTTGCTACTTATATGTTTTCAAATATTCTTAATATATTCATTTACTAATTCAATTAAACAAACAAAAATAATATAATTTTATCAAATAGTTGTTTTCATATACCACAAGCCATTGATACAGGATATATGACAGCAAAATAACAACAATATTGTATTTGATATTAAACCAAATARGAGTTAGAATAAGGGAATGGCAGCTATACTATATATCTGTCTACTAAACCAAAAAACACCAACAAATGAGAATAATAAAGAAAAAAAAAAGAAAGAAAGATATATATAAACAGTAACTATAGATATCCAGATGTGTGAGCAAAGTCATTGATAACAAACTTAGAGAGAGAGAGAGAGAGAGAGAGAGAGAGAGAGAGAGAGAGAGAGAGAGAGAGAGAGAGAGAGAGAGAGAGAGAGAGAGAGAGAGAGAGAGAGAGAGAGAGAGAGAGAGAGAGAGAGAGAGAGAGAGAAAGAAAGAAAGAGAGAGAGTATATCCTATAACTTATGTACAATAATGTATACAAAACAAGTACAGTATAGCAGCTGCCCTTTAAACGTATTGTAAAATTGGACTCAAAATGCTAACTAAATGCTTAAACAAAAAAATACATACAAAATAAAATAGATTGAAACAGATGTGTGACCGTATATACWGTATGTACAGTATATACTGTACAATACACTATATTTAAACTCTAATACATATACGTATATAAATATCAAATATGCTATATTTATATTAAATGATTGCTTATTACTCATTTAATTTCTATCAATTTCTATGTTCATATATTATYCAATCATTAATATAACTRAAATTATTGCTTTTTAGGAAAATTCAATRCAAACTAAAAATACTCAATTTTATTACATAAGATTATAAACATCATTAAAACATACAATGATTCAGACACAACATAAACATAACATGTATTTTCATTTACATTGAATTGACTTTAGTTAATGTGAAATATTATATTTTGGATTAGTTTTCGTGTTTAAAGAGAATTAAAAATAAATCTTAAGCTCAACTCATTCTCTGTCTTAACTATATTTGTTTTATGATATCGATCTCAACAAATGGCAGCAATTTTAAGTATATATTGTAAGAAAATATTAATACTGCGCTTATAATACTAATAATAATAATAGATATAATCATTTCTTTAAAATATATTTACTAAATATAAAATTTATAGTCAATAATTATACTGTATATATATATATATATTATTATTTCAAATTATAATATATTATTATGCGGTTGAAATATTCTTATAATTATATTACTATTATTAATTAAGTTATTAATTTTGATTATATGAAAATTTTAATTATTCATAAAATTTCAAATGAAAAATWGTTTTCCTTATCAAACCTCTAAATCTTTTTATCGCATTTATTGTCAAAAACAAAATTTAATAATAATGTTGAAATATTTAAATTAAATATTTGTTGTCAATTTGTTTAGAGATGGGTTGAACATTGATTTTTATCATATATAGTACAGAGACAGGCAATTAAATATACAACATTTATGTGAACTGATTTCCTGATTATGTGATGACTTATTTATATTTGCAAATTAAAAWWTTTTCAAATTTGATACATAATGTTATTGAAATAATATTATTTAACCGCGAAATTTTGGTCACAATATTTTTGTAGTCAGAATATGWATAAATTGTATTTAAAATTTGTATACAACTTGTAACTTAATAATAATAATAATAATAATAGATATATATAAATGTATATAAACCTGATTTTCTGATCTTAAGATCTTGAGTTGATCATTGATGAGCGCATATTTYGCTGCCTCCTCTTTTCGAAGAGCCCTCTCTTTCTTGAGCTCTGGACTCCAGAAAGTTTTGATACTATGCATACTTGAACCCAATTTTTGTGTGGTTGCATCCAATTCACGTTTCACATTACCGTATTGGGCCTGTAGTTCATTGAGTCGCGCCTGTAGTTCCATAACAAAGCTATCTCTGCTCTGAAAATGTCGGGGATCGGTACCCATGGAATGGCCGAGACTCGTATGAACACCTCTGTGACTGTCTCTGTACGGGTCGTCGATTATAGTTTCGCGATCTCTATAAGGTTGTGTTGGATCATCTCTTAAATATATGGACCGATCCAATGATCTCTCTCTTCTTTGATGTCTGACTCCCATTTCTATTCGATCAAAAGATCTGTCTCTGGGATCTCTCATCATGTAATCCCTGTCCAAAGGCTCCCTTTCCAGAGAGTGGTAGCTCCTAAGCGGCACTCGGCCGGATCGCGACCGACCAGCGGAGCCGTGCATAATGCCAGGCACTCTGGTATCCATGATAGGACTGCCCGGATCGTCGTAATATGGGAAGCCGTGGCCGTAAGCACTGGTAGTGCTYAACGATTGCGGGACGTGTTCAACGGGTAATGTAAGTGGACTATTATTGCTGGATCTACTGATGCCGTAACCGTGACGGCCTCTGCGCACACCGTGAGTCGGACTTATAATATGTCGCGAAGAAATAGGACTGCCTCGGGCTGAGGGCGGCTGTGATATTGAGTTAATATATGGCTTGGAGGGTGAGCCTCCCGGACCGAAAGTGGGTACATCACTGCGTCTCACATGTCGTGTATGTCGGGACATGTGTCCCATATCCTGTGCCTGTACTCCGTGTGGACCCATGCCATACATGGCTTCCTTTTGCATTGTCCGGTGCTATGCGTACCCAAAGGATCAGTAGGACACACCAATACACCACTCATCACAAACACACACATGAGTCCACCTTTTTATTACTATTTTCTAATAAATGTTTCAAAAACACCAACACATCCATAGAGATGGAGATGATTAAGACAATTGACTAAACACTCATCACTTCACTCCGCTTCGCTGTACAATATATGCGCTAAAACTACTGTTCCCTACCGTTCCCTACCGTTCTCTAAAGMTCCCTAAAGCTCCCTGTGTTCATGATGTYGCGCTCTCCAGTGACTATATGCACAGTTAGTTTACTTAAAGTGCAATTAGAGCACAGATAGACCAAGTTTTAAGCATTTATTAAAATTTATTATTCAAGTAAAAATACAATATAATTGTACTAAATTTTGTTTGAATTTATCATATTATGACTAAATTATATATTTTTACATTATTTTAAATAAATTAATGATATAATGATAATAATTATAATATATTACTAGTTTTTCTTAAAAATTATTTAATTAATTAAATGGTCAAAATAAACAAGAAATTTGCAAATATATATTTATTTATTTAAAATGATTTTTTAATATTTAATATTAACACAGTGATAATATTATTTACAATATACAGTATATATAATAAATTATAAAATTACTTTATTATACTACTGCTTATTTAAGTATTATATAATTTAATTTAATTAAAAATAAAATTGTCACAATGTGACATCATTTTTATTTTGGCTAATAATATTTTTAAATAATTCAGATTATATTAAACTAATCAAATTTTACTTTATTWAATTAAGTATAATTTATTTCTAATGTTATTCAATTATAACTAATGTATTATTTTTAATGGACATTTTAGCAAACAAATAACATCTAMAAACTGTATAATTTTTAAAATTTAATAAAATATACTTTCTATATCTAAGATTGTATACTCAAAAATATTTTKACAATTTTTGTTCAAAACAGTGTCCATTAATATCTAAATAGTTATATTTCAACCTMTATTTTAGTGTCTGAAACTCATTTGTAAATACTGTCATAGAGTTAATATATTTCAAAATTTKCAAATTTTTTAAAGTGAAGATTATATTGCTTTAAAATTATAAACTAATTTTTACTTATTTACTTTTCTTTTGGAAATAATATAATATTTAATTTTTAAAAATACAATATAATGATAATACAACTATTTAGATATTAATGGACACTAACTGTTTTGACCAAATTGTCAATATATTTTTGAGTAACACTTATAATATTTTWAAAATATTATCAATGTACTTGAGATACAAGGGCAATATATAAAAATATTATAATAAATAATATTTCTATACAAACATAAATTTTGAAAATTATATAATGGTTTTTGAAATACAGGTATTTGTTATATAGAAATACAATATAAATATACTATCATTTATACAATTTTTATAATAAAAGCATTTTATTTTATTAAATAAAATAAAAATTTAAATAAATATAAAATTTATTCAAATCTTATTTAACAAATCAAATATTATACTAAAATAGTACAAATGTTATTATATTTTATCTATTGTTAAAATGCATTAACCATTGAATAGATATTCATATCCAATAATAGAGTGAAAAATGCTTTCACACAAAAATATTGTAAAATAATAAAAAAAYGAATATATTATAACAATAAATATTTTAATTTAAAAATAGTAAAGTAAACAAAAAAAAAGATATAAATATTAACCTTAAAATTGAATTTTCTATTTTATTCTTATATTTTTCAAAAACTAAATCACGATTTTYATAATCTWTTTTTAAGAATATACTGTATATTATCAAAAAATATGTTACAAAATCTGTATTTGACAACAATTTTGTGTGTCATTCTGTGTCTGTKYTCATCATTTAATTGTCAAAACACATACAATGATAATAATAATAATAATAATAACAGTAATTTAAACACTGGTATATCAAAAGTAATTGACAGACATTCAGATAGTGTGCGTCTATGGCTTTGTAAAGGAGAAGGTATTACATCTGAACAGTGGACACGAATTAAAAGCGAATGTATTAATCCAAGAATCAATCAATTAATGCCTGTAATGATCGTTAAACTGTATCATTAATTTTTAGTATTSAACTCATAATATAACAAACAATTTTATCTGTTTTATGATCATTACATATAGGAAATTGGTGTCAATATTTGGCAAGAATGCAGTCAAAAGGTATCTGATCTCTGCGATGATATTCAATGGAAAGAYGGAAAAGATTGTGTCCGAGATATGATTTCAGATCAAGATATCGGGGTATTATTACTTTATATATCAACATTTTATACAAATTTTATTTTTAAGCACTTTTATCTTAATTTCCCAATACTTTTATATATAAGGTAGTAATAACAAATATGTAATGTAAAAATATTTTWATATTTCAATCTTAAAATATGTTTCCGTAATTTATAACAAAATTTAGMTATTTTTAAATTTTATCAATTCAGAAAATATTTTTAGATAAATATATTTTATATCAAATAATAAATTGAATTTTCTCTATAATATAATATTAAATACTAAAGTAWATGTATAGTATATGCATATTATTACTTTATTTACCAGGAAATGCATRTCTGGTATAAAGGTCGAGCCATTCAAATGAGAAATAGCTTTCATATAATCAAGGTATTGTATTTTTGGAAATATATTATTGTATATAAATTGTTGATTAGTGATAATAAATGTAACAWTTATTATTATTATTATTTTGTTTATAGCGATGTTATGAAAAACAACGAAATAATTCAAAAAATGAATAAATATTTGATTATTGGAAAAAATGCTAAMATATAAATCTAATAATATCTGTAATTTTCTAAATAAAATAAAATCATTTTTATTATTATTATTATTATTATCATTATGTTTTTGATAAAACAATTTTTGATTATACTTATCTAWTCTTAAATTTTAAATTACTAAACATTAAACRTTGAYAGACTTAATGTTATGCTTTGTTTTAGCGCTTTTAAATTCATTATAATCGAGGAATCCGTCATTATTTATATCTTCAGTTCCTAAAATTTTGTCAATTATTGCTAAAATTTTATGCAAAAAAAACTTTTTTAATAACTAATAAAATATCTWTTAATATAAAACCTGTGTTTTCATCAAAAGTGTGTGTATTTGTATGCATGTGATGACTGTCATCGTGTCTGGTCATCATTGATAGTATCTCCAGACCATCTAAGAGCTTGTTTTTATCAAAATCATGTAAACTTCAAAAATAAATGTTTATCAGATGAGTCTGTATTAAAAATATATATATAATAAATATATGAAAAACTAACTTAAATATATGAAAATCTATTTCTTGTTGAGCGTTGACATCAAAATCATAGTTAAATCCGTAATGATATTGAAGTTCATCTTTGACATGTTGTTTGGGTGAATTTGAGCTTGATCATTTTAGATTWAAAAATTGTATTAAATTTGAATAAAATTGATAAACTATTCAATAAATTAAATACTCATTTTCAGGTCCACCAAACATCCAGTCCCACAAATCATCGGCATTTCCTTCGGTTACAGTTGTCTTTAAGTCACTTAATAAATCACATTTTAATAAATTCATAGATAATATTATAGTTGATATAAAAACAATCAAAYAACTTGAGAAAATTTTCATATTTTTATTTATTATTCTTATTAAATACAATTTATTTATTAATTATATATTATTAWTATATTGATATTATTATTAACAAAAATTAACATAATTTACACTTTTATACAATTAAAGCTATTTAGATATTACTGAAGTTTTTTAGAGTAGATATCATTCAATATGGATCACCTGCTCTTTAAGTCAATAATAATTATTTTTTTTTCAATTAGTTTCATTTAAATAATTATATATTTATATATTAATCTAGTCTATAGTATATGTCGTTTTGAGTCAATAATGTATTTATATTTAGTGATTTTCACAGCACATATCGTAATACACAACATATTCACCAGAGATTGTAATTTATCACAATCTCTATCAAACTTTTTTTGATAATATAAGTTATTTACAAATAAATGCGTTTCATTTGATAAGTGAATAAAACTGATGATATTTGCCAAAAATCATACAAATTATAYAACCTTTGAATAAATCAAATTTCTTACTAAATTATTWAGACTACTGTACAATAATTTTTTATTAATTATATTAAAAATTAAACATCTAATTTTAATCAGTTTAATAGAAAGAAATCTACATTAATACTAAATAATTATTTAAGTAAAATTCAACATTTATTATCTATGTTTGATTAGATAAATAAACTTTAAATATGTTCAAAAATGTAGATCTTGATAAAATTTWWAAAAAATTAAATCTACAAGATAATTATGGCCCTAATAAATACATATATAGTAAAAAAATTATTAAGGACAACAAAAATTTATTAAATTATTTGTATTAATTGCAAATTGTATTTTTGATATATAATTTATACAAATAACTACATAATACTAAAGTTACACTTATTAACTCATTTATTATTATTTTTTGAAATGAATTTTTATGCATAAACATTCAATATTTTAAAATTTATTGTCTATTTATTTATAAATCCTATATATCGTATACTTTGGGATTTAAAACATAACACCAATGATAGTTATACTCTATTTTAAAAACTATGTYATATATTGTTGGATACAAAGATCTTAGGGTAAGTGAGATTCAAAAACATTACTTACGGTAACTATATATTGGATTTAGTGGTTAACGAGTCATTTGACATATGATACTATTGAAAGGTTAACGGCAGTGATTTTCAGCAATATTTAAGTACAGATAACAATCAGTAAAGATATATATTTTATACCTATAATATATCATAATACTGTATTTCAATATAAGATACTGTACTATTAATATGTATAACAATTATATTGTAAATAACTTAAAAAATATTACTGTATAAATTAATTAACGGTAATTATAAAAATAAATATAAATAATAAATATTAGTGSGTATAAGTAACAAACAAAGTGATACTACAATTACCGATAATAAATATAAAAATAATACATTTTGTAAATAAAAAACAATKAAAATATAATTTCACCGAAACTCTAATGACATAAAAAAGGCTTTAAACATCAATTTATGCCAATAATGTATTACTATTTCAATGCCTAATACCCGTCGGCAAACTGTCTCTGTTGTGGAAATTGTGTTTGTGATGGCATTTGTTGGCCACTCATTTGGTCGCCGAATTGACCAAAACCTGGCTGTTGACCATCGGGTGGACCCATTTGGCCGGGGATTTGTTTTCGATGAAATTGAGTCTCTTTRTAGACAAACCACATACTGGCCGCCCATAAAAATATATTTGCAAAACCAAAAATCTATTGGAAAATCAATACATTAAAAGAAATTSGAGTTAATTAAACAAATAATATCAAGTTTTACGAGTGATATATTAAGTGAAGTCCATTTTCCCGGTTTGTTTTTAATRCAGGCGCCTCTGTAGGAGTTGTCGATCTCATCCGAGTTGGGAGACTTACAAAACTCTAAGTGAGWCATTAGATAATCGGGATCTGTATAGTAACGGATATCGCTAACACCGGCCGCATGAGCGCAGGCACCCGCCAACCAAAATAACGTTAAAATACCGGTTCCCGCTAAGTCTAACACTGCTAACAATGGATTACTCTCGTAATGCTGACCACCAAATATATAAAGAACAAGACATCCGGTTGAGTAAAGAAAGCCCAACACACCGGTCGCCACAAAGAACTGAGCGCTACTCGAAAAATCCATCGGATAGTCCTGTGTTTGTCGGCCTTCAGTTACATTGTTRGCACAACTCTTCCAGGCCTTGATCTGTCTGCCATCAAATTTAAATGGATATTCAACCGGAAAATTAATTTTATCCTTAAAATATGGTTTCACAGCTTCTCCAGTCATATTAGTGCACGTCATGGTAAATGAGGTGATGGTGTCGAAGCCCGATGTCGTGGCAAAAGCCAAGATCGCAAAGATCTGTAAGCAATCAAAAGTTATATAATTATATTAATATATTTATTAATACATTTAWTTAATTGTATATAATTTAAAATACAAACCAATGTAATGATTCGGATCATCCCTCGTGGCTCTTGAACCACACGTGTGTTATATTGAGTCAAATCCATTATATTTAACAATTATTGCCAAAACACTTAATATTGTAAATCTATTAATAATTTTTWWAATTTACGGTAATATTAAAAATATTTTAATATAGGATATGTTTTAGTATCAAATGTAGTATATTTAGTTGTCTYTACATATTTCTTTTGTATTGTATATTAAAAGCAAATTTAATTTTAGAAAACATGTCATAATTTAAAATTTACAAATGTATTCAATGTATTAATTRATACAACAATTTGATTGAAGGCTTCAAAATTGAAAACATGTACTCATAATATGACAATTATAGCAATTACTAATGCTATGTATATTTAATAATTAAAATGACTTATTATATAAATATTTGCGAAAGTATGTGCTATAATGTCATCAAATTTATATTTTTATTGTACAGTATATACAATATATTCAGTAAATTATCTAAATATTAATAACAAAATAGATTCAGTCAATTATACACGATATGCAACTATAAACTAATTATATATTATTTATATGAATACTAAATTATACCGGTATATGTTATTATATAATATTGTATATATAGTCTGTTTGCTAAATTAAAAACATATTAATATAATTTGTCGATATTTAATACAAACTATTAAAATACATGACAACATACTATATAATCTTYGAGTATTTGTTTTAATTATAAACATTTATTACAATATCATTGTTAAGATTATTTAAAAAAAATATCCTAGTTTATATAAATTATGACTATAAATTTTACATCAAATAAACAATTTGATTAATTGCAAATAATTTAATAAAATTCATATGGCAATGAAATATAATAATTATCAAGGTAATAATTATATCAAATTTTCATTGTTCATTATCAAGGTTCATTTATCATATCAATTAYATTTATAATATTGYATTAATTAGAGGTTGCAAAAATTGTCCATGTTATAACATTGATTTAAAAATTAAAAACTAAATACAATAAATAAWTTTATTTAAAAATTAAAAAAAATGATAAATATATGACAAGACCTCACCTCTCGTTTATTTATTTATTTAATTTTGTCGTCAATTTTAAGTATATAGTCTTTCGGAGACAAAATATATTTCAGGTAATTATAAGATCAATGAATTAAAAATTATAATTGAATTGATATTTAATGTGAAATGAATAATAGTTTTGATAAAATAAACTCCGAAACCATTATTTGATTATTAATTATTGAATGAAACCAATCACTATATTTGACTAATATATTGCCATTAATACAATACAATACAATACAATACAATACAATACAATACATACCAAWTGTATGGCTAAACATCAAATAACYAACACTTGGGTCGCTATAATCATCAATTATTTGGCACTTTTTAATATGCAAACATTAGTATAAAAATCTAGTGTAAACTGCATATTAGTCTATTGGATAAAATGGTCCAAAAATGTATAAATGATATTTTTAGTCATTAGCGAAGTACAGCACACAATACATACAGTATAGTACAAGTACTGTGACTTTAATATTGTATTAAATATTACATACTGTACTGTATTATACAACTTGTATTCTGTATGTATGTTATGTAACGATTCTGTAAAACTACTTGAGCTATGGTTACACACACTAACACATTAACCAATAGGAAAATTATTTTACATATTGTGTATATGTATTAAACACCAATAATTTCTAAATATTGAACCAAACATTTARTATATATTAAAATATTCAATATATTAATAATATAAGTTAATTATAATTTATAMTATATATTAATATATTGGTTTTTTAAAAGTAATATTATCTATAATAATAAATATTTAAACAAAAAATARCYAAATATTCAATTGAATTTTGAATAATTTTTAGAATTATTGTAACAATTTCTATGATATAAGATTGACACCTATGACCTAGGTACTATTTTGACAAGTTTATATAAATCTATTGATTTATTTTGGGTAATATTTATAATATTTATATTTATTAATAAATAAGTAAATGTTAAATATAGTAATAAAACAATTTATAAWAATTAATAAACTATTAATAAAATTGAAAATAAAAAACATATTGTAATGTATTATAGATTTAATTTATTGACACAAATGTAACGTAATGTGTGAACACTTTGGTTTGAAATTAGTATATCAAACGTGACTCAACACAAAACAACACAAAACAACACAAAACAACACAAAACACATACAATTAAAAAGTAGTTTTGATTTTGTATTTATTTGTGACTACACTTGAATTGTCCACATAATCGGTAACCACTTTGTTGTCTGACCACAATGTTTTTGACCCGATCGGAGTACGACAGAGGTGTCAATACCTTCTCACCCGAGGGACGACTCTTTCAGGTTGAATACGCCATCGAAGCCATCAAAGTATGTCAATTAACCGGCAATAGTGACCACAAATAGCCATCAATTTGTTAATTGTTTATATTTTGTATTGTTTTGATCGATAGTTGGGTTCGACGGCAATCGGTATTCAGTCGAGTGAAGGCCTTGTGTTGGCCGTCGAGAAGAGAGTTACTTCAAGTCTGATGGAAGTGGCGGCCACTGAGAAGATATCTGAAATCGATACACACATTGGATGTGCGGTCAGTGGTCTTATGGCTGATAGTAGGACATTGGTTGATAGGGCACGTGTTGAGGCACAGGTATGTTAGTCGACATTCATTAATAACATATAATTAACTTATATTTATTTGACAGAACCATTGGTTTCTGTACAACGAGAAGATGTCCGTCGAGTCGGTAACTCAGGCCGTGTCAAACTTGGCCATACAGTTCGGTGATTCGGACAATGAGGGAAATGCTATGAGTCGGCCGTTTGGTGTGGCCATACTGTTTGCCGGCATCGATGAGAAAGGCCCTCAATTGTATTATATGGATCCGTCGGGAACTTATGTCCAGTGCGACGCTAAGGCTATCGGTGCCGGTTGTGAGGGCGCACAACAAGCTCTTCAAGAAGGTTACCATAAAGTATGTGATTATAAATGAGTTAAATGTAGTGTCAGTTTAAATATTTTCATTAATTTATAGGCAATAAGTATGAAGGAAGCGCTTAAAGTATTGCTAAATATATTGAAACAAGTGATGGAAGAAAAACTGAATTCAACTAATGTTGAAGTGGCGACCATTACGAAGGAAAAGGGATACCTTTTGTTCTCTAAAGAAGAAGTGGAAACAGCACTCGCAGACATTGCATCCACTTCTTAACTGATGACAATGTTTTATGTTTATTATTAAAATAACAATAATTTTCATATTTTATTATTGCTGTATAACATTAAAAACTTGATTTTTCGTATCTCAGAGTTTTATATAATTTATGATAAGTTTACTCTAAAAATAATTTCAAAGAATTTTACTACTTTTATATAGAAAATAATATTTAAAATACTGATTCAATTTTCAATAATTACATTTGATCTCTCAATACGAGATTCAATTGTATTATTAACAAGAATTAAAATTAACAAAAAATACTTGATTTGGCCCACAAAACAATAATTATAATTTTAAACAAAAATGAATCATCAAATCCTGTGTCCATTGATTTCGACTTTAGCTCTCTCTCTGATCTCTTGAAATGTATATTCTTTGATAAGTTTTCCATTTTGAAAAACTGTTTCTAATAGATCATTGATTGCAATTTTCTTGTTTGGGTCTTGTTGTTCCTCATGAGTGATAAATTTCTGATTCTTCTCATTAAATTCCAAACTCAATATACCCTTTTTGGATGTTTTGTTTGGATCTGTTTTAGGATCTTTATATACATTGATTGGTCGGCCATCAATCTCTGCATACGAACACTTGAAGGCACATCTATTGGTGTCTCTGTGGACACGCATAAGGAGTGAACCGCCGCTTCCGAAAACTAAGTTTTCAATACTGAATCGGCAYTCTTTGATCTTATCGAGTATAGTCTTCAATGAATCAATATTAATTGCATCCCCTTGTATTATACGTAAATAATTTGGCAAAACTTTGAATTGTTTACTATTTATATGGCAGTCATTTTTAAATGCTTTATATAAAATATCCAATATTTTAGGCAATACTTCAACAGGATTTCCTGAATCGGGACGTATAACCAATACATTTCCACTTGTATTTCCTCTTTCAATGACCATATCTTTAAGTTTGTCACCCCATATCTTTTCACAGCACTCGTAGATATCATAACTGTCCGAAACAACTGATATGATTCCATCAGGAAATTCCTTCAGCATATGTTCACATGCTTTTAGTTCTCCATCTAATAACGCATCGGGATTTGCAAACGCGGCCCAAGTGGTCATTGTTGAGTGTTCAGTGGCCGGTACTTWAATATTTCATAATTATTTGATAATAACAATATATAGTACCGTATATATAAATATATTATTATTATGATATTTCATTAATCATAGTCTACCTGAAAATCCTGCCATTTCTTCACTATAATATTTGTCAATCATTTGAATGCCGGCTAATGTATCGGTTCCTTTAAAGTTGACCAAATGGGCGGCACCGCCAATGGCTGCTTGCTTTCATATGAATAATAATTTATAAATCATTTTATAAATAACTTATGAAAATATATTTAGACTTAAAAATTACTTCAACCGATGAAACACCTCGATATCCAAAATCATGTAATTGAAAGACCACTTTGTCTAATGAATCGGCCGTTTCGTACATATATTGCGAAATAATCACTTTTTGTTCGCGGGAAAGGGTGGCCACAGTCATTGGGTACCAACACTGGAGCAATAAAGTCTCAAACCTATCAATATTTCTTAAAAATTAATAATATCTTAGATAAATAAAAAGATATGATATACCAATTGGTAATCCACGGCACATCTGGATCAGTGTTTTCCACAGTAAACAACACATTATGTGTGGGAATAACAGATCCCTCCGGTACTGCTCTTATCCTGAGAGGTAGATAACCATTGTGTCGATCAACAATATGTTGCCATCCCTTCTCATTAAAAAGGCTTTCCTTCTGAAAATGTTTGCGACAGAAGTGCTTTGCTTCAGTTATTTTCTCGCCGGTCACCACTTGGCCGCACAGATATCTCTTTAATATGTATTGGAGACCAAAGAAGACCGTGTTATCAAATTTTCCGCCTCTGCTCTCAAAATATGAATAAAGTTTTGTTGTCTTCGGTGGGTATTGTTTCCAATGAGTGATCTAATTATAGTCAAATAGGTTGTCATCAGTTGGGATCAATTGGACAGTAAAGCAAACCTTATATGAATCGGTAATAAGTATGATATTATCGCACGGATTGTATGACATTATGGTTGTGTCAGTCAATCACTTGAATCACATTATAATGTATTAATGAAATCAATTTATAGTMATTTCCTATGCATTCAATTGTATTACATTTGTTTACATAACTATTACACTATTTCACTATTACTTAATACTAAATAAATAGCAAAACATTGACACTAATAAATCACGTGTGTGTGTGTGTGTGTGTGTGTGTGTGTGTTATGYGTGTGTGTGTTTATGTGTGTGTGTGTGTGTGTGTGTGTGTGTGTGTGTGTGTGTGTGTGTGTGTATGTATGTGTGTGTGTGTGTGTGTGTGTGTGTGTGTGTGTGTGTGTGTGTGTGTGTGTGTGTGTGTGTGTGTGTGTGTGTGTGTGTGTGTGTGTGTGTGTGTGTGTGTGTGTGTRTCTACTACTGTACATGTATTAATATAATATAATATAGGTTATATTGATAAATATTCGTAATAAAAAAAATTATCTTAAGTATTTAAAAGTCAATATTTTAATATTACTATATATTGTATCATACAATTTGTATGATAACATTGTATGAAAAAATTTTATTCAAAATATTAATTTAAAAAACTTAGGAGTCATTCAATTTATTTATTTKTATTTTTACTGTAGATCTATTGAATTGCATTATTTTATATTTTATTGTACAAATGGTATAAATGGTTAGTTGAAAAAATAAAACATTATTTAAATGGACATGTAATATTTTTATGTAACTAAAATACTATATATTGCAGTATTATTAAGTATGACAAATTTTAAATATAATAAATATTATGTTAATTATAATTAGTGTATTGATTAATAATTTTTTATACTCTATTAAATAGTTGTTATGATAGTTGCTAAAAAACGTCAAATAGTTGTTAAAATAGTTATTTAAACTGTATTAAATAGTTGTATATAATTTCCAAAAAAGCCAAATAGTTATTGACAGTTATTTATTTTCTTATAAATATTTCAACTAATATATAATTCACTTGTTTTCAGCATATTTACAAAAATGATTTATATAAATAAACTAATTATTTCTATTGTTAAAAAAATAATATGAGTTGATAACAGTTTACACATTTTATATAATTTATATAACTATTACTTTTTGTTTTTACATATATTTGAGCAATATTTTACAATTTAATGCTTATATTTTTCAAAATAACTGAAATAGTTATTTATAAGTTTTTATAGTTGCTAACATAACAAATAGTTATTTATAGTTATAATAAAATTTCGGGAATAGCGTCCACTGGTCAACTTCGGTGGACATACTAAGTCCCAGTTATAAGCGTTAAACCGACAAAATAATTTTTTTAGTTGAAAATCAAGACACTAATTATAATTAATAAGTATAAAGTTTTAACTCAAAAGTTTTACAAAAAAAATCTATTTACTACAGTATTAATAATACATTATAAATTATAAATTATTATTATTATAAATTATAGTCTATAATACAGGCTAACTACTACTACTACTACTACTACTACTACTACTACTACTACTACTACTACTACTACTACTACTACTACTACTACTACTACTACTACTACTACTACTACTACTACTACTACTACTACTACTACTACTACTACTACTACTACTACTACTACTACTACTACTACTACTACTACTACTACTACTACTACTACTAAATTAAGTTAATTTAAAATAATTATTCTTAATTACTATTATTTTAAATCTATACAGTAATTCAATTTTAAATTATTAGTTAGTAAAATAAATTAAACRKTAAAAAATAATTTCAACTGAGATTTCCCATACATTTATCATTTTAGACACATCAGTAATGTATGAGTTTATAATATTTATACTGTATTTCTTAAAATTTAATTTTGTATTAATTATTATATTAAAAGTTGTCTTTAATTGTATGCATTGTAATTGTAAACATAATAATTGAAATTACAATACTTTTACAGAAATATTTTCATTTTTATCACACAATAAATTGATGTTAAGTTTTAATAACAGATTTTATTGAGATTCTTTAATTTAACATATATTTTTATAAACTAAATAAAATATGAAAATATAAAATCGATAAAAAATACAAATTAAGTTTATCTATAATTWTAATACTTTTTCTATAAAATACTTTATATTACGGTAATTAAAATATTTATTGATTTATTGTAGAAAGTTTATGATAGGTTGCAATTGTTTCATAAGATGATTGATATCATCGCTATTATTGTTGATAATATGGTGCCAATCGGTGTACAAATCGAGTCCACATTCAGTCTCTTTGTCATCAATTCCTGTCGTATAAATCCATCCCCTCTTAGCTCTCGTTTCATTAGAGGCACAGACTCTTAGTGTAAGAATTCTGTATTTATATAATTAAATAATAGTTAATCACAATTAATATATATTGAGTAACGATTTGATAGTTAACTCTACTTTTAATAGACAACTCATACTTTGTATGTTTATATTGCAACGATTCCTTGAAATACTGAATATCGCATAGTCTTCGCGCATCTGAGAGTATCCATCGGGAGAAAGACATAGCATTTTTCAWGTCAATGGCTAACTTGAGGAAACAGTTTGGATCATTTTGACGYAAATCCTCTGACCATTTAACCATTTTTTCTCTATAAGACTCTTTATATTTAGAGGCACTCAGCAATTGATTTAAGTCAAGTCCATGACATTTAGCAAAATGTTGTTTAATTGGTTCAGCAATACGTAAGACCATTACATTTGGCACATATTTATTGATGAGATCCACACAAAAATCTTTTCCACATTTCCTCTTTCCGCTAATTATTAAAACTGCAATATATTTTCATTTACACAAAAATATTACATGTCATTTAAAAATGTTTTATTTATTTAAAAAATAACCATTTATACAGTAAATGCATGTATAAATAAAAAATATAACAATAATGCAAATGTTATAAAAATACAATAAAAAATATTATTAATCAAAAATTAATATGACTCATTAATTATTTTTTATAAATCTTTATATATTAGTATTTTACAAATTTATTTGATTTTACTAAATGTGGTATATTATCACATTAAAAATATTCAATATCATTGAATCAAAATTGCTTAAACTAAATAGTATTTTTTAAATATAGTTATCGGTGTAAACATACAATTACTGTATAAATTTATATGTGACAGCACTGACCACTGCTAACGAAGCAGTGGCAACACCACCGATAAGACTCCATTTAAGCCATTTCTTATCAGAATTATTGGTATTACCTTTTGATGGTTTGTTTGGTGACTTCTTATCCAATTCAAGCATACGTTTGTACAATTGTTTTTCAGTGACCAACTCTTTCTTTCGTTTGGATCCATATTTTGCTAGTTCTTGAGCTATTGCTTTGTTTTCAGGTTCTAATTTAAGAGCCTTTTGAAGTGTTTCAATGGCGAGATTCAGTTCTCCCTTTTCTGCCCATATCTTTCCCTTTCTGAACAAAGCCTTTACATTATTGGGTTGTAAGACAAGTACGGCGTCCACTGATTTAAGTGCACCATTGAARTCATCAATTTTCATCTGAGCCATAGCTAAGTTGTTATATGTTACCGACCGGAGATCAATCAACTCCTTAACCTTKGGATCTTCATTGTTATCATTAGACAACTGTCTCTTTACTTGTTCATCAAAATGTTCTTTCATTGGATTACTTTCAACTGATTCCAGTTCATCATCAGTTGCATCCAATAATTTAAGTGCACTTTTATAGCACTGAATAGAAGTGGAAAAGTCTTGTCGAGCGAACCAGAAGTTTCCTCTTTCCTTCTTTCGGTTCCCTTTATAATAAATATCATAAAATACCAATAAATATGTTATTAAAACACAAATAATCACTAATTAAAAGATAAAATTGTAMTAAACATGTCATATAAGACATACCAATTTTAATGCGGTCATCGATAGGCCAAACAAACTCTTCATCGATCCATTGAACGGACAATAAATGAAGTTCACAATCTAGAGTACAATCCGGTGGAACCACATCTGCAATACCTGTCTTTCCGTAAGCAAAMCGAGATTTAATGAGCACTCGGGMCACTTCTTTCTGATCCATTAAAGGTATGATTAGGTCTAAGCCTTGGAAAAAATCTGAATCACCGACAATGATACTAATGGATTCATGAGTCTCAGAATCAACCACTTGTTGAGTGTCAAACAATTTAGTGGTTATTTTWATTGTCACTAAACATCCCCTTTCAGGTCTGGGCTGTCCGACCTCTCCAGGAGTCAACACAAACTTCTTAAGCTCTCCATTGTCTAAGACATCGAGCCATCCGTCGTCTTGTTGTTTAACTTTAGGTTTGTCTTCAGGTATAACAATCTTCTTATCCTTTCCTTTATCGCCCTCTTTATAATCATAATTAATGTCTTCAAGCGGTGGCATATCATCGCCGCCGGTCGACTCGGTATCCGATTGGTTACGTTCACTGGTGGCCGCATTATCGTTGTCGGGCGACTCGTCACTCATTTTTATTAACAATTATCACTCAATGTCTTCACTGTCTTAGCTTTTCTATCAACTCTTGACTCTAAAAGCGACAATCGTTTCAATTGTTGTCCGCAATAATAATAATATCAATGAGTGAATCAAATGAGGAAAAAYTCAATAAACAAAACTAATGTCACATTAAATGCTAAAAATGTTTGTTTTGCACTCAAATTGCAATCAATATTATACTAATCAATGCATTCAATGTATACTCAATTCAATACAGTTTTTCCATAGAATTCCAGAAAAAAGTGATTACGAAATGTGTGTCACAAATGTGTCAATTCATACATATGATCTCCATTCAGGTTTTCCATTCAATTGTATGTATTAAATGCTAGATTTCAATGTAATCGTATTATTTGTTTTCATTACTATAACACTGTTGTGTGACATCTATTGGCAAACAATAATCACAATAAATGAGACCAAAAATTAACAATTATTTCAAACAAAATTCTAAACAATTAGAACTCAAATTGTAATCAAATTAATAAAACATATTTAAAATGATAAACATTTTAACCGACGGGACATATGTGTGGACACAAACCACTAATAAGTTTGTGTCTCACAAACAAAACACAACACAAAGTCAAACGATAATCAAATACATGTAAATATAATTCAAATCAATCAATAAAACAATTATTTTATTTCATTAATCATAAGATATGGACAACAATTATGATATGAATGTCATCGATGGTTAAAAAATTAGTTAAGAGTTTTCATTTTCTTGAGCGCCACACTTAAGACATGTATAGAAGACTGTCTGTCCCTCGTCTGCCGATCGGGTCTGTAATGTAGCGAACGTTTGTTTTTCGTGACCACACTTTTGACACTTCCTTTCAATGACAGGTCCCTCAGCCTTGTCTTGTGATGTGTGACTCGATTTGTGGATCAGATGTCTTGTATTGAAAGTGATTCTTGTGGTTGAAGTAATACCATTGAATTGGTTGACATCAACCGTATGATTGCATACCAAACATGTCATCTGATCTTTGATGTCAATACTCAACGGCAGCGGTAGTATTGTTCCGCAAATGTGACAGAACTCGGTTTGTGATGAAGACATGAKGTTTGGGTTATAAATTATTTACTAAAATAATAATATAAATAATCAGTTATTATAACACATGTGTTAGTATTAAATATCTAAACMGGAATTTTTTAGTAACCGGAACCAAACCGMTTTAAAATTACATTATTTAAAAAAAATAATTTCAATAATTATACTAAATTTTAATATAATATTATCTAATATAAAGTATTATATGATTATCACTAAAAAAATTAAATTAATTATTATTAAGTTGTAGTTTAGATTATTATTAGTTTTTGGTTTAGGTTTTAAAGTTTTGTTTAAATTGTTTTGAACTCTAGTTTTATGTATAGTGTATGACTTAAGTTATCATATATTGTATTGAATTTATAGTCTATTTTATCCCTAATTACTTGATTATAGTTTAAATAAATGATTAACATTTTTAAAGATAATGTTAAAAAATTTGAAATATTAATAATATGTATAAAAATATAATTGACTCAACTATGACCACCAAATCAAATAAAAACTATAGGCGTTCAACAAAAAAGACTAATCTATATAAAAGTGTATTAAAAAAATCATTTATTAAATCACTTGATTTAAGAGATGGTCAAAACTATCTATTCATTGAAAAGATGGACAAATCAAATGCTGACAATTGTTATCAAACGTTGTATTTTAAATACAAAAAAAAATGTTGAGAAAAATATTATCACTAATTAATTTCATTGACCAATATCTTAAATATCTTTCTGACCAAACATTAAGGTATCAGTTTAACCATCAATTTATATAAATATCTTTCAATTAACTGTTGTTTGTTTTAATAGTGATTTAATTGACCTACAAAAAGACTGCCAACATCTCAACACTCAAATGATTGCATTATTGGAAGTGTTATCGCAAAGCAGTCAAAGCAGTCAAAGTGGTCAACAAAGCCATAGTGACAACCAATTGAAAACCACATTTTGTGGTCGTTTAGCAATTTTTGCCAATTGGTTGTTGTGTTTAATGACTTCTAGGATAAGTGAGACACCGGATGTCATTACATGTGATAATGATTCGGCCGTCGAATGTTCGGGTAATCAATTGACACCACATTTGATATATAAACCCAATTTAGTGACTTTCGCTTCAAAAACATTACAAGAATTATTAAGAAATGAATCAATAAATACTTATTTTTCAATAATTAATTTCGAGAATTCAGTTAAAAAGATAGTTAATAATGAGGTTATGTATGTATGGATTAATTTAAGTAATTCATGTCTAATATATATTAAAATAATTCAATCATTTGTTTAGTAAACAGAGTTTAATAGAAATGATTGAAAAAATGAGAAAACAAATCCATAAATTCATTTTCAATTGGATCTCAATCTTTATTCGGATGTCGAGACCAACGAAAATAATGAAGATTCACATTCAACACAATCCACACAAAGTTATGACCAAAACTCACAGATCAATAGTTTGGAGTCAATCAATACAAATGATGAACACAACAACATTGAAGTCATCAAAGTATGTCAATTAACCGGCAATAGTGACCACAAATAGCCATCAATTTGTTAATTATTTATATTTTGTATTGTTTTGATCGACAGTTGGATTCGACAGCAATCGGTATTCAGTCGAGTGAAGGCCTTGTGTTGGCCGTCGAGAAGAGAGTTACTTCAAGTCTGATGGAAGTGGCGGCCACTGAGAAGATATCTGAAATCGATAAACACATTGGATGTGCGGTCAGTGGTCTAATGGCTGATAGTAGGACATTGGTTGATAGGGCACGTGTTGAGGCACAGGTATGTTAGTCGACATTCATTAATAACATGTAATTAACTTATATTTATTTGACAGAACCATTGGCTTCTGTACAACGAAAAGATGTCCGTCGAGTCGGTAACTCAGACCGTGTCAAACTTGGCCATACAGTTCGGTGATTCGGACAATGAGGGAAATGCTATGAGTCGGCCGTTTGGTGTGGCCATACTGTTTGCCGGTATCGATGAGAAAGGCCCTCAATTGTATTATATGGATCCGTCGGGAACTTATGTCCAGTGCGACGCTAAGGCTATCGGTGCCGGTTGTGAGGGCGCACAACAAGCTCTTCAAGAAGGTTACCATAAGGTATGTGATTATAAATGAGTTAAATGTAGTTTCAGTTTAAATATTTTCATTAATTTATAGGCAATAAGTATGAAGGAAGCGCTTAAAGTATTGCTAAATATATTGAAACAAGTGATGGAAGAAAAACTGAATTCAACTAATGTTGAAGTGGCGACCATTACGAAGGAAAAGGGATACCTTTTGTTCTCTAAAGAAGAAGTGGAAACAACACTCGCAGACATTGCATCCACTTCTTAATTATTGATTTCATAGTTTTGATTAAAAAACACACAATTTATAATTTTATACAATAATATTCATTAATCAAAGATTTAAAGTAACAATTTATAAATTTATCTAAAACAGAAAATATATTAATAAAATACTAGTAAATTGTTTTAATTTTTTATATTAAATATTGTTTAATATTTGATGATTTATTTAATATAAACATGAATTCTATGCCATGAGTTGTTTAAAACTCCTCTCAAATTCCAGAGATGTCTTACATCTTCAGGTTGTGTATTGTATGACGAGTCGTGCGCCCGACAGATGAGCTCAACCTTATCACCAGATTTGCATTCATTAGGCACCGGAATCTTAGCCTAATATCATAAAATAACAATTAATCCGTTGGTTATTAGAAACTCATTCATTAGTAACCTTCCAAAGAGTCCAAGAATAGGTTCGATTTAGTGGACTTTCTTCTTGTTGTAGTTGCGCTGTCACCCAATTGAGTCCATTATCAGCCGACACGTCCACACGTATCACTTTCCTACCGCCACCACTCCATGAATACCCACTTAAACTAATATTCCGATTGCWATCAATTTCTATAGTCTGTCCCTCCCGAGGCTCACAAATAGCTGACTGCACCGGTAACTCTTGAATCGATGGCGCGCTAGTAAAGTCCACGTTATGCCAGTCGACATTTGGTGAGAAACTCTTATAATCGTTTCGTTGCCAATGACTATGACTTTCTTCATTACTCAACACAATACGTGCCAACCATTTGACATTACGTGCGCCTACAATGCCCGGTGCTATCAGTCTTAAAGGGTATCCGTGATCCAGTGGTATATCTTCACCATTCATCTCATAAGCGATCAAAAAGTCATAATTTGGATTCAATGCCTAACAGTTAAATTTTTTAATAAACATTTTAGATTTAATTGAATATCCTGTAAATATTCATTACTTTTAATGCTTCAACACTAGCGCCGTACGGATTAGACGAGACATCGAAGTCGAGTCCTTCAAACTGAATGTGTTTTATATTTTGATCACCAAAATCAAGACCACAATATTCGAGGACATCGACAAGTCGGGCACCACTCCACTTAGCGTTACTGATTGCGGCCGAACCCCAGGACAGACCCTTCACTTGTTTAATCTGTTTTTAGTACAGAAAATGGATAAAATTTAAATCAATTAATGATTTCAAAAATAATTACAATTATAATACTTTATTCATCTCATCGCGTCTATTGCCAGCACATTGTATGGTAGATATTACAGAATATTTTGGAAATTTAGTTTTAATATCTTCTAAAGTCAATGTCTTTGGGTCTTTGAGACCAAAACCTTCAATCTCTAGCGTATAGTTATTGACATCGATTTCAGGAACTGGTAAATGATTTCTGACAAAAAATATTTCTCTAAATTTTGTTTAATTAATTTTGCTATTTATCTGAATTATTAATATATTAATAGTTTTTATAAATTACTTTACTTTGGAGTTAAAAAATTTTCAAYGAGTAGTTCTTGAGGTGGTTCAGCATTGAATGGCTTTTCGGATCTTGCGGTTAGCACTGGATGTCGTTGAGGATCGTTAGCGTAGGGGTCGTCAGTGTCCTTATCAACGGTTCTGTCTTTTGCATCCAAATTACCGATTCTATACTTTTCTAATATAGTAAACACTTCTTGTGTCTTATGGACCGCAAATAATGTCCAAAACGGTTCCAAAGCCCCGCCCGAAGCCATCAAAATTTTATCGCCGCCCGGATGTTGGCCAACAAATTCAGTGATATCATAGACACCACTCCTGAATGAAACCCAAACTCTTTTGGAAACTTCATTATGTTTTGCCACTTCTTCTTTTGTATAACTTTCCAAACCTTTGATTTCGCGACCAAATTCTGCAAACTCTTCATTGGATTCATTTTTAATTTCTTTAGCATTGACTGAATATTTATTCTTATAGTTAATCCATAGGAAACCCATTGTCGATGCAATTGTGGCCAAAATAGCATTACTTTTGTGGCAAAACTTGTTGTTATCATAACTTTCATTATTATTGTATTTGTCTCTCGACTTATAAGAGGAGTAATAGTTAACACATTTTGTGTTATATTGTGTCAACACTTTGCCACAGATTATTGATGAGTGATAAACACATCTCGTATTTGATGGCAACTGATCCACAAGTCTTACGATAATTGCTGTCGTCTTAAGCATAGTTCACTTGTAATGACAAACAAATTGTTTTATTTTATATGAAATTAAATTACTATTTAATTACATGTATTTATAATGTTTTCAAATATCAATTTAAATAATCATTTAAGTGATTATCAAATCAATATACAGATAACTGGTTCTAATTGATGGACAAAATATTTATTGCATAACAATAATATACGTTTARTGTTAGACTTATATAATTTGCATAATTAGTCAATTATATAGTGATTGAAACATTGGACTTATAGTATAAAACATCAAATTGTTATTCAAACAGTTAAACCATACAATGATCCATCAATACAGTAGTAAAACTATTATAATAATTTTAATTATCGAAAAAGTGTACAAAAATATTATTTCTAAACAATAATATCAACTTTAAATCCAATATACATAATATAATGTTAGTAAAAGTATTGTAATTTTAATTATCTAATTAACTATATTATTCACTAGTATTCACTAATTAACTTAATTATTAGTAATAATTTTTAAAATTATACATTTACTATACTWTCACTACAGTACTATTATATTTTATATGCAATATATAATCAAAATTAACAAAAGTTGTATTTTTGTGTAAATCACAGCTAATGATAAAACTTTTATATTTAAAAAAAMCGATTAAAACAGTTTGCAAACTAAAGTATGATATGCTTATCATATGTCTGTTGCCTATCAAACCCTATTACAGATCCTCTTCCATACCATTCATTAACTGTTATCTCAAGTCAACTGTTATTTTGGTATTCACTCAAAAAAACAGAAAAAAAGATTTAAAGTTTATTGAAAATATGAAAATTGTATCTGAAATATGAGTACATGAATGAGTGATACTTAACTTAGCGTTAAATATATGAACTCATGGGGTGTTTGGGCACTTCATACAAGTTTTGAATTAATTTGATGTATTGACTCCATTGACTCCATTGACTTCATTGCAAAACTATATCCTTAAAAAAGTTTGTTCTCGTGTTTTGTTACTAAACTTTATTTAATATTTTGTAAATTATTGTAAACTTATAATGTATTGCACTATAAAAACATGTCATTAATTGCTTATTTATATATTATCATTATTAATATATAATTATTTTTAATCATTTTCTAATAAAAATTGATAATATATTTAATCTAAAATGTGTACCGATAATTATATTTATATGACATTCACTCATATATATAATTTTAAAARATAGTATACTTTATTWGTGGTTTTATTAAAATGATAGTAAATACATACTATATTTATAAATATAACTGTATATTTGCTAATAATATCATATTAATATAACAAATTAAACTATAAATAGTTATACAAATAAARTATTTGGAAAATTGAATTATAATTATAATATAWTATTATTCATAACATTTTTATAAAATAATAAATTTAATTACAATTTTATAATATTTTATGCAAAAACAAAATCATTAGTAATAAATGTAAGAGATTTGTAAAAAACATTTTATAGATTATACCTTTAGGTGTATMTTTTAAATCAAATCATTTAGTTTTATAAACAATGAGAAAACTATTAATCTCATGCTTTATCACAGAAATCAATATATTATAAAAATTTATTTTTTAAAAATTAATTAAGTTTTTACATAATAAAAAATAGATAGATGAGAGAGAGAGAGAGAGAGAGAGAGAGAGAGAGAGAGAGAGAGAGAGAGAGAGAGAGCTAATTAAATTTTGTTGGCTAATTATAAGATTTTGAGAGACAATAATTTGCTTAAAAAAATATCTCTAAATTAATGTCTATTATGTTTATGTGGTTTTAATGAACGTTAACTCATTTATTAAAAAGCAATCAACTCAGTGATGAATTACATACTGTACTAATTTAACCAATGATTTATTAAAAGTTGATCTCATTATTTGGCTAAAAATGGTTCAACTTTTGTAACTATTAAGTTAACAGAAATATTTTAGGAAATAACTATAAACTAAAGTAATTACTTTATCATACATTAGGTTAAACTTATTATAGGTTTAAGTGTTTGCTATTTCATTAATATTTTAATATATGATTGATTTTAGAGTATTTAATTAATAAAATGAATACCAAAAAATACAAAATTGTTGATTTTATAGATCAGTTAATGTATTGCAAAACAAAGAAGTTGTTGGAAACTACTAAACAATGTTGTGATCATTGGGTGTCAGAAAAAGACAAATATCTTAATTTGTTRATAAAAKCGACCGATATTTTGGTCATAACTAATATTGATTTGGACGACAYATCATTTCGTTTGGTGATAATCAACAAATTGATGCAATTGATCCATTACTACGACATTCAACTACTAAACGGTGAGATTTTAACCAAAGTGTCTGAAATGAAACAATCGATCGAAACTATTAAAGATTACATAAATATTGTYCGCAAAGATTCCAATAAAAACGTGAATGAATTGCATGATTCCCGAAATTTTTATGACCAAAAATTTAAAGAATATTATGAAAGAATTAAATTAGAGGAAAAAAAGATCAAAGACTGCGGTTATAATGAAAACTTAAGTCAACAGTCTTTTGAAGAAATTAAAAGATCTAATGATAGACTGAGACAGAGATTGACTTTAATTCAACACAAACTCAATGATTACACATTTGAGCCAAATATCACATCACTAATGAAAGCCATTAATGATTTAAATGGTCAACAAAAAGATATATTGGAAATTGATTTAGATATCTAAAAACATGTTTTTAAACTCTTTATATTAAATTATAATTTTAAATTTATTTCTATACACTAATGTYAATCATATGTACAATAATTATAAGTCTATAAAATTATATTATTTTTCTAATTGCTGGTTTTTAATGATATTTTTAATAAAACAAATGTACTAATTTATAAAACTACTTATATTCTATAAAAATTAAATTACACAAAGTTTTTAATTATATAATTTTACTTTATTGATTCAATAAATTATTCAATATTTTTAAAGTAAAATTTTGTGTCAACTATTTAAAATTATATTTTTAGTTTACATATTTCTTATTATGGGTTAAGTCGAACAAATCAATTGATCGCTTATTTTAATATATAACAAATTTTTCAGACACTTGAGGGCAAAATTATACTAAATTCCTGAACATTATTATACAGGAGACAGGTATCATAAAGTCAATAAATTTTGCAAAATTATATATTTATAAATGTATTTCTTTTATTTTGCAAATTTATTGACTTGGATTGCATAATAAGGGGTTAAATGTTTAGTAAACTTTCCAAAAAAACACATTTTAGCACTGTTTAAAATACAGGTAAATATTAATAGTTTTCAAAACATTTTTACGCTTTAAATTATATATAAAAATAAATAAAWWAAATAAAAACAAATTATTTATAAAGTTAATATTACTGTACTTATTATTATATTTAAAATTATTTAAAAATTATTATTATGTTTGTTGCTAAGTGCACACTAAACATTTTATACATTATATAAAATAAAGAAATAATTATTTTAAAACATAAAATAAATAATTTTTACTTTATATGATATATAAATATTATCTGATGTTAATGTAACTCATGAACTATTTTTATAGCTTCTGTGTTGTTGTTTTGCAAAAATATTTTAATTTATATATCAATTGAAGAATTTTTACACAACCGTGAAGTATATGTGCATTAATATTGTATAWATAWATAWATATATATATATATATATTGATATATRTTTAATAAAAATTATATTAAATTTGAAATCATTATTCAACTTAATGACAAATATATTCATTTTTTAAAATTTATWTTAATGTTAGAATATGATATATTTATAAAGTAGTAAAATATTTTTGTRAAAAATATACAAAAAATACATTAATAGTACATMTCGTAAGTCAATAATATAAATTTAGTATATAATGAGCCCACTCTTTTCAGTTACTTATATCAACAAATCTTATAACTTATGGTTTAATATAAACTTTATATATAATTTATAAATTTATATTTAAAACATTTTGATCAGGCATTGACTCCAATCATAAAAGATAATATTCTTGCATTTAATGTTTTTMAACATTTTTTTATAGTTTAATATCTCGGTATCAAAATWAAAACAACATATGATATTWWTTAAAAAATTCATTAGACAACTGTCGCACATCACTGACTCATCTGAAAAAATGACTTTAATTTAAGAATATGAAAGTAATAATAATACAAAATATATAAAAARTGTCTCAAAAAATAAATGCATTTTCAATATATATWTTCTGCAAATTATTTGAATACTTCTAACCATTAGTTAACGTGTGTTTAAAAATTGAATGTTTAGATTCAAATGCACTGAAATTTATTGGTTTTAAATTTACGCTAAAATGAACACAAAAGTCGATTAGTGTAYGAATAATGTGTTGAAAAAAGCAGTGCCGCTAATGCTATATATATTGCCATATGTATGGTCAGTGGGGTCCGACTAATGTGATATTGATCTATAGGTGTGCGACAAAAACACCACTGAGTGGCACACATGCCATAACACTCATATATAATACCTGAGCTGCAAATTCATGACATTAATGCCAGGCATCGCACCGTTGGCTGACTCTCTTTGTTGATGTTTTGCACAGTTTGAGTAAAAATTTTCACTTCAATAATGTATTTGAAAAACTTTTTTGAGTGACTAAAGTAATTGTCTGAAAGAGAGAGAGAGAGAGAGAGAGAGAGAGAGAGAGAGAGAGAGAATATGATATTAACTGGCATTTGATGACAAAATTGTCGGTTTTCTCACACATAAACACTAGACTGTTGTCTCTCTCTAGCCTTTAATACACAAACATTGCTAATTAGTTTGTGATTACGATAGATATGACAAACATACTATACATTATACTTTTTATACCTCTATAAAGTCATTATTTTCATTATTWTTTTTAGATGGACTTCACTTTTTCTAACAWATGTCTGGGAAAATGTTTTTTGAGTTTTATGTATATTRTGTTAAAAACAAATTTGTATTTTTCTATATTATTAATAACACACAACAAATATTTTGAATACTATTAATAGTTGAGACTGTTTTGGCAGTTATTTTCACATAACATTTGCACTCAAAATTCAAGTTTGTGTTAAAGGTTTGCCCGCAAGTCATTCATTCAATTAATTATGAGAGAGAGAGAGAGAGAGAGAGAGAGAGAGAGAGAGAGAGAATTTTTGATAGAGATAGAGAGAAATTATTATAGAGTTATATTATATGAAAACAAGTTATATATTGTTATAATATTAGTTGAAATACCAAAGTGTTTCTCCCGGAGTCTCACAAAATAACACAACGAGTTGTACCAACTTTTCGCACATTCATTAATGCATTCAATCATTTTTTCTTAAACCCCAAGATTTGCATTATTTAATATTATATATAACATTACATAACATTATTTTACACAATAGGAAATGTTATTTTCAGACATCATATTGATGTKTATGMGAATTAAGTTCTCTTTAGTATCTCTTTATAATATTGTAAAATTGACAAACAATTGTACAAACTTTATAAAACTAAAATTTATCATTAWTTTCTTAACTATTTTCTATTAATTAAAATTATTAATTATAAAATTTTCTTTTTCATAAGATTTTTATTGTCAACTTTGTAATAAYTGTCATATTGAACAAACAATCTGACAATTATTATTAGCAAAAATTWGTTAATAAATTATATAAATTAAAATTATAGTAATAAAAAATTAAAACATACTTAAATACTATCAATTATTATAATTGCTTACAATATAAGTATATTTTAACATTGTATATAATTTACTTTAYTGTAAATTTATATTTTATTTAAATATTACATTACTTTATACAATAAAWATGTCTAAAATAAAGGTATAACAATAMAATAGAAATAATAGAGACAATATTTATAATAATAATAATAATATATTCACATTTTTAGATGTATTATAAACATAAACATCATATTGAATATTTAATTCGATAATAACTATAATAATTATTAAATAGAAAATAAATAAWAATTTATAATTTATTAAAATTTTGGTAAATAACTTAATTAGTGGCTTAAACTATCGGTGCCATTCAATTAGTTTTTACATTACATTACATTTTAAACTACCTTTTAATAATAAAATCTTTAATGGATATTATGTAAAATTAATATCCATTACTTTATTCAATATTATTAAAATTGATATGATATTAAAGTCAATTTTTAGTTATATAATTAAATTAATTTTTAAAACAATTTGTAATCGTTTATTTTAGGAAAACATAATATGTATAATAGCTATTATAATGTTATAATATAGTATATAATTTATTATATTCTATATATAGCTTTTATAATAGCAATCCGGTTCTAATTCATAATTATGTTTATCGGTTGATAATCTAATTATAAAAATATTATATAAAATGAGAGCAAAAATTATTTCTAGAGATATATCGTACATATATATATACAGTACATTAATTATAACATAAAATGTTGTAAATACAAAACAAAATACTTTTAATGTAAAAAACTTAGAAAAATGTAATAAAAAATGTGACTTTTATATAATTGTAATTATATTTTAAAGCCATAATTATCAAGCACTGACTCAATACTATTACTAAGATTAGTATTATTGTTAATATTAGTATTTATATCAAATGCATTGCGTTTACAAAACTCCCTTTCCAAGGAACGGGAGATATTTCGGCGTTCACTTTCATCAGAGAAGATGGTATATAAGTTACTTCTTTGTTTGGGTCTATTACTGGTTCGGCCCCAACTGCCCACATGCCTGATATGTGACTGTTGTATGGGTGCTTCYACTCTAATGCCATTGACTGACGAGTGAGTAAACTTATTAGCTGATGATGTGATGGTCCGAYGGGACGGTAAGTAATGTTGATATAATGTCACATCATTTGGTTGCGACTCTAAACAATCATAAAGTATTTCTTCATAGATGTGCTGTTCAGGGAATGTTCGATAGGATGTGGAGCTAATGTCACTCAAGTCACTGGTATCTGACTGTCCGATTGAAAGTTCTTTCATAAGTAGATCAATGTTTGATTCGTTATCGGAGTCTGTACTGAATATAGTATTCTGGAGACGACTGGACGTCGCCGATGAGTAAATATCTGTTGCGTTATTAGGCACCTGTAGGTCATTGAGTATTTCAAGCATACATTTGGCCATTTCGTTTAAATGCTTTTTCTTAGATTTACGATTAGATTTGGCACTAAATGATCTGTTAGTTTGGTTGTTGGTGTTGGTGGTCGAGTGTGKTGTTGTTGTTGTTCCGTAAAGACTGCTGTATGAACTCAAACAGTTGGTATGGTTGCTGGCAGTAGTGGTYGTCGAGCTCAGGGTTGTGTTAACTCTTGGTTCAGACGTTATGCTTAAGTCAACCTCCTGTTCAAGTGCTTTGCTAGACATCGACGACGAAAATCCTGTTTTGAGCGATGAATACTCTGTTGATTAGATACAGGGATTTAACAACACATGAGTTCATGTAATTCTTATAATAGGCTTTCATATAATAAAAGTGAAAATAAAGATATGTTTTGTTAGGCTTTCTTATGCCATCACAATTGATAACTACTTTATATTCATTTGTTAACTATTGAAAACCACAATAAATACAACAAAATAAATGTATGCTAAACATTACATATAAAGTAACATAAAAACAGTAGTAATTAATAATAATGAAAAGCAATTGTAAATTGTATTTTTGCTTATTTTTATTTTATATACCATATAAACTACTGTTTTTTAAAAAATTATTAAATGAATTCCTATATAGTGAATAAAGCGGACATATATAACGATAGAGGGGTTTTATAACCATTAAGCCGGTATCTAATGGTTTATTTATGTAAATTAATTAAATTGTTAGCCCAGTATTGCTAGTATATATGTATGTGCTGTGTTGAGTACACGGTATCTATTAAATACAGTTAATACATAATGCACTTCACATATATTTAATATAATTGTGTTGATTATAGCACAACAATAAGCACTTTTAATTATAATTATTAAAACAAATAATAAATAATTTAAAAAATTAGTAATAAATAAATAAACAAAAATAAAAAAATTAATTAAATTAAATCAATTGTAAATCATTTTTTTAAAAAAAAGTTAATTATAATTTGATTTATTGATTAACACACACAAACATATATATATATATAYAWACACTATATGTGATATATAAAGAGCTAAACAAATAAAAATAATTTATTTTCATTAAATATAATCTCATAGTTTTATAATATGTTTGTTGTAATAACAAAAAATATATGACTAATGCAGTGGTAATAGCAGGAGAGTGGGCTCATCATCGCCACCAACAAACCGGTGGCCCTTTTATGGAGGAGACCTGATCTTTGAGTTGAGACGCCTAAAGATAATTATGTTTTAAGAGTAAAATACAAAAATTATAGATAAAAATATTTTTACGGTAGAAGCTATATAACTAAAGATAATAATAACACTACAAAATTAGATACAATAACAACAAAAAATTGACTATGAATTTAATATTTAAACAAAATAAAGAAAAGTTCCCGAAATATGGTATCAAAAGCTATATAATGCTATACAGAAACGGTTAGTCAAAAAATAATAATAAATTATAAAAATTATAATAAATAGTTTAATAAGTATTTTATGTATAATTAAGTCAAAGCATCGATTGATCTGCATTTCAATCCATATCTCAATACAAGTCTTAACTATTGACATAACTTTGAAGTTCTCTCTATCGTGTATTAAAATACATGAAAATGATTCAGTAATTTATATTAGWATTAGAAAAAAATAAATTATAAAATTACCACTAAATTATGTAGTGTTTAGTGAATAAATTATATTGATGGGCACCGGGATATGTTTGTGTGTTTTGTATTTAAACAATAATTTAATGTTAGCTTATTTAAGAACATGCGATAAATTTTGGCCTCAAATGTAATTTCTAAACATAAGCCGTCAAACAGTGAAAACACACACGCATTGCATTGAATACATAAAAATCTATGATTTTTCTCAATTTCWAGCCCTCTATTTCTTATCATATATAAAAAATAWATAWATATATATATATATATTATATATACAGTGCCAGTCAAATATATATTTGCYTTTAAATTTTCTTATTTTTGTTTTTGTTTTCAATTTGAAAGCAATATTTCTTTTTATACTGTAGTGATATATATTTATTGATTRTATAAATAATGCTAAACTCAACCGAAATCTTTTAAATCAAATAAAACTAAAAGATAATATATTTAATACATTTGAGACATAGACCTCTTGTACTGGTTTTTTATTGGTACTCAAAATATAAACTTTAAAATGAGTTTCATCTTAAAAAATAATATGTAAATATACAAATGTAATATAAATTTTAAAAATATTGTTATTCAATATACTGTATATTATTATAGCTATTTAGTGACCAAATTTGGTCTCATTTTTAGGGCTGGGATTTTAAAAATAGTAATTTGTTATTTGAGTCAAATTATTCAATAAATTAAATATCTGTCATTGACTTCATAGCACAAATAGTTTATACAAAAGCAGTGCTTTTTTAAATAATACGATAATTGAAATATTAAGTACTGATAATATCCAATGCGTCCGACGGGCACTTAATGTGTTTTAAGCAAATATTTTTGTCCACAAAAAAGTTTTAACAAAATATTTATCAACAAAATGATGACTGACTGGGGTTTGGGTTTACTTTAAACATAAGGATAAGGCACGACCTGATGTGGTGAACATGCCTTCAAAAAGAGAGTCGWTGAGTTGTAGCTCAGGGAGAAACTAACATAACATTGCGACAAATAAATAATATATACCTGTCCCTCATACTAGCTATACATAGTACTATTACATTACATATACGTATACGTATATAYATATATATATAATATACCTTTTAAGAGATAATAAAAGTAATTTAAGTTTACAAAAAAAATTATAGTCGACATTAAAATATATAAAACAACTTTAAAATCCTTTAGTGTCGAAAGCAATTACATGATACGGGAGGTTAAGTATAGTGTAGATACAAAATAAAGTTTTTGATAAAAATTATGCATAAATTGTTAGTAATAATGCTGTAATCTTGATAATAAGTATATGAATAAGTTTTATAGCATTAATAATTACTTTTTTTCATCACATATGCTATCAACTATCATAAAACTCAAGATAATTATTAAAAATTTTATACAAAACGACTAAAAATAAATTAATAAAATAAGRGAAATCTCTTTAAACTTAAAGTTCATCAATAATACTAATAATTTTTWAAAATGCTTATACCTTTGGRAMTAAAATTGACAGAYAGAGTGAAATTTTTATTTAATAATCAAAATATTTAACAAAATAATTCAAATATGCCTTAAAATAATAATTTTAAGTAAATATTTTATGCATTTATAATAGATAAGAATTTTTCTTAGAAATAGTCATTGTTTTGTCTGTACATTAGTATTGGATTTAGTAATGTATTAGTTATTTAATGATTAGTTCATTAAATTACTAGACAAAGACAGTTTGAGGTACACATCAATGATAGTGCAAAAAGCAATGCAAATACAAAAACAACATTAAGAGATGGTCTGCACAACAAAACAGGTCTTCAATAATATAGAAAACTATTGTGTGATCTGTTTCTCTCAATTCACTACTCAATCAATGGCCCAAACCATCAATTGTTGAACTTCTGTAAGTCTATAACATATAATTTAAATTTCGTTTTCTCGTCTCTTTGCTTCTCTATGTGTATGTCTCCCTCTTTATCTWTCTCTCTCTWTCTCTCTCTCWCAGAGCCTCTCAGGTTTGTGCACTCATTTCTTTCACAACTCAAACATACCTTTATTAGAATTATTAGCCTTTTTCTTTGAAACGACGGCACTGGTAGTATTGGTAGTGTTGTGTTTGGTTGTATAGCCATTTTTTGGAATGTCATTATTGGTAAGTGTGCGATATTTCTCTTCAAGTCTGGCCACATATGCCTGGGAAGGACASATTAGGTCGTCAGCTAACTGAGCTTCTTTTGACTGATGAGAAGGTGAATGATAATAAGCACCGGTGCGTCCATATAATAACTCGTCGATCTCGCCCTCAAGTGAACAGCTATTAGTGAACTCTCCGGCTTTTATGGCAGACCTCAGTGTTTCACAGAGTGGGTCCTTCAGTATAGACTTATTGGACACATAATTACCACTAATTTGCTCTTTTCTTCTCATTTGCATTGAATTGGGACTAAATTTGACAGAACTATTGAAACGTACGCTTTTACAGCCATTGTTGACCACAACGGAGCTGTCGTTGAATGGACAGTCGGTATTCACCGATTCAATGTCCGATAACTGTTCATCACATGTGTCAATCATACCATCTTGTGATCTAATAGTCACCGGAGAAGACACAAACTTTTGGCGGCATTTATCACTAGAGTTGATGTCGTGCTCTCCTCTTATACGGCGAGTATTAATACTGTTATTATTTGTATAAAAATTTCGGATAACAGTGGACGCGGGACTCGATGATCGACTGGACACAGATTTGGTCGGTGCTGTTATCGGACTGCCATCACGTGAGTTGACCGGAGTTGAGATACGTTCGCAACGTCTCAATGCTTTGAGCAAAGATTTTCTCAATTTGAATAAGTGATCCAATTGTGAGTCTGTATTCAATGATTTCAAACGATTTGCCATCTTTTCAGTTAATATTCCTCCTGTTTTKCGGCCAAATCCACACTTATTGTTGATGACGAGTGGTGTGTCACCACAATTGCTGTTCATGTCATCAAATGCATGTTTTTGATGTCTTTGGAGATCATTTTTTGGTACACAATCTTCACTGACATCTAAACCCATTGATCTATCATATCTATCGTCTGTGGGCGACGACTCGTTACCAGACATTTGATGAGTGATGGCTTCAGTGATAGAGTCGGGAATGTCTTCCATCTGTTCGGGTGTATTACATCCCAAATAGTCGGACTTATATCCCGATTCAAGTGAATTGGTGGCCGCATAGCTTGAAATGGAGTCACCGTCGGAACTGCTGTAATAGTAGTTACAAGTGTTGCCATTGACTGGCCGTCGGTGTCGTCGTTCACTTCTTGTATAACACTTGCTATTGATGTCACACTCATCGGAGCTGTCGGAGCACGAGTTGACGGCATTGATAGTGTCCAACAAGGGATTCATCATTGCATTGATTGTTGACCACTATATCACTGAAAACACTTTATGTCTTAAGCTGTGATCACATCACTTGACAATTGAAAGCACATCTCATATGCAGTGCTTCACACAAACTGTAAGATTATATGTTATATTGTATGCAATGATTGCAATCAATACATAAACAGTGAGAATATCAACGCATGCGTACAAACACTGGACCACACACTCCACGACCGGTCCATCTCTTCTTACATCAAGAGGTGAGACTCAGGTATGAATTGATGGCATAACTGGTCCCACATTAAGATAGACCAGAGAAGGTTGTGAAGGTATAGGAGGTATAGGAGGYAGAGGAGCCCCACAAYAACTACAACAACCTATTCATTCAATTGACTGGTATTTCCTATACATTCCTTACCATTTCCGATGATAACTATACCATACATACGGACCAAAAACATACGGTTAGACAAACACAATGTCGTACAGAGAAAACACYACTTCAGGCGATCAACTATTATATATATGTWTAATATTTGAGATAATATATGAATCAAATCATATACGACCTATAGGTTCATACCTTTGACAGTACACTAGAGGGCACACTGGGTCTGGTTTACAGATTATCATTACAATACATAATTTGCAAATAATATTAATATTTAGTACAAGAGGTTTAAGTTTATAATTTGCTAATTTGATTATCAATTTATAAAATGCACAAAATTTTAGTATTACAATAACAACTATAYWATAAATACGATAACCATATAAATTATATATTACATYTATAAWTACAGCAGTATTGTACTGTATGTGAACAGCAAATATGTAGTCTAATATTGTCATACACTACCTGTCCATATGGCATATATTAACCGATATCTATAAAACTCAATACTATATTTATTTATTTATTAATGCATTTCAATTCATTTTCAGCTCAATATAGGCATTCAATTGATGTTCAATTATATTGTCATAAAGTATTATACCGTACTTTATATTATGTTATACAGTATTAAACTGTAGTCTATTAATACTTATAACTTATAATCCAATTAATCCATAACTGATAATCACTTGAATATTTCATACAATAAGTCTCTTTTTCTTTCTTTCTCTAATATAATAAATTATTAACATTTGAACACTAATTGGATTTTTCCAATAAACTTATAAAACAATACAATATTTTCTTTTGAAATATAAAAAAAATAAAATAAATATATTACAGTTAATATAATATTAAAAGTAAAAAACATTTTATCATTTAAAATTGTTTGAATTCAATCAATCTAATCTATTTATATTACATTGTATTTCATYAATATTAGTTTAGATTATTTAAAAATAAAYTTATTGTAAAAATGATAGCTATTAATGAATTTTAAGAAAGTATTATATAAAAATAGCAAAAATATAATTATATTTATGATAAAATTGTTATAATTTAAATTTGAGAATTCATTTATAAAAATGTTTTGATCCCATAAAAGCATATTTAAAACATTCAAAGAGAGAAAAGTCATTTATCTTAATTTAAAAGATATATTGCATTACATTTGGCTCATAAATACACAAAACAACGTATTTTTCCTTAATATAAGGGATTTAATATTAAATTTTTCTAAAAACCATTTTTATAGATYAAACTTATTGTATTTTTWAAAAATTTAATCTAAAAATATAATAAATTATATTTATTTTAAAAACTCAATAAAATTAGATTTTAAATTAATTAACTTTTGCACTCAATTTTTATTATTCACTTATTTATCCYTAAAGCATTTTTTATGAAAATTAACATTTTATTTATTCATTAAATAAATAAAATGACTTAATATTTTTAGGTAAAAATAAATTTGTTTAGTYAGATATCTATATTGATATAATAATTACATYTAAAAAATAAAAAATCATTAAGTATTRATTTATAATTAAATGTAATAATATTTGACAAAATGTAATAAAAAAGTAAAATATTTCACATTACCATCAAATTATAAAACAACTTTTCAATTTGTTTATATAAATTACAAYATTTAATCATTAATAGTTAACAAATTAAATTAAAAATAAATACAATATGATAATAACTATCTGTCATTTTATAAATATATTGCATTTTTATAATATCATCGTTAGCTAAAAATAAACGGTCAAACTATTTATTATTTCTAAATATTTATTGATATATTTTTCTATAAAGAGCTCATAAATCACAAAAATCAAAGACATATTTGACTGTTTAGCTCACATATGCTTCACAATGATATACAATCTGTATTAAAATAGCTGATGTCATGAAATAAACTATTTATTAAAATTTACTTAAATATTTGTCAAAATTTATTAAATATAAATATATATATTCTCCTTTGTATAAAAATCAATAGTATTTAAAGTGTTTCTACAAATAAAAAATATAACAAATCACTATTTCATTTTAAAATATTTAGTTAATTAATTAGTAAATTAAATGCCATTCACGCTATCAAAAGGCTATAAAATCGATTCATAAAACTGTTGTTAAATCCTAACAATAGCTAAACGTAAMTATGTTTTGAATGGAAATTATTTGTAAAAATATTGATGACTTGAATAAGAGTTTTACAATCTTTAGAGTTCATTGACTTCTTTACCATCGATGAGAGCTTTTAGATATGACAAGACCTATGTTCCGATCATTTGTGTAATCAAAGAAAACACTCAAAACATATAAAATACATCAAAATCACGTAAATTACAATTTTTATCATTTCAACCATTAAATGATTATTCTTAGGCTATTTCTATTGATTATTAAATAATAATTATATTGTTAACAAAATATTAAATTTAAACTGTTATTAATTCATTGTTAGACATATATATATATATTATAAATCTGTAATAAATGAATTAAGAAAATATTAAAAATACTTAAATAACAATAAAATAATGTTTTTCCAAGTGCTACAAAATATTTAATAATGATATCTAAATTTKTTAATTATTAGAAAAAAATATTAAAAATTGTTTTCATTATTTTATTTTATAAAAACAAAAACTCAAATTTTGGTTACCTATACAAAAACAGTTAATAAATTATAATTTATTAAAATTCTGACAAAATTTATAAAATATTTCATAGAGGTATCAAATGAACGTATTGTTAAATATAAAAATTTGTATATTAGTAAAAAATTTTCAAAATAATATCTTGTATATTATCAAATAGCATTCATAATACTATAGAATAATTATACATTTTAAACAATACTTTCAAATTAAATCAAATAAGCAATTAACATTAATACAATTACTGTATGTACAGTATATTTACATTGCATTTGAAGATAAATTTATTTTTAAAAATTGATTTTAATTGGTACTTTAATGTGTTTCAAATAATAAAATATATACTAAATTGTATTTTATTTAATTATATGCGAATAAGAAATTAATCAAATTATGTAACTCATGTGCAAAATGATGTAAATCTTGAAATGTAATTTTCAAAGCATAATATAATGCATTGATAGTGAAAATGAATGGAAAGACGACACAGTATTATATAATACTGTAAATCATAATTAAACAAATATTTTACAACAAATACCCTGATATTATTAGTTAAAATTAATATTAATAAAAGCATAAATGTTAAATTATAGACAATTATAATTGGAAATGTTTCAATTTTTAAAATATAAAATGATACCAATGATTTATAATTTTTAAAAACTAATTTATTATAAAAATTAAGTTATTTTCTAGCAATGGGTTTTTGTCAAAACAATCAAATGATTTGTGTTTAATGTTTGTTTGCTTTTTTATTTTCACAAAATGTTGCATTGAATATGATAAACAAAATAATTTTACTTTTTTTGTTGAATTTATAAATCTTAAATAATTTTTAACATAAAATAAATGATAAAACAATTGGAGTAATAGTTTGTGCGAAAGTCAGGTCACACTTGAAAAATGATACATAAGTTTTTGTATAATTAATAATATTAATATCAATATTAATAATAATAAACAAAATTCTATAATAATAAGTAAACATAAACCAATTCAATTATTAATTATTTCTTTATCTATATATTTAAATATATATATATTAAAACCTAATATCATATTAAAAACAGTAAATTGTTTATCATTTCATTCAATTTAATTACAATAAAATGAAAGCCAACAATAGCTTTCACTTATCATTTTGTAATATCTTGCCTTTTCATTACTCTTTTCATTAACTTATGTAATAATAATAATTATTTAAATGGCGTTGACTTTTAGTGAGAATATATTTTTAGATATTTTTATTGTGAGATTTAAATGTATGGTCTGTTATTTTTATATAGATTAACAAAATACAATACAATTAAAAATCAATTACAAATTAATTGCTTTTATCTCATATTTATAATAATTTTATGCCTTTCCTGTAATGAAAAACAATATGAATTTTTTTTGTTTGAGACATATTAAGCGCTAAAATCAAAAATAATAATTATATATATTTATATATTTATTAATTTAAATATATATAAAAACCAAACAAAAATAATAATTTCATGTCGTGTATAAAAGGTTTGTTAATGAAATATAAATGTAATGTTGTTTTTGTGGAACAATGAGATAACGATAGAGGAAATAGAGATAAAGTAGGGAAAGAGGTATCACTGTTTGTGATGTTAACATGAAATCAATGAATTGTCAAATTAATGACAAAATGCTAATTGTTTTATAAATGGCTGTTAAATGAGTAATCAAGTAGTAGTAAGAAGTGGAGGACAGACTACAAACACTTAATCATTTGGGCCGTCAATATAGTATTGAATGTATATATATTTGGCTAATAATCATAATATGCCCGACAATAGTAATTAATAAATTTATGAGTTCAGTCCGTTTGCAAAAAAAATTAATGATAGCATAGATTAAGAGCGAAAGTGTGATGAGAGGACCAATGAAATTATGGAAACAAACAAATAGTTCGACAGAGAGTCGAGAGAATGGATGTGTCAGAGAATGTGACGATTCATCACAGAAATCAACTCAATTCCACTGATAGGGTCCCTGGAGTTGAGAGTATGCGCCGCCGGCACCGGTTGGTAAATATGAGGTGGCATTAGCCGGCATATTACCATGGGCCTGGTTATAATTGGTGGCCACACCTGTAGCTGATGGATGAGCGAAATTTGCGTTAAATGAATGCTGCGAATAGCCGGTCATCAATTGTGTCGCTAAAAAATAATACCGTAAATAAAATGAAAAATTTAAAACTCCGACAGATATTAAAATAAAAGTATACTTTGTTGTGCATTGTTTGTTTGGGTAGCCGGCGGTGATGAGGAAGCGGGTGATGGCGTCGACTTGTTTTGGTTTGCTATCATATTTGAGGTCTGTTGGTGTTGTGCAGGTCTGGCCAGACTCTCTTGTAGTGAATTCGAGTCATCATTCTCTTCATTCTCTGAGCCCTCTGTCGAGAGTCGGGCCTGTTTTGGTGACGGCCCTCCCATTGCTACCGCCGGCGGTGCTCCCTAATATCGGACAACAAATTTATTAAACATTTCAATTGAAAAATAATTTATTCACGACAATACATGCAATATACATAAGTAGACAAATATATAGTCAATCAAACTAAATGATTATATCATTAATGATGACAACTTGAGACAGCAATAATTCTTAACACATTAACACAAAAATTTCTACAAATAAACAAATTATAAATAAATGTATGACAAGTAAAACCAAAAAAATAAATAAATAAATAAAAACTTAGTGTTGATTAAGTGAAAGATTATAACAGATATCTCTATATAACAAAGAAATAATAATAAAAATCATGTCTACCTTCCCCTTAGGCTGCTGTGCCTTCTTGTGCACAAAGCATTGGATAATACAGGAAAACAAATAATAGATTTTCATTAGATTTTAGACAACTTTTATTTTCTTATATATTATATATATATAATATAATAGTATATTATATTTAATAATTTTATATAATAATTTTCATTTCATGTAATATTAATTTATATATATCATATATTAGTAATCATAAGACTACACACTAGTTTATGAAACTGTATATAAAGGTTCGGGCAATTGTGTGGACACAATAACAGCTACAAAGTAACAGTGACTTAAGACAAAGACAATGAATATGGTGTGAATCAAAATATGATTTGTTTTGTTTATAAATTATAAAAAAGTACAGATATAATAGAAAGCAGACATTATAAGCCCTGTTCTTAATGAGTAATATATATATATATATTTATAAGACATTACAAATGATGAGTAAAGAGTGGTTTGTGTCATACGAGTCATACTTTTCTGCGGTAGTCCTCCATTGAGGCCTCATATCTGATCTTCTCTTCATTCTGTTTCTCGACGTACGGCCGTTTGTCCTCTTCATTCATTCCTCTCCATCGCTCCCCTCCAAGCTTTGCAAGCGCTGCCACTCCACCCTCAGGCTCTTTACCGGCCATTTCTTTCCTAAAATCACCCATAAATAGCATAAATGCAGTGCCCGGCCGTTTTGGCTTATTTGCATCTCTGGCCGGTTTAAAGACAGCCATTTCTCTCTTGTATCGGTCCCTATCGCGGGCGGCGGTCTCGAGGAACGGYTTTTTCTCTTCTTCGACCATTGCATTCCACTTTCCGGCGCACTCTTTACCAAAGTCTCCAATCTATTCAATCAAAACATCAATTTTATATATTAATATTAGTTTAGTTTACCGGTAATCTAAATCTATAAGTATTCAAACAAACCTTAGGTATGGGTCGACCGGAYTTCTTGAGCTCCTCCCGATACCATTGGGTGAAATTAATGTATGCAGTGGTGGCTCGTTTAGGAGCCGGTACACCGTCTTTATTAACTTTGGGTTTCTTTTGTTTTTTATGACTTCCATGACTGTGRCCTCCGCCGCCGCCGCCTCCTCCTCCTCCATGTTGTGCACCTCCTCCTCCGCCGCCGCCACCACCTGCTTGTTGTACGTTAGCATACATTACATGATGGCCGGTGTGACCAGTYAGGTGATGCTGRCTTGTGTTGTTGTTTGTCAGGCCGCCCGACATAACCTAATATAAGCCATTAAAATGTAAAACAAAAATGATTTATAGCTTAAAACCAAAAAAGTAAAAAAAAGTAWAAAAACGTTGGATAATATAAAGTATACAATAAAGAAAGGAAATTGACAAATAATATAATAATAAAATCTAATGTATTGTAAAAATCAATAAAATATTTTTCAAAACTATAAAAATATATTTAAAAAAGCATTTCATTTAGATTTTTAATTAACAATTCTTAATTATATTATTATAGATATTATAACAAATGGATAAATAAACTAATTATCTTTAGCTAACTGTRTGCTCATAATGTTTGCTTATTTTATTTAAAAAACAAAGCAATGATTGTATGCAAACTATWTGCTTTATATATACAAATTAAGTGATGCCATTGATTCAASTCWTTAATGTTACCACTTTAGTGATAGTGTGAGAAAAGTCTAAATGAAATGCTTAGATAAGACTTAAGACTTTCATTAGTCTTGTCTTACATGAACCGTATTCTGGTTCAGAATAGGAGCTGAACTGACTGTTAAATTGAGTCCCGAAGATAGCATCTGTTGCATCTGCAGTTGTCCAATGGTTGGATGCAATTGGTTGCTGTTGGCCAGGGAGGCCGCGTGTTGAGCCATTGCCTGGTGATAGTCAGCATATTCTGTAACAAAYAATACAAACCATTAATTTTGGTTATATTTCCATTATTATCATCAAAATTAAATACATAATTAAAATACAGTGTCTGATATAACAACTTATATTACTATATCTATATATAGATATCAAAATTATCATTAAATATAAAAATAGTGATAGATTTTCATATTTAAAAAACCTTARATGTTTTTCGCGTTTACACTATAGGAGTATTATTTAAAAACTAAATTTGAAGTTATTTAATGATTTTAACAWTATCATKAAATAATAAATGTAATGTAATTGATTGGGATTTCAATATTATTAATTAATTAATTTATAATAAAAATTTTAAAGCCATAAATTTATTTTCTTTAGACTCATAAAAATTTTCATTGTTAAAATATTTGCTGATTTAAGATATAGCAATCATTTTTTTTAAAAAAGCCTAACATATGCCGGGCGGTTGTGTACAGCATTTTGTACATTCAAAATGAAATATTTTCCACACTTTATATCGACAGTAAAAAAATAAATATAAAGTAATGTATCGATTAAAACACTCCTTTCCAATGGATTATCAATCGCTAACATTATATTTTTATAAATATAGATTGTTTGTGTTATATGTTGACAATTAATGTCCAAAAAAACAAAGAGCCTATAGTTAACACTTTTCAACATTTAACTCAAAGATATTATTTCATTATATTTCCTAAAAAGATTATATATTCTTTAATAAATGGTCTCTCAATTTATACATTCACTTTGCATATACAGTAAAAATACGGCCAAAATAAGTGAATTTTTTCGTTAAATTATTATTTTTTGATAAAACAGTTTTAAAGTGTGTTTCAAAATATAATGGACTATATATTGCTATATAACTATATATTGAGCGCATGTGATGTGAAACACATTTCTAATTGATTTTTCAGTTAATTTTTTGTTGCTTTGCCTCTCTTTTCTCTCTTCAAAACCAATTATTGATTAATGCATTGTCTGCCATAAAACTGGATGACTGAGAGCTAAAACATGAGAGAGAATGAGAGAGAACTGGCTCATTGAAAATTGAGGGGAACGGCATCTGAGCAGCCGGTGCTCAGGCTTATAGGGGATGGAGAAAGAGAGGATAGCAAAGAATGAAAATACTAACAAATTAAATATTAAGAGAATTAGAGAGAGAGAGAGAGAGAGAGAAAGAGAGAGCACATGGAACGTATGCGAGTCAAGAGAGCGGGAGAGCAATAAAATAGTGGCAAAGAATGGGAGAGAACGGAGAGAGAGAGCACAGGCTGTTGTTAGGGCTGAGAGAGTCCGACATTTTAAAAGTTTAGAACAATGTTTGGATGCATTAAATTGAGACATTCATTAGCAGACCATTGAAGCCAATACTAGGCACCTAACCATTGGTGTCAAACACTCTTTATGTCCACCCATACCCTTACTGTCCATTATTTCMTATATATATATATATATAACACAAACATTTTCTTAACTCATAGTTTTACTTATTTGTTAAATATATTTCAAACAATTTTCWATCGACAAAAAGCGTTAATAATTTTATTTTATATTTTTTGTCAACATTTTCTACATTTACCCAAACATTAATATATGTAAATTTAATTTCAGTTTWACTGCATCTAATATTTTTTATATTTTAATTATGCAAATATATAACAAACATAAAACTAATATTACTTTTATATTACATATTTTGGGATTAAAAGCGGGAATTAACATTAATTAAATTTTAAATAATAAAAATAATTGCTAAGCAATAGGTGTCATAGATTTTCATGTGAATTGCTATCACAAATTGGATGCCATTATAATCGGATAGAAAGAGTGAACATAATAATAGACATCCCATTGAGTGGTCGGACCCTTTCATCCAATTTATAAATACTGTATGTATAGAGTTTAGCAGTTTATTAAACGGCCGTACATTTCATAACACACTAAGCATTCAACGATAAAAATAAGGAAAAAATATTATAAGAGAAATAAAATAATTTTAGATTTTAAAAAATTAACTAACTTTATGTACACTATTTTTATAYTATGTTTTTAGTTAATTATTAATATTATAAATGCTGTGATTAAAAACATTGTAACAAAAAAACACATGAGTAGTGAATTGGTAATGAAAAAAGTCTAACAGAGTCTATGTGTATAACACACAGGTATTGAATAGGAAAGGCATTGAATTGGTTCTCACGTGTGTTTTAATTGTGTCTAAAACTGTGTTTTCATAGCCACTGCTATACCATTGATTCAATTGCTGTTTCATTTGAGTGCCAATGCATTGCTTATGTAGTGTAATGTATATGTACTGTATGTGTGTGTTATGTATGTATGTATGTGTTAGCGCCTAAAGTGACTCTCAAAAAGACATAAGAGTGGTGTCAATGCATTGGCAATCAGTGGTGACCAGCAATTAGTGGTCACTTAACTYATGACAATCATATTATTAAATCAGTGTCACACCGATGTCCACACCGTATATACGGCTGGCACTGGTAGGTGCTGTTGGCACACATCGCAGTCAGGGCTGTCCCCCCGCGCGCTCAGCCGTTTGGCACTCAACTTACCCATAGTTGTTTGTGGCCACCGATTTAGCCCGTTGTTGCCGTAGTCGCGTCCAGATAGTGGTCACCGTTAGCTCCAAACAAACTTTTAGAGATCGCTTTCACTGTTTATTTATGTTTTTATTTTTTTCTGGTGTCACACAAACAGTTAATACATATATATAACACACATATACAGCATATACAGTGCATACAGTACTACACAATACGATAGTACATACAATATAAGGTGATATCACTGCCAAAGCACTACCAAAGCCTACAATACATCAAATACTACACAAAACAGCACTCAATAAGCGGCGCCAATAAATGCATGCGAAACAGTGAGCGAACAAACACACCAATCATTGCCTTCCATTCATTGTTGGGAACCACTGCACCAACCAATCATAACAAGCCTTACACAGTTAGGATCGCACATTCACTTTACACATACAAAGCTGAATAGCCTTCATCTCTACCAATGCTTTCGTTGTACATTCAAAGCACACAATAAAGCATTGAAGGGGAAGAAAATGGGGACAACACTAGCACTACAACACTACACATACATACACTCAATACAACACTCCCTCTATTGGGTAAAGCCTTCAATAATTGAACTAATTTTCAATTTTTTTCGTTCAACTCTGTAGTCAATTATTAATCAAATTTTTCATTAAATTTTTCAATGCATTTAACAACACGTGTACACAAAGTACGTCACATATAGTGTTTGCACGTGTAGTGCAATTGAATGACAAATTGACAGTTCAATAGTTAGAGTATACAGTACTGTATATACAGTAATATCAATTGACAACAATAGCATCAATGCATTAGTGATGCAATCAATTGTCAATTGAATGTCTATTGATGTCTATTATAGCAATGCATTCATTCAATTGATATTATTGTTGACGATATGACACAATCGACAACACAATCATATATACATCCAGTGATGGCTTTGCGTTAATGTTTTGTTTTGACTCAAAATAATTGTATAATTTTGTTGATAATTTCAATCGACATTCAATCCAATATAATATACGGTATGTAATACATGTATCACTGTTTATGCAGTGATTGATGTGACAATTGTTGCACAACTATAATGACATTTATGGGTATTTCATGTAAACACAAAAGTTTTTGTTTAAATTGTGTCAAAAATATATGCTATAAAATTGATTAATGAACGCAAACTAATTTTTATGTGATTAATAAATGATAAAAAAATATTTTATGCATTTGTTTTTATTTTAATTTGTCAAAACCATACCMAATGATTCAATTCATTAATATTTAATTAAATAAAAATTAATAAAATTCATTTGTTGACCATTTTGTGGTTATATATGATATGATATAATATATATATATATTTTGCAAATTTGCTGAAACTTTGCTTATGTATTCAAATTTAATTATAAGGTTTGTTAAGTTTGTTAAAAAAAATTAAAAACAATTTATATATAATTTATATGTCATATATAAATATTTTCAGTATTTGGGGTTTTTGTTATTTTTAATGTAAATATTATTTTTGTGTAAAATATAATAAATCGATTGATTGATATATGAATTGATTCAATGCTTACAATGACTGCAATAACTCTTAAAGCGCAACAAAAAGCAAAAGTTTTGTTTTATATATTTTTTTGTGTTTTCAACACAAAAATGTTAAAACATTAAAAATATTTTTAATAAATTTCTTATCTTATCATTGATTAATTTTTTTGAAAAGTGGTTTGATTTTAGAAATTGTTTTATTATTTTTTATTATAGTTAATTGTAAAATATTTGATGATATCTTAAAGGCATAATCAATAATAATGAATGGATATAACAACAACAGTATTGTCCMGACAATCGGTTTACAGAGAGATAAGTTAACACTTAAGAGTGAATTAAGACATTTGTCGATCAAAGATCGTCACCAATTGTCGACACTGTTGGACACAAATCATGGATGGAAACAATTGGCAACTGTTATACCAAAACCCGATGACGGGAACGGCCTATTGATCTCGAGCTCAAACATAACAGTTTTGGAGGATCTGATTAAAATAGGAAAGAGTCCGACACAAGCTTTGATTGACTTTTGGGTATTTCTATATAATTTAATTACATTCATAAATATAGGTTTGATTTAATTAGTTAATAATTGGCACTTATAGGGAACAAGTGGTAGAAAGAGAGCCACAATTGAAGATATGGTKAAACTATTAAATAATTGTCATTTATATAGGGCTTCACTTTTTATAGTTAAAGACGTACTTAAAATTGAATCCTTTGAGCATTCAATTGATAGCAACTTAAATAATGACAATTATCTCATAAATAGTGATGAAAAATGTTACGATAAGTTAATGAGTACATTAAGTATTGCTAATACTAGTGCTGCTAATAAATGCGATAAATTAGGTAACGATAACAAGTGTTATCATATAAATGAGTTATCGATGAAATTGTGCCAATTGTCTGATGATAATAAATATAATACTAATAGTAATCACTTAATAGATCCGTCGGCACCAAATGAATCACAAATTAGTTTTAGCGATAGTTATAAAATACAAACTGACAATAATGTCAATGGTTTAACTGAAAATTTGATTCAATATTGTTATAATGATATTTCTAATACCACTAATAGTTTTAGTGATAATTTCAAGTTAGGTGAGGGAGCTTTTGGTGSTGTATTTCGGTGTCAATTCACCCAAAGTGAAGACCCGATTGCAGTTAAACGACTTAAAGTTGATTTTCAAAAGCAATTTCTCTCTGAACTCAAAGTAATGACTAAATTTTCACACAAAAACTTATTATCCATTCGTGGCATTTCAACAGATGGTCCATCACTTCTTATAGTATATGACTATATGTCTAACGGATCACTTCAAGATTGTCTACAATATAGGCCACAATATATAAATTGGAAACAAAGATTAAGCATAACTTTGGGAACCGCAGARGGTATCTGTCATTTACATACTTTTAATTCAAAACCATACGTTCATCGGGATATCAAAAGTGCAAATATATTACTCGATGACAATTTCAATGCTAGAGTTGGTGACTTTGGATTAGTTAGAATAGGTGGCTCCGGGACTAATACATCTACTTCACCTCTGGCTACTACTATAATTGGCACCACTATATACATGGCACCGGAAGCATATCGTGGAGACATTAGTGTAAAACTGGATACATTTAGCTTTGGTATTGTTTTACTCGAACTATTAACTGGTTTGAAACCCTATGATGAAAGCCGTGAGGGTTATGACCTCTTGTCATATATTGAGGAAAAGGCAATAGATTTTGAAGACAACGATAAAAATTTTATCGAAACTATTATTGATAAAACTATTGGACATTTGAATGACATGATTGGCCTTCAATTATATGAAATATCGCGTAAATGTGTTGAACAACGTAAAAAATGTCGGCCCTCAATGACCCAGGTCTGTGTATTTGTATGACACCCATGATTTTAATTAAACCTAATCTGTTAATCTATTAAAAAAAATCAACAACAAATTTTTGTACTCATTTTTATATAATTGATTTATGTTTTATTTTGATAAATTTTGTCCCATTTTTTTCTTATCTTTAATTTTGAGTTTTTTCTCCTTTTTATATATACATTGCATATCTGTGTGCACACCGTCTCTGCCCTTAACAACAGGTTTTGGAATCCTTAAAGAAAATTGAGTTCATTTGACATTCAAAAATAGTTTACTTTTTAAAAAGCTTTTTTAATTATACATTTTTTCTCACAACTCATAACATATTAGTAATAACTGGTTTTTTATGTCATTAATATTTTTTTACTTACACTCTGTTTGTTTCAATTTTACTAGAATTACTTAAATTGTATAAATTTTCTTAATAATAATTTGTATTTTAGATAATAATAAATTTTATTTAATTATTTTTCAATAATTTTTATTTATATACGAATTTACAATTTATAAAATTAATTAAATACTATGGTAATATTGATTTGTATATTGAAAAAATAGATATATAAAAATTGTTGTGCTTATTACTTAGTGATATATAAATTTATTGTATTTTATATATATTTATATTTATGGGGCACTAGTCGTGGCATTTGCACGGATTGCCTCAATAGCATCAATGGTTTCATCACTAATAAAAAAGATAATTGTATGCAATTAATTAATACATTAAATCAATAAAAAATCAATAAAACTAATTTCATAAAAATGAACTTAAAATGTATTAAAGATTAACTTACAGACAACACTTGCTATGTATTAAACAACACATTGTGTTGCGACCCGAATAGGTGTCCACTCCATCACAACGGTTACAAACTGTTGAATTGCCGGTCCATACTATAAAGGCATTGATTTGCATAGTTTGTAACAATATAATCAATATACATACTAATAAAGCACTTGACACTAATAGTTTGTACATTATTATAATTGTTATATAACTTTATTAACAGTATTAATATAATAATAATAATGTAATTTGATGTTAACGGTCTAATGGCTAAATATAAACTAAACATAGATCCTGAAATACGACATCATTTTTTAGATTTTGGGAACTCTAAAAAAAGTTCAATAAAATTGCAGTTTATTTAAGGAATATTCCAGTTATCACACGTTTAGGTAAACGGATAGTCCATCAAACCTTAATTAATGCTCTCAATTGGGTTTGTTATTACATAAAGCATAATAAATTAAATTTTTTAAAAATATAATAAAAGTATTTTTTCTTTCAGAGGACATAAGTTTAAATAAAAACAATGAGATTATTAATATTTAAAAAATATATTTGTTAATGATTTATTTATTCATTGTTTTTTTAAACCAACACATTATTATAATTATAATAATTATTAATCATTCGTTACACTTCTACTCGAAATAATCATTATTTTTATAATACACTATTTTTTCGTTTCGTTAATTTTTTAAACGGTAAATGATTTTTTGCGAAAAAAATTATAATCATTGAGTTTTAACATATGTCAATTTTTGTTATAAACCAATTTGTTTTCAAATATTGACATGAAATTACACAAAAAATATACTGTATATTAAGTAAACACTTCTCAATGAGTTTGCAATGAGAAACAACACAAAATTGATAATTTATTAATTTAAATTTAATCATTTCCTAAAAATAACTAAAAACAAAAATTAACAACCAATTGAGATATTTTATAATAAGATAATAATAATTATTATATTAAATTCTATTAACATTTAAAAGTTGACGGCTTTTCCGAAATATGCCGCTAAATTTGCTTCTCTGAATGCTTCAGCACAGGTCTGATAATTAAAAAAAGAAAAATTCATTATAAAAATATTATTTAAAATTTTGCAAAATACTATAAAATAAAAAAATAATTGAATATAAAATTCAATCATAAAATTAGTAGAAATTTTATATACGGGATGTGCGTGACAGACACGGGCCACGTCCTCACAGGAGGCGCCGTACTCCATGGCTAATGTCGCCTCATTGATCAACTCTCCAGCGACCTAATTGGTTATATGTAGAGCGGAAAAGGAGTTTAAATCATTTATATTTTATACTGTAAATACTGTAAATTTATATACGCTTTTAATAAGCATATGTTAGGATTATCGATGTGTTATAATTAATCATATAATCACTAAACATAAACAATAAGGAAATATAATAATTAAGTTTAAATAATGCATTACTCCTGCAATCATATGAACACCAAGTATTCGATCGGTTTTCTTGTCAGCGATTACTTTGATGACACCATCGCTGTCATTGTTGGTTTTGGCCCGACTGTTGGCCAACATCGGGAATTTGCCGATTTTAATATCCACATTCTAAAAATAATATTATTTCATCAAAATCTATTTCTTTATGAATTGACAAACATTAGGTACTCACTTGAGATTTTAGGTCTTCCTCAGACTTTCCAACCCAGGCTACCTCCGGGTGAGTATATATAACAGATGGCACACAATTATAGTCAATATGGACGGGTCCGCCAGCAATTCCTTCTACACATACAATTCCTTCATCTTCGGCTTTATGGGCTAACATAGGACCGGGAACACAATCTCCGATGGCATAGATACTATCGTAACAAAAATTATTTATTTAATTATCGATAATATAATATACCGATAATTGTGAAAATTATAAAATAAATTCATTGAAATACTTTGGAATATTGGTTTGAAATCTTGAGTTAACTTTGATTCTATTCCTCTCATCCTTTACTATATTCATCTCTTCTAAACCCATGTTTGATGTATAGGGACGTCTACCCACACATACTAATAGGACATCACATTCCAACTTAATTACCGGTAATAAAAATTAATTACTGGTATATTAATATAAATACATTAAATTTGATATTAGAAGATAAACTTACAGTTTCCTGTGAACCCCCTTTAGCTGATTCAATGGACACTTGCACTTTACCTCCYTGTTTGGTGGCACCGGTAACTTTAGTGTTTAATTTAAAATTTAATCCTTGTTTGGCCAAAATTTTTTGGAAATTTTTTGAAATTTCTGCATCAATTCCAATGCCTCCGATATGTCCCATAAATTCAATAGCAGTAACATTGGCACCCAATCGTGACCAAACAGATCCTAACTCGAGACCAATAACACCGGCGCCGATAACTATAAGTTTTTCTGGTACTTTTTCAAGCGATAGAGCACCAGTAGATGAGACTATTTGTTTCTCATCAATCTTTAGAAAAAATTAACAAAAATACCTGTAATAATATTTATATAATATATATAATAATAAGAATATTTAAAATTTATTACTTCAATGCCAGCAAAAGGCGTCACTTCAGAACCGGTAGCTATTATTATGTTTTTTGTTTTGACCACTTCAGTAGAGTTGTCTGTTTTTATGGCAGTTACCTCATTATTACCTGTAATCTTGCCGTGTCCTTTAATATGTGTCACCTAATGATATTCAAATTTGTTATTACTAGACAAATGCAATTTTTTATTATCGGTAATTAATAAACAAACCTTATTTTTCTTGAATAACTGTGCGATACCACCGGTTAATGACTTGACGGCAGTTCGCTTCTGTTCCATCAATGTATCCAAATTAAGCCGCAAATTATCAACTGTCATATAATTCAAATAATTATTTTAATTTTAATTATCGTTGCTTTTTATTTAATCAATTATATCATAATAGCAGACATACATTCAATGCCGCGGCTCTTCATATCGTTATTATGGGCCAAATGATAGATATGTGAGTTATGTAAGAGTGCTTTGGATGGGATGCACCCGACGTTAAGACACGTACCGCCCAACGTGTCGTTCTTCTCTATACATACAGTCTATTCAATAACAATCGCTATTAAATATCTTCATATATGATATAAGAGGTAATATAAAGGTTAACCTTCATTCCCAGCTGAGACGCTTTGATAGCCGCAACATAACCTCCAGGACCCCCACCGATCACAACCAGGTCTGCACTACCTATTAGTACACAAAGACAGTTAATCATCTGATCCCAAATCAATTGACTAATGCAAACCGTTATCAGAAGCATAATGTCTTTTGGATAATGTTTGTAAACAAACTGATGAGGTTTGAGGTAAAGAAAGAGATGATAATAAATGAACTGATGATTTGGTACACTAATTATAAGATAAATAACATTAAATCAAATATTTAAATAATATATAATTTATCAAAAATAAGAGATCAGCTGTGGATCAGTTGACTTACAGGCAAAATGCGGTTCAAAAATGTATAAACCATTGCAATAATTGGTTAAATAAATAATTTTTCAGATTTTCGTGGATCAGTTTAGTAATAATTTTTTCAATTATTATAATACTTTTATTTTTTAATTCAATTAATGTTTTAAACACATAATAAATGATTTGATTATTCAGTGATTAACTGGTTATCTAATGATAAATATTTTATCCCAAATAGCAATACATATGAAACACTTGAATTCAGTCAATGATATCAACAACAGATGGCATTCAATATAAAACTCATTACCCATTGATTGATAAAAACTTATTAAAACTAATTAATTGATTTAATTTACGTTAAAATATCCTTACGTTTTGTGTTATTAAATATGATGAAAGATGTTAATGGCTATGGAAATCATGATTCAAGTGGTCAATATAGTACCGATAGTTAAGGCCAGTTATGTCAAAGAAAACATACCTATTATTAATTAATAAATACAAAAGTCGATGATATGGTTTTATTGCAATAATTTTATCACACATTTAATAAGTTGACAATTTGTTACATTTAATTAACAAAGAAATATAAAAAAAATTAAACATTGATTAAGCTTTTGATTTAATAATTGATTGAAACAATTGTTTGGATATTTTGTCATTCATTAATTGAAATTCATTTGATTTGCAAACAATTTTCCAGTTTTTTACTGCAAAATCTAAGCATTGTTTCTGCAATAAAAGCAAATTGTGATTAACTGTCATCTCATATATCAAACAAATTGTCTCTAAATCTATCAACGACTCTAAGATCTTTGCACACAGACTCTTAAGCTCCCGTTCCCCGAAAGCATTGCATAAATTCAATAACTGATCGCAAATATCGAGATTAATATCGGGTGTCATTGAATACAAGTATCGGATGAATGCAAACATAGTTTCATAAGAGTATCGGTTCTCGACGTGAATCTCATTTTTGTTGGTTAAGTATTGTTGCATTGATTTCATGAAACGTTTATTTCTAATCTCAAGAATTGTTTTGTGACAATAAATCACTTCCTCTTTGAAAACAAACACCAAATCAAAGTCCGATTGATTGTCAAAGAATTGTATTATACGTTTAAGAAATGCAGACTCTGGTATATTATAACTATTATTATTATTATTATTATTATTGACAGGCATTGCCAATGTTTCCATATTTGATGTATTTGCTGAACAATCATTTTGTTGGACAGTTTGTTTTTTATTTGCCATAACTATATTTTTCATTAATGGATCAATTTTGATAATATCTGGCGATTCATTAAAAATTATCGTTTTATAAGTCTTAAAAATTCCAGAATATTTGGCATAAATCTCAGGCAAAGAGTATCCGATAGTGAATTTGGTTAAATCTTGTGGTGCAGTAATCTTTGAGCCAAAATAGGTGTAACCCCAGGCCCAGTGTCGGCCATCAGTTGATATGGCAACAGATAGTGTGTGATCAAAGTTAGTGACAATGTCATTGAATTTGATATCACTATTAATCTTGATGGGTGTGTATTGTGTATGAAAGGTGCCATTACCAACCTGTCCAAAATCATTGAGACCGCACGCATAAATGTCTCCATCAGTTGATAATAGAAGTGTATGGTTAGGACCGCACATAGCTTTCTGAACAACGATGGAATCAATACCAGGGATCAGTTGCGGGTATGGATTAAACGCTCTCTCCTTTTGCCGACCATCACTAAACTTTTGTGTATCATTATCTCTGTGACGACCTAACTGTCCAAAATCATTCAAACCCCAAACATATACATTTCCTGTTATTGATAGGCCTAATGAATGACATTTACCACAAGATAGAGAGACAATAACTTCACAAATAGACACGAGAACGGGAAATGGTCGCCAACATACTGTTCCATCGCCAACCTGACCAAATGTTTGACGACCCCATCCGTAAACTCTTCCGTTTCTGGTCAACGCTAGTGTATGTCTATTACCACAACTGATGTCTACAATTGTCTCATGTGTTAACTGTTGAATCAGTTGCGGTGTATTTGTTGTCTCATAAGTGCCAATACCTAACTGTCCAAATTCATTTTCTCCCCACGAATAGCACTGTCCACTATTGGTAAGTCCTATACAATGACCAAAACCATAGTAGATATTCTTGAGCTGCTTTGACGACAAAGTTATATTGAGCTGTGGTTTATCAATATCTTCATCCCAAGTACTTAAACCAAGACAACCAAACCGATTGCTTCCAAAGCCATATACATTATCATTAGTTGTGGCAAATATAATATCTGAACCATTGTGACCAAAGATAGCCAAAAGTCTAACTGAGTTCTTCAGCTTTTCGTTGGTTAACAATGGTTGCAATTTACGGAAGTTTTTCACAACTTTTAACTCATCCATTATTGTGTCAATTACTTGATCTTCGACTGATCAGACCATACAATAACTTTGAAACCAATGATCAACATATGGTTACAAACTCARGAAACAATCAAAATTTATGATTGCATTAAATGATCATTAATTGAATATCAATTAAATGTTTGCAAATATTTGTCACTTTGTTTATTGTTTGCTTTGCATTGCATTTACAGTCAATTCAATGTAATCTCGTATCCATTGACTACAAATAGTTTCAATAAAGTTTACATTAGAGAGCGAAAAGTTTCGGACCCGTACCTGACCCGTACCTGATCTGATACCTAAAATCTCGGACTCGGACCTGACCTAACATAGGGTACAAATTTACCTGACCTGACCTGACCTGACTATGTCTGTCCGAAAATAATTTTATCAAAAAACAATTTTATTTATTCTATACCCGCAACAAATTTGTCTAAATTAACTTTAATGGTATTAACGATAACTGATAGTAGATCTAACTTAGATTCTATAAAGTTAATATGTTATTATTTATTAGATCAAAACCATATCTTTTGTAATATTTTATGTTTAATTTATACAAATATTTTATAAATAATAATTTAATAAATTTTGTGTTTGATTGTCATATTTTGTAATAATTGTCGTTTAAATAATGAATAAAAAATTTTCGGATGACCTAATATTTTGGTGTTCGGAATGACAAGCCCTAACTTTTACCTGACCTGACCTGACCTGAAAAATCAGGTCAGTTTTCAGTCTCTAGTTTACATCTATTCAATCAACCCTTTAATACAGTATTCATTCAAAATCATTGATATTAATAGTATATATTAAAAATACAGAAAGTATTATACTATTCATGTAATATAAATACAATACATAAACTAAATAATAAATTAATATAATTTAATAATGTTTTTTTATTAAAAGACGTTTTATTAAAAAAAAGTTGTTCATAAAAACTTTTATTTTATCAATAAAATTGATATTTTATTATAATTTTATTAATTAATGATAAGTCTAGTATTATTTGAAATTATTTGTTGAGTTGCCTTAACTTGTTGAGAGCACTTCCAGCTCTAAACCATTGTATCTGTAATTCATTGAGAGTGTGCTTTAAATTAATCAAATCTCTGGACCCGTCCTTATGTTTGAGTTGACATTTGACCGGCTGTTATATAAAAATTTGATTATTTAATTTATAATAAAAATTATTTTAATATTTAAAAAATTATTATTTGATTGATACCTTTCCTGGCGCTAACTTATTGAGATCAAGCAGTGATAATCTATCTGTTGGTTGAATTTTGTCATAATCTTTAGGATCACTGAAAGTCAATGGCAAGAGTCCCTGCTTTTTAAGGTTTGTTTCTGTTTTTTAATAATTAAAATTTCAATAATAATGATAATCACTAAAAAACTTAATAAAATTGATAATAAAAATACCATGGATTCTGGCAAAACTCTTGACAATGATAGCCCGTCCGCCCAAATATCTGGGTTCAAGAGCCGCGTGTTCCCGACTACTACCCTCACCATAATTATCTTCTCCAATGGCCACCCAATTAACACCATTAGCTTTATAATACCGAGCAGTGGTCGGAACTTCTGACCATTGATTTGTCATTTGATTTAGTATTTTATTTGCTTCATTATTCTCAATATTTATAGCACTGTTATTGAAAAATAAACTAATTTATAAAATAATATTTTTGATATAAAACAAACCCAATGAATAAGTTATTTGAAATGTTGTCGAGATGTCCCCTATACTTAAGCCATGGCCCGCCATAACTGATATGATCTGTAGTACATTTGCCTTTGATTTTGATGAGAATAGCCATATCTAATAAGTCCTTTCCGTCCCATTTGTCAAATGTTTGCAAAAGTTGAAGTCTATCACTATTAGGGTTGATCTCTAATTTGATATGTGATCCATCAGCTAATGGTGATTGATATATTGAACTGTCACCGGTATCGAAACCATTACTGGGTAGAGCTTCACCACTGGGAGGTTCCAGTTTGAACTTCTCTCCATTAGCACCGGTTAGTTCATCAGTAATGGGATTGAARTCAATTCTTCCGGCTATTGATAGGGCTGTGACTATTTCAGGTGATGCCAGGAAATGGTGAGTGGCCGGATTAGTATCATTACGTGCAGTGAAATTGCGGTTAAATGATGATATAATTGTATTCTTGTGTCCGTTTGGGACATCCTGTCGATCCCATTGTCCAATACATGGTCCGCAAGCATTGGCTAACATAACGCCACCAAATTTTTCCAGTTGTTTCGCCTGACCATCCCTTTCAATGGTGGCTCGAATTTGCTCCGAACCGGGAGTTACAGTAAATAATGATTTTGACTTTAATCCATGTTTGAGTGCTTGTTTGACAATACTAACCGACCGATTCATGTCTTGATAACTACTGTTAGTACAGCTGCCTATTAGTCCTACACTTAAATCTAATGGATATCCATTTTCTTTGGCAATTTGTCCCAATTTAGAGATTGGTTGCGATAAGTCCGGAGAATAGGGACCATTGACATGAGGTTCCAATTGAGACAAATTTATTTCAATGATCTGGTCATATGCAGCACCGGTATCACTGTTTAATAATTCTTTGTTTTCATTAGCAAATTCTGCTATGTTTTTGCGATTAGTGGCCACTAAATAATCGTACATTTGTTTATTGTACGCAAATACCGAAGTCGTGGCACCGATTTCAGCACCCATATTACAAATAGTTGCCATACCAGTGCATGAAATAGATTTAACACCAGATCCAAAATATTCTACTATAGATCCAGTTCCTCCCTTCACAGTTAAAATGTCTGCTACTTTAAGTATAATATCTTTAGGTGACGTCCAACCTGACAACTGTCCCGTTAGTTTAACTCCAATAACGTTTGGGCACTTCAGTTCCCACGGAATATCTACCATAACATCTAATGCTTCGGCACCTCCAACACCAATGCACAAACCTCCCAATCCTCCACCATTCACACTATGACTATCTGTACCAACCAATAATAAACCAGGGTAGGCATAATTTTCTAATATTATCTAAAAATATCAACAATATTTCATAACTTTTACTTATTAATATAACCGATAAATACTTTTAATAAAAATTGAAATATAAAATACCTGATGAATGATACCACTCCCTGGTTTCCAATATCCGATACCATATTTAGCGGCTCCACTACTTAAAAAATTATACACTTCTTCGTTGACTTGATTAGCCCGCGCCAAGTCTTTTACAGCTTCAGTCTGTGCTTGGATCAGATGATCGCAATGTATGGTCGACGGTACAGGCTACTCGTGGAAGTCCACTGGCAATGAACTGGAACAGAGCCATCTGTGCCAAAGCGTCCTGCATGGCCACCCTATCCGGTCGTAAACGCAAATAACTTTCCCCTCTTTTAATGTCCTGATTGTGCGGATCATCCAAATGCGAGTAAAGTATCTTTTCCGACAAAGTCAGGGGTCGGTTAAGTCTATGTATAATCATATTCTAAATATTATGATTGCAAATGTTTTRTATAACTTTTAGGCTTTTATAATACAATACCTATTTTTTACAATTTTAAGATTGTTTACTAGCTTTTCATACGGAATAAATACATTGTTATCGAAACGACTCATCGGTATCTAAATTATAATATGTTAACAAAGTTTTTAATATTAAAATTAAATGCATTTATTAGTTAGTAAAAGAAATATTGTATTATTATAACCTGTTTTGAAGTACATATCAATGTCTGATGAATGAGTCTGATTTGACCCAACGTTGAAAATGTCATTACTTTCTATTCATTCAATAGACAGTATTCATAATAATTTATTCAAAATTTATGAATATATATTTATATATTTAATTTTAAATTAATAATTTTAAAAAACACTATCAAACCTTTGATTTAATAAATGCTGTTAATTGTGACATATTTAKTGTTCAATATTAGCAGAATAGATAATTACAAGTGAAATATATTTTTGTAAATTTTGTAAYGATTTTTAAATTTATATACTTTTTAAATTTAAGATATTTTTAGACAAAATAATATAATAAAAATCTATCAAAATAATTATTACTAATGATTACATCACAATTTCACCATATTTTTGAAAATTAATTACTATAAATATCATAAGCGTGTTATTTTGTTTATACTGAAATAATATTATAAAAAACATATTAAATAACAAAATAAAGTATTATATAATAATATTTTATTACTTTTATTACTATAATTAGTATATAAAGCCTATCTTATCTATTATTATGTATTTACGTATAGTATTATCTATTATGTACAAAATTTACAAATTACAATATTAACTAATATAGTTAATAGTTTTTTACTGTAGACCTTGATAAGTTTATAAAACATAGGTACAATTTGTGTTATAAACATTTTATTGATTTATTTAACTATTAATAGTATATTTGATTTTTTTCAAAGTTTGTTTAGTTTCAATGATTTACATTCATTTAGTTATTATTTAAATATTACAATTTTGTGATTATAATTTCATCATTTTAATTTTTACTTTTATTAATATAATTGAATTGAACATGAGTTTAACTATAATAATAATATTATATAAATAATTATTTYAAGTTTGAAAAACTTTAATATTTGTTTATAATTAACATTTAAGTCACAAGTTTATTTAGTTTTATTTAAGCAGTAAATTTACAGATTGTGTACAAAACATTTAACAAAATTTGCATACATTTAAAATTTTTWTAAAGTTTATATATAATTGAAGTTGAATTACATATTACGTAAAATTTAAGCATTATTTTTATTTATTTTTAAAATTGGTGGTAATTTATTATAAAAATAAAACATTAAAAGCAATTTGATATAAAGCAAACTTAAAAGTAACTAAAAACGAGAAATAATTAATTAGTTATTAATTAATTAATATATCTAATCTCTGGYAACATATTTATTGTCGACACTATTAGTCGGCGGCGCACGGATTCTGCCGTCATATGCCTTAATGGGTGCCAATCGGATTAAATCTTTAACTTTAGCGGGAGTTTCCTCAGCGGCCAAAGTAATATCAGCCGGATTTGGCACAGCATTAGTCACAGGACTCGGCTCATTGATTCCGGGCTCATTGGTACGGATACTCGCTGTTTAATAGATTTTTAAGATTGCAATTTTTTAATATAAATAATTAGTATAATTAAAACAAACCCCTGAAACCATCCTTATCTGCCACATAGTCGACAATTCTRTAAAGACCATAAGCATCGGTATATCCATAGGATCCGCGTACAACWCCAGCGGTATCACCCGATTCACGTCTGTACTGTCCGTTTCCAGTTTCATCTTTGTARTCAAAGTTGAAATTGTATGGYTCAGGCACTCCAACCTATTCAACAGTTTTATTGTTTAATTTATTGAAGATAATCCAATACRTGATAACTATGTGTTGTTACCAATTCGTGTTGTTCRATGACGGGGACGGGTTGTTGTACAACTGGTTGTTGAACAATGATGGGTGCGGGTGGTGGCGGTCGGAATGTTGGTGTCTTTACTCCAATTCTAGCTCTAACTGGTGGCAAAGGAACGGCAAATGCTGGTGGAGGCGACTTAACAGCAATTGGTGGCGATTTCACCGATGCGGCTACTATCGGGATTGGTGGACCATAAAAGGGAAGTGCTGGCGGTCCCGACTCAACCACTATTGTTTGCGGTTCAGTATAATGACCGGTGGTTGCGATAACACTTAAACACAGACATAAAAATCTAASGATCAAAGATTTGGATAACATTTTTGAAAAAATAGATTTAAATAATATATGATATGAGAAATGAAATATTAAAAAACTACACGAATATTATTTAATATTTAACTGTCTATGAAATGACAAACTATTAGATTAAATCTGAGTTTATATACTGATTATAAATACTAGAAAAGAGTGTTCGCCCTTCTGATGGCACCGGAATGTGTAAGTAATCAAAACTTATCACTAAATTTGAACAACAATTTGCTGCCTACTAGTGAAACACCACCGACTCTATTATGACATCCATTTTAATATATTCACGAATCCTTCACCCAATCCTCATATATCTAAATAATTATGAAAACAACAAAAATCCTATTTTACTACACATTTTACTACAGCCTATAATATAGCGAATGAWTTTTTTTAATTGTAATTCTCTATGAAATTGAGAGTCTTCTCCAATGTCTATATATTAATCGTTTTTAATAATGGCTTTCCCTTTCATATACCATAAAACATTGAGTACACATAAAATATAGTAACAAATTCATTTAAAAATGTATTATAAGCTATGATTCAAAAATTTAATGGCATTCACTCCCAGTTTTGCATAAAACCCAATTTGGGACGATTTAGGTGTGAGTTTGTATGCCATCAMACATAACACAATAACTTATATTTTTATATGACTTTCAAATTACGGTATTATTAAAAGTRCTATTGAAAGGGATTTTTAAAACTATGTATTTGTTATATGATATATCAAGTTTTATATACAATTTATTCAAATATAGGACTGCTTTATTGTTGACTTAATTTAGTTGAAATCAATTTAAACGTTAACTTGATGTGTATGTGTAATCTTCACTATAAATATAAAGAAAATTAACATAAAAATTATTTGAACATAACTATGAGGTCAGGGACAGTAAGCGTTAAATTTGAAATTAAAATAAAACAAATAATAATTTTATAATATTACACACTATTTATACTATAAGAAGAAAATACATTCAACCCATACATTATCAATATCTATGTTTTTGAGATTTATTATCAATGACTTAATGATTCAAACAATACATAGACTGTCTCTACTGTCTCTGACTTTTATATTTACAATTAATTATTGATTTATTAGTATTTTGTTATGTCTGTGAAGGCGTCAAATTTTACAGCAAATAAACTATTATTTAGTTTTCATTATTATAAAACAAAAAATCATTGAATTTCTTTCAAAAAAAGTTGAAAATCCATATTTGTATTTATTAAATATGTTTATTACAATCCTTTTTAGTAAGTTTTTTAGACATTATTGTCTTTTAAATGGAGTAATAGATTACTAGGATATAAATTTTTGACTTAATTTTATTTTTTTAATCAATTCATTAGTTATTATAAATTAGTTTTTATAATTATATAAATATTATTTTATAAAATTTTTGTTTAATCTAAACGTTTTTTACTTAATTTTAATACTGATTAATATAATTGTCTAATCAAAGTCTGGTGTATTAATCGGAATTTTAATCTGCAATAATAAAAACCCACAAAATSTTGTATTTAATTTTGAATATWTTTTTATAAAGATAATATCTATATTTTAATTATAAATATTATAAAATATTCATTATAATATTAATTCTCTTTATTATAATTATAATTATTATAAGATTAWTAAGATTTAAAAGATTTATTATATAAGTATACTCAGTTCGTTTAAATATTTTTTTATAATAATAAACAAATAATATAATTTAKTGTAATTTTTGTCATTAATTAAGTAATTGAGTTAATGTGATAATTAAAATATTTAAAATTGATTTTTTGATAAATAATTGTAAACACATAATAAATTATCATTTGTATAATAAATAGTTTAACTAATTTTATAGAATTTGTAATCTCTGGCACCAAATTATTTTAATACAAATAATTAAATATTTTGKTTTTACTATCGATTAAAATAATTAGAGCATAAATTTTTGGTGACAATTATTTATGATTTGTTACTTTATAGCAGGCTATCAATGCATGGATGACTTTATATTAAATTTAAAAGTGTGAATCATAAAATTGATGTAATTAATAAAAATAATATAAATTTAATATSAAAACTAGTGTATTATTATAGTAATATTAATCATAAATGTTGTGGTGTTTTATTTTGTTGCACTAATTTATAAAATTATATATAACTAAAACCAAATTCATATATATTTTCTTCCTATAATAAATTCTTAAAAAATATTYAATAAACAGTATGTTTATGACTTTTAGACAAATAAAATAAGTATATCTATTATAATAAACAATTTTTTTTATTAATAAATTAAATTTATTTAAATATTTTATAAAATTAAATTTATTTAAATATTTTATAAAATTAAATTTATTTAAATATTTTATTTAAATATTTTATAAAATTATATAAATAATAAATATATTAAATAAATATAATAAATATTCAAAGATCTGTAAATCCAAAATCTCTTGTATATATAAGTAGTGCCACTTCATAGAGTTTGTCCCTATCGAGTGGTGGATACCGCGGGACAYCCTTTCCATCCTTTTTCTTATTATTTTCCAAATGATGTTTTCGTTTCTTTCTTTTCTTTATATGTTTTTTCTTCTTTTTTTCTTCTTCTTCTGTGTCTTCTGTGGTTCGTTTTGGAGTTTATGTTGTGGATCRGTATCTGATTCATAATCTTCATCATCATCTGCTTCATGATCTGTTTCTTTATCATTTTGATGATCGGCTTCATTATGTCTTCGGTGAACTGTTTCCTCATYTYTATCTATATCTTCATATTTCATATCATTTTTCATATCGAAAAAATCAAAATCAATATCTTCTTCCGTATCGTAAACATTATAATCAACGTCAGAGTTTGAAAGTGATGGTCGACTTCCTTCTGAATTCAGTATTTTATTATTTATATTATTGTCATTTGTTGKCCGATGTCTAGAAATACTTCCAGTTTGTGAACCACTGATAAGTTTTGAAATTTTTGCATTTAATTTGTCCTCTATTTGACTGTCGGTYACAATCTTTCTCTTGGATTCTAATGGTTTTGTATTACTTATATCCGACAAATTATGCTTAATCTTAACCACAAATAAAAACAAAAAATATTTATTTTCATTATATAATTATGTAATTATTTTTGACATTATTTAGGAATCATAAACAGTTATATTACTTAACAAAGTGTGATCACTATATTGAATGTCAATTAATTTTTTATTAAAATAAATAAATAATAATATTAAATGAAAGAAAATTTAATGTGTAATTCATAAATTGGGTCAAACTTATGAGTTGACAAAAAATACATTTAATTTGAAACAAACAAAACAAAGTTAGCCTTAATTTTTCTTACATTTTTTGATGTTTTAAATATATTACGAATATCATTGCTGTCATTTTCCGCCAATATTGTTGACAGTGTTATTATTAAATAAACAAAATAAAACTAAAAAATATGAAATGTTTAAATTATATAATTATAAATAAGCAAATTATATCTATATTTAAGTATTATCCTGAATAGACGTCTATATAGTTAGAATTATGGATTAGCTTATAATATAATTCTGATATATAAGTAAATAGTTTATTGAAAGTTGCCATGTTTATTTAAACTATTTTATTTAAATATATTTTTSTAAATTTGTATTAAAAAATGAAACAATTTTTAGACTAACAATTTAGACGTCAATTCTGGATGCCACCTTAATTAGTGTTAAATTAATGTTATATTATTATACAAAAAAATTATGGGTTATTAGTCAAACCTTTAGTTTCATTTGGGAATCATTTAGCCTAAATTCCTACATAAAAGTTGATAAAATTATTAACACTTGATTAGAAATTTAGATAGCAAATATAATTAATTATTATTAATATTGTTAATTTTAAATATTGATAACTAAAATATTATTTTTAAAAATTAAATATATATTTTTTATTAAATTAATAACTATATTATCTATTTATCAATTAATAAATATTATTAATAAATTTGTTAATAAGTTTTCCATATATATCCGTAAATATAAAAGATATTAAGGGAACGTTTATTTATTTCATACTGTAATCTATTATTTATAAACAATATATCAATAAACTTAAAAYAATTAAAAACATTTATAATATTAATKTAATAMAATTATTTTATTATTATTTATGTTAAGAAACTTTTTATAATATAAAATTTAATAAATATAATATATTTACTAATAATTATAAGAAATCAATTTTTAAAACAAAGATTTTAAAGTCTCAATGAAGTTACTGTAAAGTGAAATGAAAAGATATGACCGTTGATGGACAGGTAGGTAGAAAAAAGGGGCAAACATTTCTAATATATTCTAATACATTAACAATTCTAATCTATAATAATATAAAATTTTAGAAAATTCAATTATAATACAATTAAATATACAAATAAATATATATTATATTAAATATTAAACATGGTTAAATATAAAAGTTAGCTTTATAATGTTAAATAAAAATAAATAACATTTAATAACAAACGTATTAAATTAAGGTACGATATATTAATATTTATCTCTCACTATAAATTGTATAAACATTAAGTAAATATTTATTTTTAATATTAAAATATTAAAGTATAACTTATTATTTAAAAAAATTTATTATATTCTTAATATTTAATRTAATTTTTATTTTATTAATATTTAGTTATTTTTTAGTTTCAAAACTGTACATAAATATTTCATATTGTACTGAATTAGTAATTATTTAAATTTAAACCTACACTTTTTGAATTTTATTACTATTACTTAAGCTTACAAATTGAAATTATTAAATAACTAATAAAAATAATAATGAAATTTATAAATATAGTATTTTCAATATACTGCAATATTATTGTATATCATTTGATATTAAATAATTAATTATTTATTTAAAAATAATTATCTATATGCTTTAGTTTTTATTGATTATTATATATACAATTATTTGCATTAACTCAATATTTATTAGATTTTAACTATACTTTCTAATAATAAATTTATAAACCATATAAAAGTATTAATTTGCTATTACTTAACCCACACTTTTATTTACCTAAAACTCATTTATAGCTAAACAAATCTATTATATATTAAAAATTATAATAAATTTTGTTGTTTGGTGTCTTACTTACACGTCATTACAGTATTAATAGTTATTGTTTGTGTTATACCCATAAATAATCATTATGTTAATATTAAGTTAAATATAAACCTTATTAAAACAAATGAGTCAAATCTTATTTATTTATTTACAGTATTAATTAAAGTACATAAACGTAATTATACAAAAATAAAGTACTAAATAAAAAATATTTAAATATTAGAAATAATAAATTTAAGGACATGAAAATTGAAAACTTTTATAATTAAATAATAAATCTTACCCACAAATATTAGTAACTTAGATATAGAAGTTTCATTTAATTACATAACTTTTAATAAATATTATTTAACATATACTTTTTATTGTGACTAATATTTAACATAAAATATAAAATTAAAACTTTATTTGTTATCTCATTTACACTTTATAACAAACTAAATACTATTGAAATTTTAAATTGATTTTTCATTGACTCATCTCTTCACTGGTTTTATGCAATATTTAACCCAATGATCATTAGAGCACATAATTAGTGTTTTCCTTCAAATGGGAAGTGAAATCTATATATTATGTATTATAATTTATAATTTATAGGTAAACTATTATAATATATTGTCATATAATATAAATTTTTTCTATGTATTATATATTATGAAAATTATTTTATTTATAATACTTAAAGATATTGTAATTTTTATTAAATTAATTATATATTTTAACATTTATTAACTTAAGAATAATAAATTTTAAATAATAAATAAACTTTGCTTTTAAATAAATGTTAGTTATTAAATAGTTTTATCATTTAATTTATAAGCATTTAATAACTATTTCTATCTGAACAATATCATTTTAATAGTAAACATATTTATTTTATATTAAAAATACATACAAAATAAATTATTTTAAATAATATAAAATGAAAGTTATAATTTATAAAAGTAATAAATATATACAGGCACATACACACATATATATACAGTATATAATACATACTATACATATACTGTATATTTCATATTAAAAATGGATTAAGATTTGAATTGTAAACTTATTAAAATGATTTTATTTATATATTATAAATATAAGAATCACTGTATATAACAGTTTAAATAATAGAGAAAATTTATTATTTATTAATATTCCTTACAAATTATAATAAAGTTAAATAATTTAAATTCTTAATGTAATGAATAGATATTGTTTTAAAAATAATGAGCAATAAATGTCTAAATATGGGAAAACGCCTCKTTTTTATTAAAACATTTATTATATTTTAATAAATTTTTAATACTTTACATCCTTGGCCTTCATTAAATATTTTCATAATTGATTTTTCTTAATAAATGTATAATTTAATAAYTGTTTTGTCAATTATAAAGATTTGAGTTTTAAATAATATTCACATAATGTATTTAATAAGTTTTAATTTATTTGTTTGCAAAATGAAAGTAATAAAAATTTATTTAAAATTGTTATTTGAATAAATGTAATTTGATTTCACTTTTACTTTGATATATTATATACAGTATAATTGTTTTATTGTGATTATCAGTCAATATATTATTAATAGAGTATTAATTAATAAATATTATTTTTATATATTATCTTATATTTTATTCGCAACAAATTTTATTATTTTATTAAATAGAGTAATTTATATAATAAATATTAAAATATTTTGRTTAAAAGTATTACTGTAACTTAAAATTATAGATTTTAGTTAATTATGTGGTAAACTTAATTAATTTTTTATATTTTCAATTTACTTTTTCTTTTTTATTTAATTATATAAATTATACAAATTCTCAAATTTTGTGTTAATTTAATTATTTTTTTTTATATAAAGATTTATCAATATAATACTTTATTTAAAATTTGAAAATATGATATATTGAACAATTATATTGCACTATAATTTATATACTGTATTATATTATATTATAATAAGACTAATTTAAAAAACAAAATTGAATTAAAAAAAACACTAATTAACAAATTAATAGTTATATAAAATTTATATTGATGATATAAGTAAATATTTTAATTACATTAAAAATTAATTATTAAATATTTTTTATGGTTTTAAAAAACATACATATGATACTAAAACAAAACATTTAATGTAATAATAATTGAGTTAATATCAATCAAATTTACTAATTATAATAATTAATATTGACAAAAATGTTGAAATCAATTACAGATTGGATAYAATGATTTATTTTATAATTTWTATATATATATTTAAAAACAAATTTTTAAAAATTATTAGTTTCACAATATTGTAAATTATATCAACTAAAAACTAATAACAGTAATAAAGTCATAACAATTTGTTAACAAATWGTGTGATTTATGGTCAATGAAAACAAAATTAAAACCCAAACATATGTTTATCAGTGGCTCTAATCACTGATCACACAACGGGTTGTAATTAAAGTTCATTATATTAGGAAAAAAGTCACACAATTTGTAGTCAAGCAGTAAAACACTTTGAGCTCTAGTTTTTATTTTTCATATCTTATRTGAGATTTGTTTATCTATGAAAAACTAAGTCAATTAAAGGAAACTACTGTTTGAATATTTGATTTAAATAAGAGGAGGAGAAATAACTTGATTTTAGTAGACAATCAAAAAATATATAATAAACACATTATTTAGATATGTAAAGCATATATTGTTTAAGCAATTAAATAGAGAAAGTAGTTTTCATGAGAAAGTTGTAGCCCTCCTCCCCATTATTATGTAACCCTGAATGTGTCGCCCGGTGTCACCAACCAATTGGTGAGGGAGTGGTCGGACCCATTAATAGGTGATTGAGTTTTATTATTATCTAAGTTATACCAATACAAATGATTGTTAATATATTTCTTAATCCTTGACCATTTGAATAATTGTATCATTTATTTATATGCCATATACCACACCCGTAATTCACAAAATTACTTAATTATATTCAACTCATATATAAAGCAATTGTCACCAACTTTTCAAAATTACTTTTACTTTATTGACAATTTCACTGATTAGTGCTCATAAAATATTAAGTTGTCTCAATAAATAGACATTAAAAATAATGTGTTTAAAGGTTTGTAAGATTATAAAGATTTGTATAAATAAATCAGTAATATTAAGTTAATTTTATGTTTAATAATTAAAAAATTAATATTTATTTTACAACTATGTGTTATTTGTTAAATAACAGGTGATTATATTGTTATCGGCAGTTGTGGTGTTGGCCACTGCCAGTCATTACGGAGGTGGCGGACATTCAAACAGCTTTAGAAAACAGGATGTAATGAAATTTAGATAMTTTCTGTAAATCGTGTTAAATATATTCTTATATTTGTTGTGTATATGTTTTTTGGTGTCCATCCAAATGTTAGGATCACGGAAACTATGCATTTGGTTACGATATAGTGGACCACAAGGGGGCCAAAAACTTTCGCAAAGAGTCGGGTGACGGTCACGGAAACAAAGTCGGATCATACGGTCTGCACGATGTGGACGGACGCCTCAGAATTGTTGATTATGTCAGTCATTCACTTAATTTTATTATTTAATTTATATATATATTTTTACTAATTTTTAACTAACAAATATTAGATATTCATTCTATAATTTATGCAATTATTTTATTTGTAAAGTTATTTTAATTTATATTCAGAAATCTATTAACTTAAAAAATTATCTATAAATGTATAATTAATTAAAAATTTGTTATTTTAATATAATAGGTCGCTGATGGTCATGGTTTCCGAGCCAAGATCAGAACCAATGAACCGGGTATTTATGCATTTGTGTTATATGACCTTATATTTTAAAYAAATAGTCAATTACTGTAMATTGAGAAAATTATATTTTATCTTATAATAGCAGTAATCAGTGACAATAATTGACTGTTTAATATTTACTCTAATTTTTAGTCAAATATTTGAGAAATTAGTTTTTTWAATCGTGATTTCCTTTATATAAACTTTTAATAACAATATATAATATTTATTTAATTTAAGTGTTAACAGTAYTTTTATTTTATAAAAATTATATTAAAAATGTTTAGCAAATATAGGGTATTAAGRCAATAATTTAAAATGTTTAAAAATATAAAATATAATTAATAGGTACAACAAACAAGGACAGTGCAGCAGCAGTTTATAATGGACCCGATCCTAAAGGATATAGGTAATAATATCATATTTTTTAATCAAAATTTATATATTGAATATTACATGATATACTTTTATATACAGTTCCTCTCACATACCATCCGGTAAAGTGCCTCCACAACCAAACTATGGACCCGTGCCCTATGCATCAGCAGGACATGGCTACGGTGCGTACACACCAGCTTTAGGCAATGTTTACTCAGCACAGGGAGCTTATTATGGAGGACCTGACCAATACTCACACGGTGATTTTGGACCCGTAGGAGCTTACTCTCATTCAGCGCCTGTATTTATGCCTTATTTTGGATACTAAATCATTGGCTCTAAAAATGTTTGTTATTTTATGTTTGTTAAGTTCCCATTTTATCATTTGTTTCCATTGAGTTTTAGTATTACATATTTGTCTACACTTTATATCTATTTTCTTAATTACCAAATTATCATAACTTAAAGTTTGAAAATGCAAATGTTATGTAATATTTAATTTTCATAAGTCACTGCCTATTATGCCATTAATTATATCTAAAGCTTTATTTTTCTGCAAATATCACTCTTTATAATTGACAGTTAATTTTTGATATCATTTAACATTACTAAACAATAATTTCTTTTTAGCTAAAATAACATGTAATTAATTGCTTGCCTTTATTACTAAAAATCAATTTTATTTATTTAACTTTGAAATGCAAACACATAACAACCTAATTAACACCTCACTTATGGTCCACTTTGACAACTTTCACCACAAAATTTGTTTATTATTTAATTATTTAATGTAAATCATTATTTATAATTTGATTGTTTACTCTCATTATAGTTTTCCCTTTACATAATAACTTAATAATGTAAATAATAACTTATTAATGCTATTTTATAATATGCCGAAACAATTGTAACTTTGATAACAAACAGTCTAATATTATAATAGTTTTATTATTAAATTACAATTTCTATTATTAATAGAAAATTATTGAATATTTATTATATATTTATTATTATTAATCATATTAATAATTGAATTGAGGACAACAATTTGATTACAATTAACTTATTAAGTACATGTTTTACTAAAATATAGATATTTCCTTAATTAAATTGTTATATTTAAACCATTATAAATTAAAACATCGTATAAACAACAAAATAATATAATGTTATAAAAATAATTTTCTATTAAAAATATGATTATCATTTTATAATTAACATGTTATGTGATAAAAAATAATAAGACTATTAATAAAAATATCATTTTCTTAAAATTATTGCGTTAAATCATTTGTTATTTTTTTATTTTATCAATTATTGTTTTAAAAATCAAATAATTGTCTAAATATTTTACAAATAATTCATTTATATTGTGTTAGCAAATGCTTTATGTCTGAAGGAAACAATTGTCTCAAAAGTGTGTTTTTAGACAAACATAACAAAACACAATCAGAGCAAAGTATAACTAGTTTTAATGCAAAATATAATTATTATAAAATACTTGTATTACTTTAAATTAAATATTTATATAATTTAATATTGTAAACATTATAACAAATTAGATAAAATCTCTAATATTAAATAACTATTAGTTTAAAAAACAAATAATTTACTAATTAATAGTAAAACTATATAAAAATAGTAATTTTATTATATTAATAATGTAAAATTTATTACAAAACATAATACCAGTAGTAAAATAATCAAAATTAAGTTAAATTTAAATAAACAATCTTTAAGAGAGACTTATAATACCTTTAGTGCCATTTAGTGTTCATTTTTTGGGTGACCTCTCGAGTAAAACAAATATTTATTGTCAAAAGTCACTGTAAAAGTCAGGAAATACTGTTATCTCATGTTATTGTTTGATAAAAATACTCTTTTAATTATCAAAACTATAAATTTGAATTAATTTATGTCCCAATTAATAATAATATTTACCAGTAATTAATATAAATTATACTAATTATGTTATTATATAAAATTCAATAAATTATTATAAAAAAATACAATAATACTAATCAGTTTATTATTACTTTAATTGATATCTTTATAATTATAATAATAATAAAAACAAATAGATTTAAAGTAAACATAAATATCTGATATAATTTGAAATTAAAGTAGTTTTTTAACTAATATGTTAAATATGAGTTAAAATAAACAATATTTAAATTGATTTAAAAAAGTGATATTTGGTCTCATGATTGACCACTTAATAACAATTAATTAGTCGTCGGGAAGATATTCGGCGATCATTTCCTTAAGTTTGATCCCTTCTGCAGCCAATTCACTCAAATGTTTGTTCTCTGCCTCCAAAAGCTCCTTCTCATGTCTTGACTCTTGTAAATCACGAGTCAGTTCATCATTACGTGAGACCAACTCTTCATTGGCTTTGAGAGCGACCTCAAGAGCTTTGGAGCGTTCTTTAGCCAAACACTTCCAATACTTCAAGTCATTATCGACACTATCCTTGTCTGTCATCCATCGCACCACTCTTTGTGTCTTTTCAATGCACTTGTCTTTGTCCGACTTCTTGGTGGTCATCGTTCGGGTCAACACTTTGTTGTTATCACTAATCGGTTGCAATGAATGAAGAGATCGTCGCTTTGAACCCTTAGTCACATTGTTTTGAGTCTTTGATGTCTTCATCAAAGGTTCGCTCATTGTATCAGTTGTTGTGTATTGTCGTCCCAATAGTTGTCCCGACGGGTGGCCAGTAGTTGAGTATCGGATAAACTGTTAGTCAATTGAAATCAATTGAAATGAGTGTTCAATGCATTCAAAACATATGACTCTCTGTTGTAATGAACACACAATTAGTCAACACTTTTGCCGCTATTAGGCGTTCGTAATAGAGATGACTCATTGGTTAATATAATCGTAACTATAGTAACATATATTATAAAAGCTCACAATTGGCGCCTAATTTAAACACTATTTGTATTATTATATTCAAATTGATATCATTTTTATTAACCATTTAAATGATTAGCATTTTTGTCATCTAATARTTTAAGTAATATTTTTAAATATTTTAGTAAAACAAATAATTTGAAATAATATCAATTTGTTATTTAATTGTTGTTGATTTAATTAAATTGATAATAATAAATGAATAATGAAAAATAAATATTAAAATAATAAATTGAAATTAAAACTATAACTTTATTGACAATATTAACAATTTTAAACAATTAAATGTAAATACTGTTACAGTTTGTATATATAATAAATGGTTTACTATAAACAATAATAATATTTACATAAAATTTATAGAAAATTAAAAAAAAAGTAAATCACATGACTTTAGAGGACATTCCCGATGTGGGCAGTGATAGGCATCGGATCCTCACGTTTTGTGGCGACAGTCGGGACACAAACGGACAGGAAGTGAAGATAAAAAAGTTGAGAAACTGTGGATCTGTACTGTACTGCAACTTAAATAACGATTTATCAAACATTTTATCTGAAAAATAAAGCGCCAATAAATCGATTGTCGAAACAGTTTTATTGGAAAAAAATTATAAGAAAGGATGAGAAGAAACACATAGAAGAACAGGTATTCATTCGGATGTAAACGTCTTTTTCAGGCAATTATCTGAAATACAAAGTTTACCAGTGACTGGCAATCAGAGGTGCAGCCGCGTGGACGGTCTTAGTGGCATAGGCAACCGGGGCAGCCAAGTGAGCGTGGGTGTAGGTGGCCGGAGCAGCAATCAATGGTGCGGCCAACGGAGCAGCGGCCACATGGGTGGTAAAGGCCGGAGCGTGGCTAACGTGTTGGGTTGAAACCGAGTATGAGTGGCTCTGGACTGGAGCTGACAGAACAGCTGGAGCAGCGTATGCGGTGTGAGCAACCACTGGGGCAGAGTAGTGGGTCAAAGCGGGAGCTGCGAGGGGAGCAGCAACTACTGGGGCGGCGGCGGCTAATAATATAAATTATGTTATAAAATATTTTATTTCCATTATAATTATCTTTAGGATTACACTTACCAACAATAGCCTGAGCTTTATTGATCAACACATTTGCGGGATCCTTGGGCTCRACACCGGGTTCGTTGGATTGCACATTAGCTCTGAAACCGGCGGCATCGGCAACGTAGTTGACTACACGTACTCTTCCGTCAGCATCTCTGAGACCGTATGATCCAACCTGAACACCGGGAGCTCCCTGTTCTCGTCTGAAGGTACCACCAGTTGCGTGATCTTCATTGTATCCGAAAGCATAGTTACCGACATTCTATGTTTAAAAATTTCTTAGTTTTAGTTATATAATACATATGAATAATGACTTACATCTTGGCTACGGAATTGAGATGAGGCTCCGGACTCAAGAACACCGACAACTGGTGCGGCATAATTGATAACACCACACGACACATACCCGATAAGGGCGACCATAATGATTGCTGAATTCATTTTTTCAAATTTTTTTTTAGATATTCACTCGTTTGATTGAATGGTACATTTCGACTAAAAACATCGCTTTTATACTCTTTCTTAGATCTGATCCATTGGTTACGTCACTGGGCGTCGAATGAAGAATAAAAGTTGGGATGCAGTGAAGCCTGGGATGAGTGGCAAAGAGGAGTGAAATGCATCGATACGTGCAAACTATTTGGCAAAAAAAATGTTTGCAAAATCCAAGGTCTTCATCACTATTTCTCTCTCTCTCTCTCTCTCTCTCTCTCTCTCTCTCTCTCTCTCTCTCTCTCTCTCTCTCTCTATCACCAAGAAGTTTRTAGAGAACAGTTAAAGACATAGTTAAGATAGGGTGTGGTTATCTTTTAACCGATGGTCACAACACTCACTCACACATATATGTTGGGCTGAAATATCAATAAATTATTACAACAATCGTGTTATTACTGCACACAAACTCAGTCTTGTATTAATCAATTTAAAAAAATCTAATTTCAAATTCAAGAATTCATTTGTAATTATATTATAAATTTTAATCGAAGAAAATTAGATGCAATGAAAACGGTATTTCTTAAGCCTATAAATTGTTTGAAAAAATTATACATTTGACAGAACCATTGATTAGTTGTATATTTAATTAAATAAATCAATTTTTTTAATTTTGACRTTTAATAAGACAACGCGTGAGTGTTCAGAGAAAGAAATAAAGAAAGAAAGAAAGAGAGAAGAGAGAGAGAGAGAGAGAGAGAGACTTCAATTGATATTTTATAAATTAAGAGTTTTCAATATAAATAAAATTGTAATGAATTGTGTCGAAGATTATCAGTAAAATTAGTGGAAAAGTATCAGAGATTTTGATGGTAGCCTTGATCTCATTACTTTTCATTTTTTCAATACACATCTTTACAAAATATCAAACAATATAACATTTTATAAGCTAACTGTATGATGATAAACATGTTTAGGACATATAGAGAGATAGAGAGGGAAAGGAACCCAGGGATAGGGATTGGTATTAAATTGGAGACTAAGCTATTCATATATAAGTCTTTGAATGTGTGGGACTGACTCTCGGCTTAAATACAAAAGTAATTTTTAAAAAATAAATAATAGACTAGACTTAGTATAACATATATAAATTTACAAAAATATATCTTATTAAACAAAAATCGTTTCATAATAAGAGGTCAAGATTTATATCAAAGTTTATAATATTGATATGAATTAAAAAATATAAGATTATATTAGACATTGACTGATAGTGAATGACATTACTTTAGACTATTGTTGTTTTGATCAAAAACTACAATTTCAATCAAATCCTATAGAAATTTCACATTAAATGTCTACAACATTATTCACACTTTATTATTGGTTGAAATGATGACATAAAATATTAATTTTAAATTATACAATTGTGTTACACAAACCTTATTAAATGTATTCAATATTAATCGAATAAATCAAAAACTTTTATAATTGTAAATTAATTGATTAAGTTAAAAGTAATTTCGTTTTTATTAATATTATAATAATTATTATAAAAATCAAAATTTTATAATATATTAATTATCTCTACTTCAATATTAACTTATTCCTCGTTTTTTAACCTAAGTTTTGTCAAAATTTAAAACTTTTATTGATGTTATCRCAAACATTATTAACTTATGTTAAAATTATAATTGAGATGTTTATGAAAGGATTAAAATTTGCATTAAATGACAGACAATTTCATTGAGTTTAAAAAACTATCAGAAATATTACATAATAAGGAAATAGAAATGAAATTTCATTTATAAAATTATAATATATTTAAATAAGAAAATAGAAACATATGATTGATTTTTATTAAATATTTTAAAAATATTATAAGTGACCTTTAAAACCTAATTTATATAATATAATAACTTATGTAGTTATAGATATATCTGATATTTAAAATATATATCATGTTTTTTTCAAAAAATACAAATTATAAATACTAATGTTATAACATAATCATCTAAAAATTTAATGAAATTTAACATTTATAAAAAAAAACTAAGACACTTTCAAAATTAATAGTTATTCAAATACTAAATAATAAAATTAGTATAAACCATAAATGTTTTGTAATTTAAATTTTTAAAACTTTCGATATATCAAATTATGATCAATTTCAATGTAATTTTTTTTAATTTTTAATACAATTTATTAGATTTTTTACCGTAAAGGGATGTCAATGAAAAAATGTTATATAATTTTTTGCTGATGAAAGTGTCAAAATTACTCTAATTTTTGTCTTTAAAATCAATGCACTTCTATGATTGCCAAATCAAATGTTTAAAATCAAAAATTTTTTTTAATAGTTTAATTATAATAGATTAATCTACTAATATATAGGGAATATTAATCACTGTTATTTATTATTTATAAATATTTTTAACTTATTAATAAAATGTCATTTTTATTGATATATTAAATTAATAGATATAAAATTTGAGATTAAAAAATAGCCTAAATCTGTAATAATCAATACTAGATCTGGACGGTTGTTAACCGTACTCAGCGATCAATATAACATTATATATAAGAACAGGTAGAGTGCAGTCACAATGAAATGCATGGCCAGTGAACCACCCATTCCTTAGTTTGGAAAATCCGAGACTTAACCAAATATATAGACATTTCTTCGTCAATACAATGAAGCGAAACGAATAGTACTTATATATTGTGGTATAGAGTTGTTGTATGTTTTGAGTGATTGCATCAGCACTTGATCTATGATAAGGGCTCTACACCTAAAAGATTAATCATATCAAGGATTAAGATGTTTAGCGAGTCAACACAGTCAGCAAAATTGCTATCAAACTCGTTATCTTTGGCTTTCAAATGTAGGCTTTTATTTGAGTAAAAGTTATTGGAAAAAGTTATCTCTCATTTAAAGCTTAATTTCATGTTTTGATACAAATAATTAAACTATAAATATGTCAATCAATGTTCACACCATTGCAATAACACAAAAAACAACTAATATTACACCTAATTATAGTATTGTTAAGTACTTTATACAACTAGTAATAGTTTGATAATAAAATTATTCAATTTGATTATCTATTTATGGTTCTATATAAATATATTTAAACAATAAAGATATTTAACAATTAATAAGAAAATTATATAAAATAAAAAATATATATTTATATTATATACATTATAGTATTATTAATAATAATTTTAAGGTTATTTACAATACAAATGAATCATTTTCTTTGTTTGTATTTTGTTTTAAAAAATGCATTAAAATTTGCTATAAAATAGCGTATTTTTAKTTTTAATAATACAATATTAATGCAGTCCTTAAAAGAGTTAATTAAATAGTTATCATAAGGTATAGCTTTAGTTAACCGCCTTTATTATAGTCATAAAACAGAATCTCTCATCCATTATGAAAATCATAAAATAATAGCCACAATGTATATAATGAGCGACATTGTGAAGGACAGGGACGGACTCCGGCACCAAATTWATTGCTGTTTGGCTTAACATCAAAATGTTATAACATATACACCACTCACTGTACTGTATAATATAATTTTGTGTAACATTAGATTTTTTTAAATAAGGGATTATTATTACATAYAGTATATATATATACAAAACACTAGTGTATATGTCAGCAAAAATTAGAAGCAATTCCCTCACAAATGAATGCAATATTTAATGAAATTCACAAATATTTTCATATTTTCATTTTCAGTCTTTAACTTTACTCTCTGTTTCATTAATATTGTAATGAAACTATAATCTCACTCATTATTAGATAGRAATTTATACAGTAATTTAATGCCATTTTCAGCAAATATTGCAGAGTTTACTAATACTTGTTTTACAGACAATCCTTTTTGGCATTTAATTTAATTTTAATGATAATAATATTACGTTTTTTTAAGAAATCTAGACCCCCTCCCTCCCCTATGTTCGCAATTGTTCAAGTCATTTAAAAAAATTACGCATATAAATAAAATATTATCTAATTGCGAACGTTCTTAATTTTTAAAAGTACAAGTGCGAACGTAATATGTGAACCACGCCTAATAAGTTTCAAAAGCATATAATTGATCATTTTTRTACACACTTATAAAAGTTAAGCATTTTGTTTAAAAAGTATATAATTATCGGAAAACATAATATTGTATTATACAATGTACTGTAAATATACTATACATTAATAACAATAATTATAATTAGCATAAATTATAAGCATACCATTTGCTAAAAAAATTACTTAACTTTTAGTTAAAAATAATTTTTTTACTGTTATTTAGTTACATTATAAAATTATAATTTTTTATAAATAAATAAATTAAGTAAATTTTCAAAATTTTATTAGTCAATAAACAAAACTAATTATTGACTAATTTAAATATTATATAATCGATGAAATAAAAATAAAGTAAAMATTATGTGAATAAAAAATAAAAATACAAATGTGATTAATCATTTATTAACAGTTTAAATATWAATATTAATAAATAAAAGATTATTTTAAAAACTATTTTATACTAAGTTTATATTTAATATTTTTACTTATAAATTAAATAATATAAATWATTTTCTAACTTATATACTTTATAATTTAATATAGATTTATATAAAATTATTATATCATATACTATAAATAATTTTTATATAAATTTAATTTAATTAGGCATAAGTTATAAGTCATAATATATTATTTTTTTATAACAAATATTAAAATTACTAAATTTATTTTATATAATATTTATTTAACTATACAACCAGTGGACGATTGCATTGAAGATAATAATGTTAAACAATTCAACTTAATTTAATAACTCTTAACAACTAAATTATTTCTCTATTAATATAATTTTTAGTAAAAGTATTCAYACATTGAGATCATATTTTATAACCTATTAGTTATTACTATTAATACCTCAAATTTGACAATTATTAAATAATTTAAACTATTTAAATAATACTAATAAAAACTTAATAAGTTTTCATTATAACTTAACAAACTTATTTATAATTTATTTATAATTAGTAAATTAATAAATATATTGTTTATATATTATTTGTAAGTATTGCAGAAATGTCAATTTTCAATAATATAAAATAAGATTAATATAAATAATGATAAAATTTTTATCATATTTTTAAAGACACCTTCAAGTGTTGTTAATGTGAACACAACTCAATATGAAGAGCACCCGAGGCTATCATTTCAATGCCGTTTATCAACATTTTCAATAATATATACAATTATATATTATTATTATATATTAATATTTATAATTTAAACACAAAATATCTTTTTAATTATATAAAAGTCTGACTTAAATTAGTTATTTATAGTTATTTAGACGCCACTAATATATTGATATATTAATATAAAATCTGATATTTTATAACAATTACTTAAAAATGAATKTCATTGAGTATTAAATTATTAAATTAAAAAAAATAAGAGACATAAAACAAAATTATAAAATAATTAAATAAAAATAAGTTTATTCTGTAGAGAGTCATTGAATGGTATAATAAAATATTTTGCTGTAAAATGAGCCAACAGTCCCATTGTTATAGATATAGGAAGTGCTGGAAGTGGAAAATTCTTGATCAACAATATAAACAATGTTATGGCCAGTCCTACCAATACGGAGATAAAACAAATGATGGCCATCAAGACATCTCCAGAAGCAAAAGATTTGCCAACTAATACACTAAAGAAAATGAAATCTCCTAAACCTAACTCAAGGTTTGAATTATCGTCAGAACCATCACTTGCTTCCAACCAAACGGCAGTTGTGTATATAATTGGCGGCAGATTTCTGTTATTTTGCTCAACGTTTTGAAAGATTTTATTCAGTGGACCTAATATTTGATATTATATTAAATACACTAACATTAGGAATGAGTTATTGCCTACCAGTTGTATGTAGTACTGCATAGATATCCCAAATAGACATTAGAGCTGATAATATCCATACAACAAAATCTGGAAGTACTAGGATCAGGAAAAGTGCCAAATTTGATGATATTATTATTAAATATATTTGTTTAAGCAATTTAGGTCCGGCCATAAAAAATATAATAAGTCCTACACCACAATAATTCCATATAATAAATATTGTTGTAAACCAATCAATAGCTATGTTATATTCATCAATTGCAATGTATAAATAAACGATACCAAAAAATACAAAATATAGCATAAATATAAAAATAAAAACTATTTTCATACAAAGTTCCCATTCATATACTATTATAAAAGCCATACAAGTTGTTATTATAGCTAATAATATAATAAAAATGATGGACACAATTATATAACTGAAAATTTGATTTGTTTGGCTCCGGTCATCATCTTTGGTAAAACCTGGAACTCCATGTGATTCCATAAAATCATTGATTCCTAATATTAGTATAAAGTAATACATGTTATAAATATTGAACATTAATAACAAAACTCATACCATAAGAATAAATGGGAAAGAAATGAATGGATAGTATGACTAAAAGCATACAAACAGAGATCGGAGTTATGATTAGTGTAATCCGTTTTAACTCTTTTTCAATCATTTTTATCCATTTCTTTCTTTTCTTTTGTTTATTCTTTCTATTTATAACTTCTTTACTATMATTATCTTTAATTGTAATTTGTTTACGTATTTCTCTTTTATCATATTATTATTATTTTCAATTGTAGTTAATATTTTATTTTTCTGGTTGTTTGACATTTTTGATGCAATATCTTATATATTTATATATACTGTACTAACTTAATGTAAATAATCAATAGACTTATTAAAATTGTTGAAATTTGCATAAATATTTAAATTTGAATTATAATTAATGATTATTGAAAATATAAACAATATATTTCGCGTTAAAATGATATAAATGAGCAGTCAATACAAATATATACARTATTTAATAATAGAAATATTATAGAAATATATTATATAAAAAGTTAACTACATTTTTGTTAATTTTATTTTAATATATAGCGAGATCTCATGTATTATTTATTATTTTATTGATTAATTAATAATTAATAAATTATAAATATTAATTTACGTGATTAAACTTWAAAAATTTTCCAATTGATTGAAATTTTGAAAATAGTAATAATACTAATCATAATATACTATATAAATGAATAATATAAGTGGAGACAAGTCTAATGATATGAATCAACAATTGCAACGACACGTCGATTGTCTGAAACAAAGTGTTAATCAATTCAAAGAACAATTGGTCGAAGAGTTGGTCCGAATAGCAGTGAAACGGATGCGTGATTTCAACGAACGTTTGATTAGAAAGTTAGACAAAGTCAAGAAACTTAACAATAATTATAATTTATATTTAGATAAAAGGAAACAAAATTATTTTTAATTGCTTTTTAACGAAGTTATGTATAGTATTAACATATATTTTGTTGATTATTAATTCAAAAAGTACTGTATGACTAACAAAATTTGTTGCTAATTATTTTTCAAAGTAAYAATAAATACAATAAACTAAATATATATATATAATCTAATAATATATATAAATCTATAGTTATTTATAAATATTATCAATAAAGTTAATTTTAATATAAAATTTGATAACAGATAATATTAATATAATTTAACAGTAATTAAATTAAATATTATTATTTATTGAATTGARTCGAAATGCAAACTTTTGACCAAAACCATTGAATAAATAAATAAATCTAATTTTAATAGCCATTTAATAACAATAAAAAATAAAAAATAAATCAAACAAAAGGACAAATCAATTATTAAATAGCAATAAAATTCTTCCGTAAAATACTTTTTTAGTCACAACAAGACATTAAAACTTAATAACAATTAATTCATATTTATTATTTAATTCATATTATAATTATTTGTTTTAATTAGTCTATATAAAAGCATAATAATCACTTTTTAAATATTTATAATGAAACAAAAATAAGAAACAAATAGGAAATAAATTAAAGGTTTTTAACAGTAATTTGCGCTTAAAGTATATTAGAGTTATTGTGTGTAAAGTGAAAATTAAAATAAAATTTTGTAATATATTGTTAGAGTGTTAGTAATGATGATCATTAGTAATGAATAGTTAACCTTTTGATATAAACAAAAGTAGGATATGTGAAACTTATTGACATGAATGGGACAGTTAGMTATGGGAATGTTAGCTATGGGACTGTTTGTCGCACATTACCTGTCATGCGAGAGACAAATTCTGGTAACCCATCAACAAATTAGTGCCAAAATATTATAATTTASACTATTATTGTTTTGATCTTTGAGTGCCAGAAACAATAATATAAGTAATACTACTACCGCTTAATTTTTGTTTTAACTCCAATTTACYAACAAATATATTATTAYTATTWTTATTATATATAACTAAGACAACTGTTTTTTATATAAATTGAATTAATGATAAGCGATATCTCTGTTAGACTCCAATAGGACACCATTGGGATACTGGATATATGTTATATAACAAATTGCACCCTAAAATCTTCAATCACTTTTATTTGTGTACTTTTTATAAAAAGGTGTCCATAAAAGTATTATTTATTCATAAATAGTTTTGTGGTATTAATACAAGTTTATAGAAAAATTCTTCAAAAATGAATTCAAAATTATTTGTAAGAACTAATGTTTATTTAAATCTATTTGAATGTTGTATTAATTTTATGTGTATTTTTTGTAATGTTTTAAATAATGTTAGCTGTTTTGCGTGATTGCAATTGTTTTGTTGGGTTTGGTTGTGGCCCAGGATTATGAAGAAGGAGGAGAAGAAGCCGATGGAGGAGAGGGTGGAGGAGAAAGTGGAGGAGATTATGACGATTCGGGTGATTACGTGGCACCGGCTGATGGCGGAGAGGAAAGTGATGAAAGCGCTAATTTAGCTCATTTAGTGCCATCATTGCTTAATAGCAGGAAAAAGTAATTTATTTATTATTTATTTTTGTTAATTTAGAATAAATATTTATTAATTATTGTTTTATAAAATAAAGTTTTTATTTTTGTTAATTATTATTATATAAAATAATATTATTTTTTTTTTTATAAATTGTCATTCAATTATAATTAAGTTCTAAAAATAATTTTAGAATAAAAACAATAATTTATTTTTATTATAAAATAATTTATTTAATTTTAAGGCATATCAACATTTTAATATAATYAATAACATAATAAAATATATATTTTAGAGTAWTTTAATTTGTTAYACTTTAATAMTTCTAATATACATAAAATRCAATTAAATATTGCAAACAAAAATATGCAATAAATTATTATAAATAATGTTATTTATAATAAAAATAAATAAAAACTTAGATGAATAATTTTAATTTGTTTTTTACTTTTTATTGCAATTTCTCTAAAAACTTTATATAAATATTKGATTTAATGACATTTGTTTTGAAAAGTTATTTCACACAGAGTTTCACTAATATAATGATTACTTAAACCCATCTCAAGACTTGATGTATTAAATATRTACAGAAAAAACCAAATCTRCTTTAAATAAAAAACTTATAAATTATAAAAAATTATAGTATGAATACAAGTTTAATAATAATAATATTGTTTGTATACTTCAGGCGATCCATTGATATCGAAGAGTCCGATAATAACCAAAAAATCTTGACTCGAGTGAGACGTGGAGGACACGGACGGGTTGGACCCGTATATACGTAAGTAATATATAATATTTACTAATTTATTTAATTAAATAATTATTTATTAGAGATAAAAATCACTAAACAAAAATAAATAATTAACTTTATAATTTAACATATTAATAGTAGATAGAAAAATTATTTGTTTAATAAACTTTTATATAGTTTATTAAATAAAAATTATAAAATTATATATTTTTGAATAAATAAAAAACATTATAAAGTATTTACAAAATTACATTATATTTAATTTTAATTARTCGGCAACATTTTTTATAATAACAATTTTATTATTAGTTAGTATTTTTACTATTGATTTACTAAAAAGTAGTTTTGKAAAAAATTAATTAAAATTTGTGTTTCTAATAAGTTTTTTGTTTGRATTTCTCATAAAAAACATAAATAAATTATAGTTTTTTAAKTAAAACATAATATATGAAATTTTTAAAATCATATATTTTATTAAATTTTAGTTTATATGTAAATACAGTTAACATACTTTAACTATTTAATAGAATTTAATTTATTAAATTTGTTTTCTATAAAATATTAAAATAATGAAATATTACAGCAATTTTTTAATGCTTCACTAAATAATTGTCTATTATTAAGATTTTCAAATATTTTCTTGTATTAAAATGTTTTTTWTTGTTATAGTTATCAAAAAACCGACCACAAGGCCAACTTTAAATGGGGTATAGTTTAAACATTGTATTAATTGATTTGTATTGATTTGAACTAAACCATAAAACTTATTTTATTTAAAACATTTATATCTTTAGAATATTTTAGAGTTTTTTATGATTGGAAATATAGTAATTGAAAATATTTTGATTACTTATCAAAATGTTATTTCATTTTTATTAATATGTTACCGTTTATAAGTTAAAAAAATATTATATATATATATATATGAATTGATTTATGGCACATATAACAATATTTAGTTATTTTATGATTTGGTTCTTAAAAATTAATATAGATTKAAAATATAATTATTTAAATGTATTATTTTATATTTATTTTTAGGGGTCAAACATATGGTGGGCAAAGAGTATGGAAAATAAATATTTTATAATAATATTAAATTTATGTTATTACCTATTAATGAGACCAAGTTTTGTGTTATAATTTGTTTTATGCAAATTATAACTATTTTTTGTACTATTTTTTCAAATTATATAATTTCTATTTATTTGACACAATTTAAACATTAATTCTATATAGATCTAAATTTTAAAAAATTAGTATTTTACAAAAATATAGTRCTTTAAAGGTTGTCTAGATCATYATACATTTAATTCTATATTTAAAAAACTTTAAATTAAAAATTTAAAAATAAATTATATTTTGAATGCAATAGATTATTAAACAAAAACATTATATTACTATTCATTAATCATATTTGTCCTTCAAATACAATTAACAGTAATGAAAGCGTATTAAAAACAATGTGTTTATTGTGCAAATAATTTGTATTTAAAAGATTTACTAAAAGATAATTCAATGATTTTAAAACATACAGAAAACATTTGTAGATATCTTTAACAATAATCATTATAAACTTTGATAATGATAATTTTATGCCATAATATTTTTTATATTATTTGTAGTTTTTATTAATAAATAGCCAAAACAACAATTTTAAAATAATCTATAAAAATATCTTTATATTAAATTCTATAATAATCTAATAATTTATATTTTAAAAATTATATAAAAAATATTATTATTTATGTATTTATATTTATGTATTTATAGATGTATTTCTATTTTTTTAATTAAAAATTATTATTTATTATATTTGTGTACCATAATAAAATTTTAAAAAAATTGCTATATAAATGTATTATTATTATTTAAAATTTTATTTTATATATTATTATTAATACCGAAGATAAATAATAAAAATTATATCAAAATWATTTAACAAAATCTTTTAAAMGATAATGTTTTAGTCAAATTAAAATTAWATTTTGAAATATTTGWAGATAACCATCAAAATAAAGTGTTATTTTTATAATAATTACTATTATTTAGTATTTTAAGCGCTATAAGTACARTATAGCCTCTAATATTATAACTTTTTATTAAATTTAAATARTTTATTATTTCAATAATTAAAAAATAAATGTGAGCAATATTATTTGTAATTAAAAAAATCAATTCACAATTTGTATACTATATCTTAACATAAATTATACTAGTTTATTTTAATAATTAGTGTAAATATTTATAATAATTTTACTCTAATAAATYATTATTAGTAATTAAAATTATTAGTAATAATAAAAATTTTAATATGTTATAAACATTTGCAATCAATTAGGATTSAAATGACAAAACATTGCACAGCAAACTATTAATAATACAATATTATAAGATTTGACATTATTTTATTGCATAAAAAATTGATTTTATAAATTAAATGATTTTAATAAATTAATTTATTATAACATCAATAGTAGAATTCAGATATGCATACAGTGATAGATCATTAATAAATAAAATTGTTTTTTAAAATRTGACATTTGTGATAACAAATTTGTTATAAACTGTACATTTTGTACAGTATTTTTCATATTCATTATTAAAATTTAAATCATATAATTAATWAGATAGTAGATAATAAACATGTAAAYTATAAACCAAAAATGATTAATTAATTATTTAAAAGTATTTTTATCAACAAATATTGATTTTATTAAAATTAAAAAAATAATCAAAATGACAATAAAATTGATGCTTAAATAATGATTATAGATATATATATATATATAAACTTGGCTCCAAATATGTGAGATGAAAGTGATGGTAAAATTTATGTTAATTTATATAAATTTACGATATTTTGATTTATCAGAATTTCATTGAAAATCTTAGAYACAAAATACCAAAATTATATACAATTATAGATAAAATTWAWAATTATATAAAATTTAAAAATTATCCAAATAGTGATATTAAATTACTTAATGTTCCTCCACTGCTACTACCATATCCTCCACTTCCTCCATATCCTCCATAACTACTGCCACTACCTAAGCCACCACTACCTAATCCACCACTACCTAAGCCGCYACCCATCCCTGAATAAGGACTCATATAACTCATACTCATAGAACTAGAAGAACCGTATAGTTGTCTCAAAGTATTCAAATCTTGAGGTGTAATGTTAGCCAACGGGTCATTACTGCCGCCACTGTACGGGTATGAAGAGGGAGCAGTTTGTGATTGTGATCCRTATAACCCATATCCACCGCCGCCGCCGCCGCCATAACCGTATTGATTGCCGTAACCATAGGATTGTGTGGGTGGTTGTGAGTACATGTTATATGAATTCATGGCCGGTGGTGCTCCGTATCCGTAAGGACTGGGCATTGGAGCAGCATATGGATTAGGAGCATATTGAGGCTGAGATGAGGGAACTGGTGGTTGATATGGTTGTTGCACAGGTGCACTGGCAGCTGGTGTAGGTGCCGCATATTGAGAAGATGGCGTATTGCTTGCCATATTTGTAGCACTGGATGCTATGGGTGAGGGATTATATGCCCCACTTTGACTATATTGTGGTCCATTGTTTGGATAATTTTGGTAAGGCATCGGCGGATAACCTTGATATGCKGGAGGCGCGTAACTGGCCATTGAATTATAGCTTTGTGGTCCGTAATTGTATCCATAATTTTGGGAATATTGTTGTCCATAACTATTTGGAAGTGTTGGGGGTCCCACTTGAGGTCCCTGTTGTCCATATATAGAGTTGACTTGAGTTTGTGGCTAAAAAAATAATCAATAAATTTGTACAAAAATACTGTAATCAATATTTAACTTTTATTTAACATTAATTGACATTTAGAGACAAATAAAATAAAGTTAGARATGTATTGAAAGACATTTTTGTCACCAAAATGTTTGTTTAGTCAATGGATGTAATGATGAGATACTTACAAAGTTTAGACTACCCGTAGAGCCGCTATCAGAGCGACTGCCGCTACTAACAGACAGACTATAATAAGAAGGAGCGCTAAACTGACCGGTCGTTAGTTGATGTGTTGTCGGATCCTTTGAATAACAAATGAGACAAAAACCAAATTTCCCAATAAATCAGTCGTTTGACAGACAGATAACATAACAGTTTGTTAAAAGAGATAGTGATATATGATTCTCACCGCTGTTTTCAAGGTGTCTGTGCTATACTTCTTGTTATCGTCTAAACCGGATCTGTCTGTCGTCTTAACCAATGGATGCACTAAATTGTTTAATGAGTACGAATAGCCTCCTCTTTCTTGATTGAAGTCAAGCTTTGTTTTGCCTATAAATTAAAGACAATATCATTAAATGTTTAAGAGATTCAAATCTTAAAAATTTATTTTCCTATTATTTATTTTCAACAATACAACCATCAGTATTGAACTGACTGTTTATTTTGGACACAATTTATAGTATAACTAGAAAATAAAATCGCTTAATGTTTTCTTTTGTTTTTCTATCCATTAAAAACAATAATTATTTAATAATTTATGAACTCTTTTTATGGTGTAATAAATAAACTGCAAAAATAAAAGTTTTTACAATGTTTGACAATTTAAATTTGCCAAAAAGTATAACTTATATATCAGTATATATATATTATTATATTTTGTATTTTAATATGAATATTATATAAATGTATATTAATAAAATTAAAAAATGATAAGCATTATAGAAATTAAAAACTAATAATTTAAAAATATCATTAGATTACTYATATTAAAAAATAATAATAGTTATAAATAGTATTATATACTGTAATATATTATAAATAATATAAATGTAACGCACCGTTGTCTCCAAACTTTTGTGAATATGAAGGATTTAATACTCCCAATCCTATTGAAAATTTTGATCCACTATTAGTGATGGGAACAAACTTGTTGTCATCCAATGACTTTTTGTTGTCCATTAGTCCCGGAATAGTACCCGACACTTGTGATGACACTAATGCACAGGTAGTGCACAGTAATAGACAAATAAAAATCTTCATAATTTTCAATCTGATGTTAAACAACGTGTCGATAGTTTAAGAACAGAGATCTTTGAAAATATTTATTAAAGAAATTAAGATTTTTTTGAATATTTATGTGTCACACGAGTATGTTTGCAAAAAATGGACTGAACTGTTGGGATCTGAGCTACCAGTGCTGGCTCTCCATGGGAATCAAGTGACCGAATAAAAAACCAGTAAATATAATGAATGAATGTATAAATATGAAAAATAATTAGAATTTATATATATATTTATATTACAAATAAATAAAATATAAAATTAATTCGCTTTTGTTAATCAAAGAGGTGTGTCCTGTCCTKTCTTATGCTCTTATATTTAATTTTTCAAACAAATGACTGATAATAACTTTGAATGCTTTTATGCATTTATGTAATCCTGTGTCCATCTGGTACGGTAGGTCTGAGCCAACAGATAAAGAGACCATTTATGATAATTCATAGTCAACTCCATAAGCAACTCATAACATGWGATAATGTATACTCTATTAAAGCACTTGACCTCATTTTTAGACAACAATCTAACACATTCTGCATATTTCTAAACTTAACTCAACTCAACTAAAATCTACCGGAGCTGTAAAGCTCAGCGCATATAATCAGTGACTTAATAGTGTTAGTAGTGTTAGTAGTGTCCTACCAAATAGCCTATACCTGATGGCTATAATATCATTCAATGCTCTCAAGCGTTTCAATTTTTAGTGTTACAACTGAGTTATGCAAGCAATCAAAATAATAGCAAAATATACATAGATTTATATACAWTATTACTGTATAAATCAGTAAAAACTGTTTTTGTATYACAATTATGTGTTGAGCACTAAATTTGTCACAATTTTCTCTATGATAGAGACAATACATTATATGAAAGTCAGGAAACATAAGTACTTGTCTTGTTTTGGGAACAAATTCTRCCAAATATTTGCTCAGATTTATTGAGACCAACGCCCGCAACATTCATATATATATATATATTAATTTTATATCATATAATAATCATTTTTTTATTACTTGAGTCATAAAAATATACAACAAAATGTTTGTGACATATTTATATACTAAAATATTTAGTGTATACGCTAAAGTAGTCAAATTTAAATATAAATGAAAAAAATAAACTCATTTATATTAATAATAAATTATAAAAATAATTTTCTATAAGTTTATTATTTATTTAATATTTTGTGCACTATAAATCTCAATTAAATATTTTAATTATAGTAAATATTAATAAATTAATAATATAACTGATATTTTATATTAAATATTAATTTTTAAATGTTTATTAGTTTTATTTTATTTATAGAACTTTTATGAACAAAATTCGTATAAATAATCKTATAAATAAAAATTGATTTKAAATTTTATTTGATTTAAATAGTAAAMTCAAATAATAAATTAAWCAATTAAATTTATTTGTTTAAAAAGTTTATTTATTACACATTTATTTTATATACTGTACAATATTGTATTTATATTTATATACTTAAATAATTATTTATTAATAAATGATTTTGTTATTATTAAATAATTTGTATCATTTAAATATAAGTTAGTAATTTGATCTGAAAAAGTATTGAAAAAATTTATACAAAAATGTGATTTCTGTGWCAAATCAAATCTCAAAATTTATACAAAACAAAGACTTTCATAATAGTAGTTAATAATGGCTTATAAATTATATTTTACATTACAATCTATTATTATAGCAAAGTTCATTACAAGCGGCACTTTAAGGCCCCAAATGTCACACGTAATCATGTCTTCAATGAATTTCTTTTATAAATTTTTTTGTTGTTTTAAACTATTTGTTGTTATTTTCACTTAAATTGATAGCGAAAATCATAATAATAATAATAATAATAATAATAATCATTACTATAATAATAACACATTTAAATAATGCATGAGATAATCAAAAACTAATGGAAGACACGTGTAATATATGCTAAAGATGTCAGAGGTTTTCATACACATAGAGCTATTCAAAGAGATTCATGTATTATGACATGACTTCACATTAAAGACAATTATTATTATTATTATTATTATTTTCATTTACTTTCATTCATTTGTCAATAAGTTTGTGTTGTATTGATTTTGATGTTTAAATCTATATAATGTCATCTCAAATATTCATTAAACAGAAAAATTTCATTTATCTCAAAATGTTTTATWATAAAAAACAATTAGTGATATAATGTGATGGCAATGTATRTATAGATTACTGTATAAAAATGAGTAATAATTAGCTCCCTTTTCTATTTGCTGCAGTGATTCGTGAGTCTATTATGTAATATAAGTGAAAAGAGAGCCTATTGTTTGAGTGTTTATAAAAACAACATAAAATATTCATAATTTTGGTGCACAAGTATGTGAAGCAAGGAATGTCACATTTTTGTATATTATAAGTGAATTTATTAAATTTACTCTTATAATTATTAAAAATCTAATATAAAATGACTACACAAATAAACCTATACAATAATAKTTATATAATAGATGTGTATTTGTTATATAGTTTGTAAACAATTATAATAATCATTTTTTRTTTTATTAAAAATGTATTATTAAAAATTTGTATATTTATAAATAACAATTAAATTAATTGGTCTAAAAACGTATTTGTGACAAAATATTTCCAACTGGTATTAAAAATACAAAACACGTATACATTTATTTTTATTGGTATAGTCTAAGTGTAGACTCATTGATACCATATACAGTATTATAGATATTGATTAGTAAACTCATTTTGATGATAGCTAAAGAGCATCAATATATAATTGAAAATCGCTATTTCATAGTGGGGTCACCAATCAGGCACACAATCTTTAATTGTTATATATTATACACTCGAGTCTCTCTTCATTTCAAATATTTGTTTTGTAGAAAAATCTTTCATTACTTTTTTTGTAGTAAAGGAGCTGTCATTTGTTAAATTATWAATCTATAATATAGTATAAATTTAATAACATTTTTCATCACTCAAATATCAGTAATATGTAAAATTGTTTGTATTTAAATTAAATAATTGATAATAAATTCAATAAATAATTTAACTTTCTCAAATAGCTAAAACAATTAGAGCACCAATTAAAATTTTTAAATTACTTAATAAATATAATGCTTTTACAATATAAATATCTTAAATATAAATTTCATTATTTAAATAAAATTTTTAATATAATAAAAATTAATAAAAAGCTTTGTATCATTATAAATCTCATTTTTAGTGTATAAAATATCTTCAATGCCTAATAATATTGTTAGTCTTATCTAAAAAAGTAAATTAAAAAAATTGCACCAAATATTTTCACAAATAGTATACATTTTCAAAATTAATGGTGACTTCAAATGTATATCTATTAAAATTCAGTTGTATAATATTAGTTTAAAATTTAATAAAAATCAAGTTTCATAAAAATTAATATATTTATGTGGCACTAAACGAGATATAGTATAAAAAGATATAAATAAATATATAAATTTAGCTCATATTTTGTCGCTAAATATTCATTCAAAATTCACTTCTTTTCATTCAATTATCTCATAAATATATAAAACCTCATAAAAATCATCTCTTCATTAAATAATCGCATTTAATAACATTAATCAAATCTCTATAAATATTATTTATGTTTTAKATATTGTAATGCAGTTGTTTAAAAAAAACTACAAAATTGGTGTTTTTGATGAACTAATCACAGCAACAATAATCATATTAATATTTTAAAAAATAATAATAATTAATTCATAATGTTTGTTATCATTTATAATTATTATAATATAAACAAAATTAATTATTTTTATGATATGAATGGTATGTATAAAGTAGTAAAACTAGAAAATAGATTTTGATTTGACAAAAATTAATCAAATGCTGCGATGCGTTTGACACATGTGTTGATTTTGGTATGAAAGAGGGGATGTTATAATAGTTTTATGGTAATGAATGGTATGGCTTATGGATCTGACTCTCCGGTCATAATTTGGTGGACCTGTTCCAGTTTCCACGACAACTTRTTCTTTCGTGAAAACTCGTCCTCTTCTAGTGTTTGCATTAACTATAGATTTGTTGTAAAAATTTTGAACATTAGATAAAAATAGATAATCAAAATTATGTTATTGTTATTATTAGAGTAATAGAGTATAATTAGCTAACAGTCATGTCATGGTCGGAGAAAATCTATTATAAAACATGACTCCAAAAATGACATTCAAAATAAATGTTAACTAATTATTTRTTAATTATATGTAAATAGAAATATAGTTTATGTGTTATTTTTGGTTAAATTTCACATTCATTAAAAATCTATTTCATTGTATCACAAATATAACAATAAGAGTTTGAGTAGTAGTCAAGTGGTAGTTAATTACCTGTTCATTATATTTGAAGGCATAACTGTATAGTTCATGGAGTGCCACATTTGTATTGAATTCGTGCGCGTGTTGCTAATGGAAAGGGAGAAACAGTTTGATTAATTAGGGATTTCCTTTAAGCAAATCATTAAATGAATATTAAATATTTATTTAAATTAATGACAAAATAGCAAAATCAATGTTACCCTCGACTCTTCAGCAAGCATTGCATTCATGTCCTGATCACTGATAGCAGGCATGTGTTGAATGTCTTGATAGTATCTTTCGACCCAATCCTTGTAAATAGGGATGTCTTTGGCGTACAAGAGTTTACTACTTGGCGAGTCTTTTCCCAATCGATGGTCAGATGTGGAACAGGCGTCCATAAATGTTTGTGCGACCACCGATAGACATGAGTCGACTATATTTGATTTGTTTATGTCAAATACAAAGTTTGGGTTTTTAATGAGATTAACCCAAAACCTGAGAGGCAAACTGTTTGACTTCCATGTATGAACCACTTCAGAATCAGTGATTCCGTGATTAAGGGCCTGATCGTCAAGAAAGTCAAACATATATTTGATGGCTAAAGGCAGTGCTGAACCCCGATGTGCGGTACTAAAGATGGTTTCAAAGAGGTCGTCCACAAACTTTTGTAGAGTGCCTTTTGTGGCTAAAAGACGTGTCAAATATATTTCAGATACCATTTTATTAGTCCTCTCTCCTTCTTTGCTATTGTCATTGTCGTGATGTTTGACTAAATGCCAATATTTGTAACCATTTTCCAAATCATGATTGAGAGGWGATGTAGCCCGACTGAGGGGCGGTGAGGAGGCTTTATTAAAACCGAAATTTAATGTCTCGTATTTGTGTGATTTGTCCATCTTTTCAGACAAAATTGAATGAATGTTATACATTGAGCTCTGTTTAGGCACTAATGTTAGTGACGAGCCGTCAGAACACTTATAGTGGGCCAAACAATTTAAGCGCTTCCATTCACCCTCTTGTTTGGTGGTCTGATCCTCTTCAGACAGTATAAGTCGACCGGACTGACCGGTTCGCCACTCAAGATCCAGATCTTCTTTGAGTGGACGCTGTGAATATGGAATACTACGATAAATAGAGTCTAAAGACTTTTCTTTGACTTGGCTTATGGTATCACAATCTAACACTTTGACGGGTGTCTCCATACTGTCCGCTTGTAAAAGTTGATCCAATCCAGACATGTATGCCGTTTGTGGTGACATCGATACATAAACGGTGATTACTTTATACTCAATCTGTTGTCGAATTAATTTCTCTTCTGATAGTGAATACCGGGCTTCTGAAGTGACTGCATCTACCGGTCCCTTATCAACCTGTTGTTTGATAGCCCGATAAAGAAGAAACAGTGGATCCCCGGCACACTCCTTAAGAAACTTGTATAATAAGAATGTAAACCATGAACTTAACATCTTTTCTGCTACTGATTCAGTTCGTCGTAACAATAGTTTCGGATGACTCTTGCCTTCGATACACTTCTCAATCAAATCAGCTAACAATGTCTTCAATATATCAGTGCAATACTCCATCTTTCCCTGAAGTGTAACCATTATAAGTGAGGCCACATTTACTCTGTCTCTCATAGAAAAGTAACGATTAGATTCAAGTGTCCGAATGAATAGCAATAGAAACGTCTTATTCATCACTAATTGACCGAAATATCGAAGTCCTTTCTCGACATATACTCTCTTTGTTGGATCCATTTGCATATCTCTTAGCACTGGATGGTCCTCAATGTTAGGAAACAACACTTTCATTGTATACATGCGATAATCAAGGAATGGAATACCACCGACAGTCAAATCACTTGTCAGATCAGTCATTTCAGTTTGTAATTCAGCAAAAGCTTCTTTACATTCAGAGGCAACTCTTAACTCAAGGACATCCATCTGTTCCTGCATTGTCTTTAATACACGACTACTTTCTGTTGACTTTCTTCGATAGAGTATTAGTATAAAGACGACAATTAAAAATAGTATACAAATGCCAACAATCACTATAATAAGTAAATGTTGTTGAAGTGGTTCATATGGAGGCGACGCCGAGTCATAACTTAGTTTTCCGATCGTAAAATTAAGTCTTCCGCCAACACTTACAATCACTTCAGGAATTGATTCCGAACTTTTGCCTGATTGTGGTTGAATTGCCGGAGGACGGCATGTAAGCTGCAAACGTGATAGTGATGTCACATTGCAAGTACTTGTGCCAATCCAAACGGTGACATCGGACTCTTGAGAAGCGCCATCAAGATTCTTGCCATTTATAGTGAGATATTCGCTTCGATAATATTTTATGCCATTGTCTTCAGTGAATGGATGATATACAGGGTTGCGATACATTCGGAATTTAGAGAATGGGTTCCATTTTCGAGTACTCAAACCCATTACAGATTTGACGGCATCCATAATAAAGCCGAAGTCAAGTTCAACAAATTCTCGGTCATCGGAAAACTCCATATTTTCTGTGGGAACGTACGGACTCTCGCATTTCATTTCAACAGCAGAAATGGGTGTACAGTTACTGACAAATTTTTCGTCATCCACTTCGACATACATCTGTGGTTTTTGTATTATATTAAGATGTTCGCCTTTAACTGATATAGTAATACCACCGGAAGGTATACCACGTGCTTCACCTCTATTTCCTCCCGAACCTGATTCGACAGAATTAATTCGTGGATCTTCGACGTAAAGATAATTGTAATAATCGAAAAATCGGAGTCCATTGTCGAACTTGACCCTCACTTTCTCTTCTCCCGGCATATGTCGAGCACTTGTTATACATTCGGCTAAATTGAGTGTACGTCGAGTGACATTACAAGAAAGACTACCCAAGAAAGCCTCAGCTCGTGAACCGGCGTCCATATTAAGTCCTTCAATATAAAGTCGAGTCCCACCAGACATCGGTCCTTTACTGGGAGATATGGTTAAGATTTTTGGATTAACAAACACATAAAACTCCTTTGATTTGGCCACAAAATCATTGAGCACTTTGACAATAATAGGACCCGAAATAGAGCCTAACTGTGCCTGCATTCCGGTTGTCATATTGCGAGGGCTTTGGACATTACATTTGATTTTTGCTGTCTTTACGTACTCTTCTCGATAAGGATTACAATTGACAACACCGACTGTATGTCCGTTGACTTCATGTGAAATGCCTACACCGGTAGAAATATCTTCAAAAGTACGTCCTAAATTGATGCCTTCAATAGTAACATTAGTGCCACCTTCCCAGGGACCTGACTTTGGATAAAAATCCAAAATTTTCGGATCGGGACATATTTGTTGTCTATTGAGCCACAATGTGTTGTGATGACGACATTGTTCCTGCACTTGACAAGTGTCTGTGTCCTGACACCATCCGCAACCATACTTTTCTTGTAGTTCCAAACAAAATCCACAATTAGGTGCCATTCCTTGGCATCGGTAAATCAACACTTTATTTTAAAGGAAAAAATATAAAAATATGTTTTATATTGCATTCAAATAAGTCAAACCATGAATGTTCTCGGGATTGTCCAGTGGTTTACTACCGTCCCAAATGACAGCAAACAATGAGGTAATATTAGGTTGAGTACCGAGATATGAGAACTCAAGACCTTCGCAATAGATGGTGTCTCCCAAGAGTTGTGCGTTTACTTGTTTGACTCTACCCTCGATATTAAACTGACAGACAAAACGTGTCGACACAATGAACTGAGGAATGTTATCGACCTTCACTTGAATGCGTTTGGAGATACCGCTCGGCACCAGTACTATCGTATATAAATACATATATAATACAATAACAATACATTAATAATAGATGTTTTGTTGTTCAGTGCCGGATCTATGATAAGATGGTATCATAATATGATTGACATCTGCTACTCACCTTCAGTAGTTCCACCAGCGGTAGCATTAATACGCGGACAAAAACCGGGACCCGATCGTATGCTCGGACCTACWGATGATATGCCAGTGACTAAAATATCATTGCGACAGTTCTCGCCCGTGTCGTGTGTGCATCGGTGTCCACCCACACACCAATCGCACGGGAATGGACTGGACACACATGCTGTACAACTCTGGTATGAACTACAGTCGTAAAATGTAAAGTTTGTGGCGACAAAGTCGGGACCAACTTTCATACGCACAGATAGTTTTGCAGTGAAATGATCTGTGAATTGTAATAATTATAATGAATGCTTTAATCATTTTTATATCTGGTTTTTCATTAAATATAATAAACATTATTTAATGAGAGGAGGAATGGTTTGCAGATATATCAGTAGARTACAGTTATATATAATAAATTCAATATAACCTAATATATGACATTAATATATTTTTTTGATGATAATAGTTATGGATTGGGCGGTAGTCTAGCAATAATGATATTAATGAGTATTCATTTTGATATATGAGTACACATTACATAATAAAAAAATAAATTACAAATTATAGCTAATAATTAAAGACAAGACAGGTTTTTGGTGGTCACGTATGTTATGTCACATTTCTGGTCAGTTATCTGATAATAGTTTAGACCGCATATAACACTTATGCATAATATTTAAATGTATAGCTAGAGTATTAACTACTGGTCCACACAATCCCTTAATTTTAATTTTGACGCTTAAACCTGAATACTAATGAGGGAATGGGATGTATGGCAAAGGCATGCATTGAATTTTTAACACAACATAGATATGCAAATACTGTAGTTATACAGCCAACAACACCATAGAGCACATTATATATATATATATATATTGTATAAATGCATATATAATTATATAACTGTTTTGTAAGCATTTAAACAATGTATTGTATTATATAGTGGTGCTCACAGAGCTGACAACAGAGCTAACCATAGTTAACATTTGCTTTTCATAGTAAATATAGTATAAAATTTAATTTAGAGACATATTTGGGATGGCATTCGTGATTGCGATGAAAAATAATAATAATATGAATATATTTATATAAAAAACAAATTCTGTTAAATATATAGCATTTAAATATACAGTCAAATGTATATTTTAATCCATGAATTGCCAAAAGCGGTACACTTTTGAATAACATTTTTATTTTTAACGAAACAATTAAATATTCTTTTAGTTAAGAAATGCACGAAAATAACAAATAATAATATATTTTATGTGCCTTTTCTTTATGTATTTTTCATTATTTTGTATTGTTTTGTTTTCTTACTTCTCTCACACAAATTTACTATTCATTTAACACATATATTATATATACATTATATTTTGTAAATTTTTAATCTAATGTAGTAATTAAAGGCAAAGCACCTGTTCATTGATGGCAATGTCATTCGTGTCTCTATTATTAAGCTAAACAATTATGCAATGCTTAATACACTACATTCAGGCAATTCACTAATTTATTGAATTAAAAAACTATTATTAAATAGTTTAAATWGTTTTCATTTTTTTATGAAACATATGAAATAAAATTAATTATTAAAACATTTTTCTAATTTAGTAATTAAATTGTAATAAAAATWAATTTACATTTTAAAGTTCTATTKYAAAATTTTTCTATTTTTTCATATAAACATWGATAGTTRTGAAAATAAAAGTAAAAATAAATGTTTCATATAATTATGATTTACATCCATTTAATAGACAATAAAATATTTAAAGTAAATATCGTAATATTGACCAAAAATGAGTATAATTCGTAATAAAAATAATTGATTTATTAAACAGAGTGGACGGCTATTACATGAGAAGKAAAGTTTGCTATTTTATTGTAAAAATGATGTAATAATAAAAAAGCAAACAAACATTAATATACTGTAGTGTTGTGTATTGTGCACTAATAGAGTGAATACTAGCGAAAAAATACACTAATAGCTAACAGTAAAGTAAATGTAAAGACCATATATATGGTGTTTATTGGTCTCCAATGAGAAATAATAGTATAGCAATACATACGCTGTCCGGGAGATATTGGTGGTAATGAGTCAGTCGGTGGTGTCGGACAACTGACACCATTTGCAGAACGGCTGGCATTWGTTATCTGAGTCTTGGCTGCCGCTGTAAACGCACAGAAGAACTGACCCTCCAGTACAGGCAGGTTATCGATCACCAGAGATAGCTATTTATATTAATAAAGACAACATAAGAGGAGATAAAAGAAATAGTTATCAAAAAAGTGCAAACTATTGAAAACAATAGAAATACAAGTAAAATAAATTGTCTCCACTTTTGACACATTGAAGACAACAATAATAGACTTACAGTTCTGGCAGTTGTCCTCTGTATTTGTGGCGGATGGACGTGAGTAATGGTCGTGCATTTCCCGCTTTTGTATGAYAACCAATAGAGCGGGTCCTGAGCCGCCTCAGCACAATCACTCCTAAGTGAACACTTGTTTTCTAATGAACACCAACCACAGTACGGGTCACGGGCTCCGAGACATTCACTACATGTGCGATACACCTGACACTCCTGTACTTTGACTAATGTGACTCTCCTTGTGGTCATTACGTATAAATAGTTTTTGTTATTAAGATCAACGAAATACATGTCGGCATTGACAGCACTTCCTTCCTCTATAACAATGTCGGAGAACTCAAATGCATTCAGACTCGACTCTACCACTGCCTATAATTTTGAAATCAAAATATAATTATAATTAATTAATAATAATTTGATTATTAAATCAACTGTYAATACAATAAGTGTTATTRTATTGTAAGATAACATACAATAGCTTATCAAATTGAGATTTACAGATATAGTAAACAAAAATCATGATAAATGAAATCAAAACTTAATGTTACTGTTTATTCGACTCTCAATTTCACACTTTTTTTATAACAATATGAAAAAACATAATACAAATCAAGTTATTTCTTTGGCTTTTTCTCGCTTTGTTGTTATTATTATTTTCAAGTCTGGAATTCATATAATAATACTAATAATATAACATTTTTATAATATAATATGTTATTTTCAGAAAAAATAAAAATGATATTCAAGCAATTCATACAATCGTTGAAAAACCATTTTCAATACCTTTATATGGCAAACATAGAAATCTGAAAACGTGAAAATTAAACTAACAATTGAAATATAAAAGAGTAAAAGATAGCAGAAAATTGATGTTTAAAATATCAAGACGTGATATCAACGAGTGATCAAAATATATTGATATAGTCTCTTAAAAATTATATATATATTAATTTTACAGCAAATAAAGGTAAGAAAAACAACTTTAATGAGATTTCGCTAACATTTTCTGTATTTGTTTTTTAAAAGTCAATACTATATTGATTTTAGTAAAAAGAATAAAACATAAAAATAATTAATTCAATGAAATTATCAAATGAGTGCTCTTTTCAAATATTTTAATTATTTCTAACAAAAAATAGTATAATAAATTAATTAGTAAAATAAAAGCTCAAATCAATTCAAATTTGAGTTTTAAATATATTGTATGTTAATTGAAAAGACAAAAATCTTTTCATWGATGAGATGGCGTGACTTTAAAATAAAGCTTACTTTTGAAGCTTTAGAGGATAGCCTTTTTAATATTATATAACTTTCACATGTATTATGTATTACAACATGTCTAATATATATTAAATTAAATTTTATAAAATGCGGTTTTATGTYTTAATGATTGCATTTCAATAGAAATGTTGTATTTTTTACTKTACGACCTAACACGATATGTAAGYAATGGTGTTAAGAGATGCTATGTGATAGTGAAAGCAGTTGTTTTAAAAATGCTACGATAGGTGAAGGTGTAAGATATATAATAGTTTATTATTTAAACTGTTTTATAGTACTATTGCTTTTACTATTAACTGATATTATCTGACAAACCTCGAGACAAGCCATTCATCAATCATTTTGACTTATGATAGACTTAACACTAACTCTCATTTCGTTGACCTAAACATTAAATTCAAATTTTGAAGCGTTTAATAAATCAATAATAAAGTGGAAGTTATTTAATATATGTTCATATAATTTATRCCACTTTTAAAAAATTGAGTAAAAATTTTGCTAAAATGTTGACAAAATACACTAATATGAGTCTAAATTGAAGTATATTAATACACGGTTAAATAAAATCTCTTTTATTAAGGTATTGATTTTGAAGATACAGATATTAAATCAGATGACATAAATAGACTAATAATATATATGCGATTAATGTGTCGGTGATTCACTATCACCTGCAAAGACAGTGCACGATATTAGACAATAAATATCTAATATGTCTAATGTGTGACACAATCTGCAAATGAGTTGACAATGAAATGAGTGATGTATATCAATGGTATACTACTAATAGTTATAGTGTATTGCATAAAACAAACATAGCTAAGTCATTACAGTCAAACTTTTGACATAAATTGAAAATTACAAGTAATTTGCAATAATTTTAAAGTCAGATTCAAAATTTTGTGCAATTAATCAATAGATTTAAACCATTAGAGGGAAACATGAGATGAGCAGTCATATGGTTAGTACATCGAGATTGGAGATCAAAATTCATTTACTGCCAGTAATTTTAAGGGAGGGGGAAACCAATGGGGGAACCTATAGTTTGCTACATAAGTGTGTGTGTGTGTGTGAGGTAGCGATAGATGTGCACACAAAGCGAGACAATTACTAAATAGGAAAAGTAATATTATATTATCGGTGCTTTCAGTGGAGGCAAATCAGTGGCATAACTGGCATTACAGAGACATTACAAACATATTGCATGTGATATTCAGTGAACCGAAACACTAAATCTAAAAGGACTGCAAACGTTGTGAACGATATACTAATAGAGAGACTATTTCTCGGCTCAGACTCGACTCAACCCGAAAAGCATACAATCGTGTCGTCTCTGGAAATGCTTTTCAAATGGTTATGTTGGATGGTCTCCACGGAAACATACCAGTCCTACTGTATATATATATATATACTATCACTACTCTCAACAGTCATCTTTCCCTTAATTCTCTATAGAGTACTACTGCTTCTCAATGCAAACAATATTATATAACAGTAGTTATATTCAACTGATAGTACAAAGAAAAGAGACACGAATTATATTATTTTGTTTGGGTTTATGTGTTGAGTGAGTCGGTAGTCGATGGTTTCAACTGTTAGGCCACTTGTTGCCATAACAGTCGTGAGAGAGGATATGTGGAGGAATAATAAAGGGATATTGCAGTTATAGTCAATGTCTAATACACCCAGAAGACACACAAATGTCAGACAAATATTATATTTTTATTATATATAAAGACTAACATTTGTTGAGCTTCTCATATAAAGTTATATTTAAAAGTACACATAAAAGGATAGGGAAAGAAAGATACAGACTCTCCAAAAATATTATTTCTATATGCAATGCACTCAAAAACATTATATCCTCTTTAAAAAAATGATATTTTCTCAATCGATTCGTGTGCTTATATAAAAAATATTTATTTTACAGACAAAAAGCATCGAAAACATAATATAACTCAAGTAAAAATGTATATATTTTTATAGAAAATTATACATATGTTCTACTCATGTAAGATATCAAGTTATGCATTGTTATGAGATTTTCAAATTATTTCATTTGCTTTTCATTGTATATGATATTGATTTTATAAGTATCCAAAATATCCTTTTTAGTGGTAAATTTCAAAGTTATCAACTCGTTATGAATCAGTTTAATCAGCCGTATGTCTTACGTAAACCAAAAAAGTAGTCCAAAACCAACAGATTCTGCAAAATATCGATCCGTTAGCTCAGGTTTGACGAACTTTTCGGTGATTGTATTATATAGTGAAAGCCCATCACAACATGGACTGACAACACACACACACAATATAGTACTATTATATAYATATACAGAGTTTTGCTTCAAGAGTCAGCAGCAACTGCTGTGCAATGAAACAGATATGTTATATGATATAAGCTTTTGCAGTACAATAGAGAAATACTGTACATTCAATTTTATACAATAATAATAATAACAAATTCAGAACAATAGGCAATATATAACATTATATAGCATACAGACTGAGTGGTTGGCATTGCTTTGCATTAACAGCTAATTTCATTCAGATGAACACCAAATCCAATAAACAATTTATTGATTTACCATTTCTACTGTTTTGCCAGTGATTTACACCAACACAATGAGCCCGTCATCTCCCTCTCCCTCGATATCCATTTAGTGATTTTTTGTCTCTAATATTTTAGATGCTTTTCAGAGTCAACAACACTAGAGATATAGAGAAAGTGTCAAAACGAGAGATTCATCTCTTATCTCATACAATCTTAGCTATGGATTCAATGATTAAACGAAAAACTAATATAAGTCAATAAATATATTGTATATTTTGGACAATAAATATAAACATCAGAACTGTTGCATTAGTGTTGATATTATAAATATAGTGAATATCCAAATGTTGGTGTCTTTGTGGTATAAAACAACTCTTACAACCGGAATAACAGTTTGTTAATCTTTAGACTATTATCTCATGTATTGGTAGATAAGACGGATATTTGATTTTAGACTTAAAATAATAAAAATTAAACAAATAATATAGACTTTATATATTCAAGATTTAGAGTACATCTGCAGCGACAAAGACAACCTCAATGGTGACGACAATCCCAGAAGTGTCACATTTCATCATTTGTCAGTCAGTGCACTACCAGCTAATGACATTCAAACCCATTCGCCTTACAAACACTTAAATCGCTGATAACATTAGTGATGACACACAACACTTAATTTATGACAAAAATGTTGTTTAAGACACTGGATGGTCGTTGTGGACAACAATAAATACAATTAATTGCAGTCAATTTAATCACAACATGAAACTACTGTATATAATATATAAAAAATAGTATAATTCAATGCTATTTCCATTTAATGAATAAAATGAATATAGTTTCTGTTGATGCTTTCAAAAAATTAATAACTACACAACAATATTATTATAGTAACATAATTGTCATAAATTATCTCAACAAATATAAAATTATTATCCAATTGTAGTGATAATGAAAACKGTATTTTATAAAAGAAATTCATGAGAAAATACTCTTATCAATGGTTTGCCAGTAAATTCAATTTTATATTCAGTATGTCTTTCAACAAATATAGTCTATTGTATTATCAAACTTAATAATACACTTTATTTGCAAATTGAAACCCAAACAAATGGTTTTGCATATATGAGATAGAAATTATTATTTCATAAACATATATCATATTTATTAATAACAAAATGTCATATGAATTACACTTGAAATTAACTTTATATTAAACCAAACTTTTTAAAACATTTTATATGATATTAAATATAATAAACGTAATGTAATAATTATTATTATTTTGCTATATAATATAATAGTATAATTGCTTAAATAATATTATAATATATTTATAATATTAAATGACTATATTATATAAAAGTTTCACGATTTCTATTCCCTATAATATATAAAATATTAATATATCAAAAAAATAAAATCTATTATATATATAAAGCAATTTTATTAACAATGATATAAACAGTACAAATATAATAAATAAAGTATACAATAATTAATCTTTTGATAATATGAAAACCAATGACCAAAAT